GTGCTCTATAGCGTCGTTTTGAGGGTAGGAGTTGAAACAGTTTATGTCCAGGATGCGAGGGGTCTGTAGATATTTTCCCAGCCCTCTTTTTCACTCGTGCAGAATACAGGTCCTCCATGGAAGGCAGGTTGGTAGCCATTGTTTTTTCTGCAGTTCTAATGATCCTCTGAAGTCTGTGTCCATCTTGTTGGGTTGCAGAACCAAACCAGACAGTTATAGAGGCACAGATGACAGACTCAAAGTGGCCACGGTTGGACATTCCTGGTGAAGGGTTTCCCAAATGTGCCAACTCTTACTCTTTGCAAATCTAGTAGATTGCAGGAATAAGGTGTCCCACCTGTCCAACCAAATTCTGCATCCAAAGTCCTCCTCTGTTCCTCCTCTGATGTTTCTCCAAGTCCCAACGGTGTTTGCTTTGATCTTGGAACTGTAAGATGTTTGATCTGGATCTTGAGCCCAAGCTGCATTCTTGCGCTGTCAGAAGTGTGTTTCGTATCAATTCTGGGCAAACTGTACTGTATTGGCAACACGGTGCCTATCCTGGCAAATACACAAAGAAGAAGGAGTCAAACTATTCTCCAAAGCACCAGAGGGTAGAACAAGAAGCAATGGGCGGAAACTGATCATGGAGAGAAGCAAGTTAGAACGAAGGAGAAATTTCCTGACAGTGAGAACAATAAATCAGTGGAACAACTTGCCTGCAGAAGTTGTAAATGCTCCAACACTGGAAGTTTTTAAGAGGATGTTGGATAACCATTTGTCTGAAGTGGTGTAGAGTTTCCTGCCTAAGCAGGAGGTTGGACTAGAAGACCTCCAAGGTCCCTTCCAACTTTGTTATTCTATTCTATTCTATTCTGTTCTATTCTATTCTATTCTATTCTATTCTATTCTATTCTATTCTATTCTATTCTATTCTATTCTATTCTATTCTATTCTATTCTCCAAGCTAACATCAAGATGAGTTTGCAAGGTGCAGGACCGGATCTTGCTCTGGTCTAACATGAGTACTTCTGCTTCCTCAGACAAGTGGGTGAGTTTAAAAAGTCAAAATGGAAGCCAAACGCCTTCAATCAAATCCCTGTTATTATTATTTTTTTAACACTATAATACAGTAGTGGCCAAAATTGTGGAAACCTTCTGGGGAAAGTGTATTTTCTAAAACTAGCTAATAACACCGCTTTTTTGGGGAGTAGTACCATAAAATTATATATCAATGGAAAGATAATTTAATTAAGAATGTAATGCAATAACTTTTAGGAAGGATTTGCTCTTAGAAGAGCCGTTACAGTATAAAGAAGGAAAGTGAAACAGGTAGAAAAAACGAGATATACAAAAATAATCACCATAGAAAAAACAAGATATACAAAAATTATCACCATGTCAGTGAATACTTCATTGGGTAACCTTTAGCATGAATGACGGCCTTACAACGTCTTCCCATGGAGTGAACCAAGTCTTTGAGTTCTGCAGCTGTTCTAATGTGAAACCAAGATTGAATGATGGCTTCTGTTAACTGGGTTTTATTGCTGGGTGGCTTCTGACTAACCAGTTTCTTTGATCGGCTCCATAGATTTTCAATTGGGTTAAGAAGGTCTGGGCTCTTCCCAGGCCATTCCAGCAGTGGAATAGGATTATCTTGAAACGCCAAAAAATAAAAAATAATGGTGTTATTAGCCATCAAACCTCAAAAATACACTTTTCCCAAAAGGTTTCCACAATTTTAGCCATTACTGTATATGTACAGGTAATCCTTGATTTACAACCACAACGGAGCCCAAAATTTCTGTTGTTAATCTGGCCACAGTTGTTAAGTGAATTACCGTACTGCAGTTAGTAGCTCAGTTGTTAAGGGAATTGGGCTTCCTCATGGACTTTGCTTGCCAGAAGGACGCAAAAGAAAATCACGCAACCTCGGGAAAACAGCGACGGTCACAAATACGAATCAGTTGCCAAGCATTCTGAATTGTGATCCTATGATTATGGAAAGGTCCTCCCTCTGAAAAACAGTCATAAGTTCCTTTTTTTCAGTGCCGGTGTAACATTAAACAGTTATTAAACGGACTGTTGTAAGTCAAGGACTATCTGTATGCATCATAGCTACGCCCAAAAGGGGCAAAGCCTGGGCCCCTGGGTTTGTGGTTTGACTTTTTTGCCCTCTATGGACCCCCCCCCCTTGTCTTCAGAAAACTTCACCCACCTCTGTTTACCAGTCAGGATGCATGGCAGGGTGGAGCTGCCCCTCTGGACAAGGTGGCAGTCTTTTTTTATATATATATATAAACACTTTATTAAACTTTTGTTACATTAAAAACATAAAAAAGTATTTCACTCAACAACAGCTAATTGTGGTGTTTTTCCTGTGACAATAATCCGTGCCTTATTTACAAAAATTAAATTGTGCGTCTTTACATTCTTATTTTATCAATTACTTATACTTAATAACTATCTATCTTCAATCTATCTCCGTTCTATCCAGTTATACCGCTGTTCCCGCACATTGTAAAATATCGATGCCTCTTTATCTTTTAAACTCAGTGTTAATTTGTCCATTTCTGCGCAATTCATAACCTTTTGTATGACCAGTTTCTCTGCAGGTGTACATGGCTGTTTCCAACATTGAGCATAGGCAATCCTGGCAGCGGTTAATATGTGTAGTACTAGATATTTTGTGCCCTTCATATTTTTTTTTGCTTTTTTGAAGATCCCCAATAGGAAGAGTTCCGGTTCTAAGTCTAATTGTTCATTAGTAATTTCCTGTGGTCAATCTTTAATTTTTAGCCAATATTTTTGAGCCTCAGGACAGGACCACCACATATGGTAGTATGTTCCCTTTTTCTTTTTACATTTCCAACATATGGGGCTCATTTTAGGGTACATTTTTGCTAATCTCGAAGCGGGCAGTCTTTGATGACACACAGATACACACTCACAAACACACACACAGAGAGAGAGAGACACCCCTTTGCATGCCCAGCCTACTTGGGAATCAATTCACTTGGCTGTAAAGATAACCAAAGGTAGCCAAACCCCTTCCTCCCCGTGCCAATTAATTAGGCTTTAACAACCTTATTTATTTTATTTTTTTAACTATAGCGGGAAGGGGGGAAAAAAGTAAAGATAAATAGCAGATGTCCCAATTATTTAGGACTGGAGCCTTTCACACAGACTTAAATAAACAGAGCCCCTGGCATCCTTCCACAAAATCTTATGCAGAGAGCTTTACAGGTGGTGTTAAGCAGCAGACAAAGGCAATCCATATAGACGGCTGACTCACACTCGGCTCCGGACTCAGCCCTTCGCTGCCATCTGCACGACCTCAGAGGACGGAGGACGACGTCTTCCTCCCGGCTATGTTTCAGTTGCCACTGTTGCAAAAAAAAAAGGGGGGGGTTGCGTGGCTTTTGAGGGCCATCTGATAGTGGTCTGGACTTCTGCACCCACATCGGGGAGTCTTACAGAACCGAACAAACTTTTAATCCTTTCATTATTCTCTTCCCTTTCCTAAGTTCCTGAGCAGGGAAAGTTCAATGCAAAAAGGGTTTTTTGTGCGGTGTCTAGCAACAGTCTCAGAGAAAGAGAAAAAGGCTGTTTGCGGAATTTCCGATGGAGGCTGGGTAGCTTTCCCAGGAAAAAGTGGCTGCTCCTCTTCTTTTTATTTATCGTTTATTTGTACCTCGCCTTCATTATGTTTATAAATAACTCAAGGCAGGGAACATATCCGACATACCTCCCTCCTCCTATTTTCCCCACACAACCACAATCCTGTGAGGTAGGCTGAGCTGAGAAAGAGTGCCTGGCCCAAAGTAACCCAGCCGATCTTCACGTCTAAGGTAAGACTAGAACTCCGGGCCTCTGGTGAGTGGCCCAAAGTCATTCAGCTGGCTTTCCTATGTAAGGCAGGACTAGAACTTCCAGTCTCCTGGTGATTTGCCCAAAGTCATTCAGCTGGCTTTCCTGCGTAAGGCAGGACTAGAACTTCCAGTCTCCTGGTGATTGGCCCAAAGTCATTCAGTGGCTTTCCTGCGTAAGGCAGGACTAGAACTTCCAGTCTCCTGGTGATTGGCCCAAAGTCATTCAGCTGGCTTTCCTGCATAAGGCAGGACTAGAACTCCCAGCCTCCTGGTGATTGGCCCAAAGTCATTCAGCTGGCTTTCCTGCGTAAGGCAGGACTAGAACTTCCAGTCTCCTGGTGATTTGCCCAAAGCCATTCAGCTGACTTTCCTGTGTACGGCAGTACTAGAACTTCCAGTCTCCTGGTGATTTGCCCAAAGTCATTCAGCTGGCTTTCGTGCCTAAGCCCACCATCTCCTGGTTTCTAGCCGCATGCCTTGTTCCCTAAACCAAACTGCCTCCCAAGAAGCAGCTAACCACCAAGAACGGATCCTAAAAGACGAGCCAACTCGTTCATTTATTTTAGATTTATATCCCACCTTTCCTGAAGATGCCAGAAACCCACACAGCCTCCTCATTCCCCAGCCAGCTCCTTTCTAAGATCCTAAATCCAGCCTGATCATATTTGGCTTCCGAGATCAGACAAGATCAGGCTCTTCCAGGACAGCTAACACTGATTTCTGAATTTTTTGCAAGGACCGTCATTCATTTTTTTCCCAATTTGCTCATCACCCCTTGTCCTAGGGCAGAGGTCTTCAAACTTGGCAGCTATGCTGGCTGGAGAATTCTGGGAGTTGAAGTCCACAAGCCTTAAAGCTGTGTCTTGGTTTTCCAACTCCAGAAAGCCCCTTTCCAGCACCAAAACGTTGAGATTAAATGTTCACCCTTTGCTGCCAAATGTGCAGAGGGTATAACATTACAGTCCTTTTCGGTGAGAACCAAAACAGTGAAACACAATCCTAGATTATCAGCTTTTGTTCTCAGACCTTTTCTGTTTGTCCACCAAAAGGCATGTAGTATTTTTAGGGAAGCCGGGGTTTAATTTATAGCCTTGTTCCGCCCTTCTCCAATAGCTGCAAGTTTTTTTTTTAATAATGCTTTTTGCTCAGTTCACAGGAGTCTTAGATACACCTTTGAAGAAAGGATGGAACAGGAAGCAAAATCGGAGGGGTTCGTTATTCCTGGTGCTTAGATGTCCCGCAAACACGTCACACCCGAATTCACGGACCTTAATGGCACGCAAGACATGTGGTTTAGGCTCAAAGGAGGGTGAGTGAACCAAACCATCATCAAGGGATGGATTCCCGTTCTGATCACCCTCCACAAAGAAGCCTCTCTGGCTTCAAATATATTACAAACTAGAAAATGTTTGAGTTTCATATGAAACGAGGGGGTTGGGTTTGCGAAGACGAGGGGCTAAAAAGTGGCAGGAGCGAGCCAATTCAACCTAGTTATTAGTTTATGCTCCCTCCGTTTGTGGGAATCTAAATAAATGGGGCATGTCATAAGTCATCATTCATCCTTTCACCCGTGAGTGGGGTGTTCAGAGCCAGTTTGCAAAGGAACCGGTCTTATCTTTGGGAACTTTTTGAAAATGTCCTTTTGACATTTGCAAAAAGTTCCTGAAGATTCTTACAACACCTCATTAAGTTGACTAGCATACAAGGAGATGTGAGCAAGAAATCTTGAAGGTGTTTTTAGAATGCTGGCACAATCGTTTGTAGTATATCTTCTATGGAGAAGGGGGGAGGAGGAGGAGAAGAGGAAGAGGGAGAGGAGGAAGAGGAAGAGGAGGAAAAGGAAAGAGAAGGAGAAGGAGAGGAAGAAGAGGAGGAGGAGGAAGAGGAGGAGGAGGAGAGGAAGAGGAGGAAGAGGAAGAGGAGGAAGAAGAAGAGGAAGAGGAGGAAGAGGAAGGAGAGGAGGAGGAAGAGGAAGAAGGAGAAGGAGAGGAAGAGGAGGAGAAGGAGAAGAGGAAGAAGAGGAAGAGGAAGAGGAAAGAGAAGGAGAAGGAGAAGGCGAAAGAGAGGAAGAGGAAGAGGAGGAGGAGGAAGAGAAGGAGAAAGAGGAGGAGGAGGAGGAGGAGGAGGAGGAGGAGGAGGAGGAGGAGGAGGAGGAGGAGGAGGAGGAGGAGGAGGAGGAGAATCTCTGAATTGCATCTGACTTGATTCATTGATTCAAAATAATAATAATAGAGAGCCTGGCTCAAAATAATGGATCTAAAATCTCATCAGGTTTGCTTTGAGCCACTTGCTCATACTTTCTGAAGTAGGGAAAATCCTTGGACTTTTCTTAAGCTTTGCTCAGCGCGACAGAGGATGCTTCCTGTCAGTCGTTAAAAAACCGAAATGTTGGCCCCCTAAAACTCCTTTCTGATTCCAAAAGTTCGCCTCTCGGAAGGGCTTCCTTCGAAGCACAAACCAAAGCGAACGCCAGGCCTCGTGCCAAGATAAGCCACATTATTTATCATTGCATCAGTTTATGGAGAGAGATGGGGCAATGAAGGAAGCTTCTAATTCTAATTAACTTTGAATTTGAAAAGGGACGTTCACACCATACGCCTGTCATTCCCCTGTCAAGGAAGGTTGACAATCATTCTAAGCTGTGAAAAGGGGGACAGTTGTGGATGACGGGTAAATACCGCAGCTCGGGTGAGGAGGCCAGGCAAGGAATAATGGATGGAAACGGATCAAGGAGAGATTCAACCTCGAAATAAGGAGACAGTGAGAGCAATCAACCCGTGGAACAGAAGTTGCCTTTGGAAGTCGTGGGAGCTTCATCACTGGAGGCTTTCAAGAAGAGACTGGACTGCCATCTGTGAGAAATGGAGTAGAGTCTCCTGCTTGGGCTGGGGGTTGGACTAGATGACCTACAAGGTCCCTTCCAACTCTGTTAATCTGAATCTATCTAAGATTATCAAAAGCCTGGAGGCCAAAACATACGATGAACAGTTGCAGGAACTGGGCCTGGCTGGTCTAGTGAAGAGAAGGATCAGGGGAGACAGGATAGCAGCCTTCCAATATTTGAGGGGCTGGCACAGAGAGGAGGGGGGTCAAGCTATTCTCCAAAGCACCCGAAGGCCAGACAAGGAATAATGGATGGAAACTTATCAAGGAGAGATTCAACCTAGAAATAAGGAGAAATGTTCTGACAGTGAGAACAATCAACCCATGGAACAGAAGTTGCCTTCAGAAGTTGTGGGAGCTTCATCACTAGAGGCTTTCAAGAAGAGACTGGACTCCCATCTGTCAGAAATGGAGTAGGGTCTCCTGCTTGGGAGGTCCACTCCTGTATACAGGTAGTCCTCACTTTATGACCCCAATTAGAACCTGAATTTACGTTGCTAAGCAAGGCAGTTTTTAAGTGAGTCAATTCTACAACCTTTTTGTAGAATTGACCTTGGGATACTCTATCTGTCATAAATATACAGCAGTTGCCAGGTGCCCAAATTCTGATCACAGAACCCTGGAGATACTGTGATGGCTGTATGTGCGAGGCATAGTTATAAGTCAGTTTTTTCCAGTGACGTTCTAACTTTGAATGATCACCAAACAAACGGTTGTAAGACGAGAACTCCCTGTGAAAGGAAAAAAAGGCATCTCCTCAGGGATTATAGGATGGAAAAGTTGAGATGGGAGAGGCAGAGAAGAGAATGACTGACACCAATAACAGTTTGGGGCTGCAAAGATTTAGAGGAGAAAGATCTGCAGGCTGAAAACATAAGAAATAGGGGAAAGAATTGGTAATCATAGTTTTTTAAAAAAATCCTACTGCTAAGTGTCCTTTCTTTCAGCTCTCCACACCGCAGGTGCTGAAACAAACTTTCATGGCCAAATGCCAAAATAAAGATTAACATGGATGACCAAGGCTGTGTGCATTTGGTTAGATCGTATCCCAAAACTGAGCAGCAGCAAGAGGAAATCACCCAGATGGTTTCAGAATCAAGGGTTGGAGGATGTGAGTCCGTACTTATGCCTATTTTCCTGCTCAAATGGACATTTCTCATTGGTTTAGTTAATTTCCTATTTTATTCAGAGGTTGTGTTCAACCTTAAGTCAAAAATCAATTTTTACTAGAGTTTTTGGGGTCACAGTGCCATCTAGTGGATGAAGTTGCAAAGGGACAGAAAAGACAGTGTTTTTCAACCACGAGCCCCCTTAAGATGAGTGGACTTCAACTCCCAGAATTTACCAACCAGCATGGCTGGGTAGGGAATTCTGGGAGTTGAAGTCCACCCATCTTAAAGGGGCCAAGGCTAAAAAAAAACAAAACACTGCCCTGGGGTAGACCAAAATCAGGAGGAAACTGGTAGTACCTTTTGCCAACTAACACACTAGAAATTTACTTGGAAAGAGTAGAAACTCTAGGGAAATCAATTCTATCTTAAGACTGCATGAATGTTTCTGTCTAAGTCACCAGCCATTGAAACCAGCTTGAGAGAGTTTAACTGAGATTGTAGAAATTCACGTTGCAGAAGGAAATGGTGTGGTTGTGTTGAAGTGAGCCACGTGGGGTCAGTGTTGAATCTTCAAAATAAAAAAAAACCCTTAATTAACTTGGCTCTTCTTGGAAGACTTTGTGTCTGGGAAACCCTTAGATCAGGGGTCCCCAAACTTGGCAGCTTTAAGACTTGTGGACTTCAACTCCCAGAATTCTCCAGCATAGCCGGCTGGAGAATTCTGGGAGTTGAAGTCCACAAGTCTTAAAGCTGCCAAGTTTGAAAACCTCTGCCCTAGATGTATTTCAAAGCAGCTTGGCATGCTAACACAATAGAAGAAACTCAACATTCACATCTCTCCCATCTGGAAGAGCTTCACCTGTTGAAGTCCTAACAGGGTACTGTAGAAAAGATTTGGGGAGAGGGGAAGAAATTTAAAAAAGAAGATAATCCTGATGTGTGGTTTGAAATCCTCCATCTCTAAAGAGGCTGGCCATTGACGGAACCACATTGAACGATAGGCAAAAGTTTGCAATTTCTGAACTACAAAATCCAGGAAACCACAAAACAACACTTGAGAAATTGTAAAAAAATAAATAAATTGTAAAGCCTTAATTGCCGTCTCTGTATTTTTCCAGCCTACCTGATGTTCCGCAAATCCCTTATGGAGGCACATGATATTTTTGAAATTGTTTGTGTGCTTCCCAGTTTTTTCAAAACCATAAGGACCAGAAACTTGAAGGTGTTGAAGTGCCTCAAAATAAGCAAAACTCAGAAGAGAAAAACTCACTCCGGTGAAATCAAGTGGCTGGCTCTCATTTTACCACCTGCCGAACAATTGTTTAAAACAAGGAATATTATTCTGACGGAAAAGAGCTTGATGTGTTTGTTAGCAACGAGAGGTTGTAATTAATCCGACAGAGTTGACTTTACAACCGGGAAGTCTTATCTTTCTGGCCCAATGCCAGTTGTCAAGTAACGCGGTTGTGTATGACAAACACAAGAAGTCAAATGAAAAAGATCGGAGGCCGATAACAGCAGGCGTAGATAAACCACGTTAACTGGCTTACGTATTTCCACACCTGGCTTTCTAACCATGAGGACTAGAAGCCTGGCTGATAGACAGCGCTCTCGACAAACAGAAATGCACCATGAGATTCGGTGGCATTGATGCTTTTCCTGAATTTTGTGATGCCGTTTTCAAAAAGAGAAGAGTGTATAATTGGTAAAAAGCACCCAAAGACACTGGTGTTGGTTTTACAAAAAAATACTGTGCAGCACAATGCTTGTGTAATGTGCCAAATGTAGTTTTGCTAATGGACTTGGGGACCCCAGGGTGACAAGGAGCTCATCAAGTGGTTGGTTTGATCATTGTCACCAGCAGGATAAAATGGAATGGAATGGAATGGAATGGAATGGAATGGAATAGAATAGAATAGAATAGAATAGAATAGAATAGAATAGAATAGAATAGAATAGAATAGAATAGAATAGAATAGAATAGAATATTGGAATGCAGAATAGAATAGAATAGAATAGAATAGAATAGATAGAATAGAATAGAATAGAATAGAATAGAATAGAATAGAATAGAATATTGGAATGCAGAATAGAATAGAATAGAATAGAATAGAATAGAATAGAATAGAATAGAATAGAATAGAATAGAATAGAATAGAAATACAGAATAGAAAGAATAGAGTAAAGTAGAGTAGAGTAGGGTAGGGTAGGGTAGGGTAGGGTAGAGTAGGATAGCATTGCATTGCATTGCATTGCATTGAAAAGAAAAGAAAAGAAAAGAAAAGAAAAGAAAAGAAATACAGAATAGAAAGAATAGAATAAAAAAGAATAGAGTAGAGTAGGGTAGGGTAGGGTAGGGTAGGGTAGGGTAGGGTAGGATAGGGTAGAGTAGGATAGCATACCATAGCATTGCATAGCATAGCATTGCATCGAATAGAATAGAATAGAATAGAGTAGAAAAGAGTAGAATAGAGTAGAGTAGAAAAGAGTAGAATAGAGTAGAGTAGAGTAGAGTAGAGTAGAGTAGAGTAGAGTAGAGTAGAGTAGAGTAGCTATGTTATGGGCTGGCTTGAGTTTAATTTTAAATTGATTTTAAATTGATTTTAAATTGGGTTGTTTTAATTTACGGCCAAAATATTTAATTATTTTAATACTGTTTTTAAATTTTGTATGCTCTGTTTTTACTTTGGCTGTGCACCGCCCTGAGTCCTTTTTGGAGAAGGGCGGTATAGAAATTTAATTAATAAATAAATAATAATAAATAAATAAATAGCATAGCATAGCATAGCATAGCATAGCATAGCATAGCATAGCATATAGCATAGCATAGCATAGCATTGCATAGCATTGCATTGCATTGAATTGAATTGAATTGAATTGAATTGAATTGAATTGAATTGAATTGAATTGAATAACAGAGTTGGAAGGGACCTTGGAGGTCTTCTAGTCCAACCCCCTGCTTAGGCAGGAAACCCTACGCCACTTCAGACAAACGGTTATCCAACATCCTCTTAAAAGCTTCCGGTGTTGGGGTTTATTGGGTTTTTTATTGGGGTTTTATTTCTGTAAACTGCCTGGAGTCACCATAAGGTGGGTGGCCGTATCATTTTTCTTAATATTCTTAATATTTTTCTTAATATTAATTTCCCTCCTGCCCTTGGATGATGCCATAGGACATTGCCTGCCAAAACAACCAGACCCAGAGACAGTTTTCTTCCGTGTACCATCACACTTACTGAACACCTAAAACGTTCAAAGAACGGTTACAAGAATCGGGTATTTCTAGTCTAATGAAAAGAAGGACCGGGGTGACACGATAGCAGAGTTCCAATATTTGGGGGGCTGCCACCGAGAAGAGGGAGTCAAACTATTCTCCAAAGCGCCAGAGGGCAGGACAAGAAGCAATGAATGGAAACTAATCAAGGAGAGAAGCAACCTAGAACTAAGGAGAAATTTCCCGACAGTGAGAACAATTAATCAGTGGAACAACTTGCCTCCAGAAGTTGTGAATGCTCCAACACTGAAGTCTTTCAAAGAGACAAAGCCAGCTGATTCTCACAATAATGTCTTATGTCTAAATATATTTACCCACTTAGTAGGGGAGTACCACTTTTATTCTTCTCATCTGTTCCAATACCTCCTCTTATTGATATCATTATTATGATTATCATTGCTTTGTTAGTATGATTATTATTACTTTGTTGCTTTGCATGCACACTGAGAGCTTCTGGACCGGAGATAAATTCCTTGTGTTCCAAATTCTAAATTCCAAATTCTATCACAATTCCGTCAATGAAGTATTCTGTTCCATTAATACAGAGGTCTTCAAACTTGGCAGCTTTGTGGACTTCAAGCTATGCTGGCTGGAGAATTCTGGGAGTTGAAGTCCACAAGTCTTTAAGCTGCCAAGTTGGAAGAGCTCTGTATTAATACATATAAAAATTGGAACATGCAGGGTTTCCAGGGCTCCCTAGAAATGCAGAGCAACTAGGATACGAATTCCAAAACTTGGTTTCCTGTCAACATCTCCCCTCTAAGCTCACTTTGCATTGTGTTGTTGTTCCATTGTGCTCTCTGACCCTCGCCACAAAAACAACGGGATCCAGTTTCCCCTTGGCTGCATTTCAACTTGGCTGCGTGATGAAATATTTAGAAACGGACATCAATCCGTGTCTCTCGGAGTTCTTTCCAAGACTGAACGGCGCTCAGTCTGAAAGCGAGGACGATGCTTGTCTTCATCTTCCTTTTCTCTGTTTTTACCGCTTGCCCGGCTGGCAATTCTCCGCTGCAGAAAGAAGGATGCAAAAATGGGTTTAATCGCAGGAGAAGACAACAGAACTCATCTGCCTGCCCGGAAGGTACAAGGAACGATCGCAGAAGGATTCCAGATGTTGAGACTCTAGAAAGAACGCAGAGAAGAGCAACAAAGATGATTGGGGGATTGGAGGATAAACTTTTTAAAGAATGGTTGCTGGAATTGGGTAGGGCTAGTTTAACAAAAGGAAGGACTGGGGGGGTGACATGATAGCAGCCTTCCAGAGAGCTGCCATAAAGAAGAGGGAGTCAAGCTATTCTCCAAAGCACCAGAAGGCAAGACAAGAAGCAACGGATGGAAACTCATCAAGGAGAGAAGCAACCTAGAACTAAGGAGAAATTTCCTGACAGTTAGAACAATTAATCAGTGAAACAACTTGCCTCCAGAAGTTGTAGGTGCTTCAACACTGGTGGCTTTTAAGAAGGGACTGGACAACCATTTGTCTGACATGATATAAGGTTTCCAGCCTGAACAGGGGGTTGGACTAGAAGACCTCCAGGGTCCCTTCCAATTCTGTTATTCAGTTATTCAGAACAGATTGCGTCCCCAAATTAGGGGTTTTTCAGTCTGTAGTTGTTTCCTCCGTTGGCTAAACATTGCTTTCGATTAATATTTCTCAACTTTGGCAACTTTAAAATGGGTAGACTTTTTTTTTTAATTTATTTTTTAATTTATTTATTTATTTATTTATTTTTGAATTTGTATACCGCCCTTCTCCCTGAGGACTCAGGGCGGTGAACAGCCAGATAAAAACACCAGATACAAATATTAAAACACATTTAAAAATATATATAGATTTGGCCCCGTTAATTAAAAACGATCAGCAAAACAGAACAATTAATAAAACCCTTAAAAAGAAATTAAGCCAGCCCGGCTTGAAATTTGATTTATATGCCGCCCTTCTCCGGAGACTCAGGGTGGCTTACAATGCGTTAAGCAATAGCCTTCATCCTTTTGTATATTTATACAAAGTCAGCTTATTGCCCCCACAATCCGGGTCCTCATTTAACCTACCTTAGAAAGGATGGAAGGCTGAGTCAACCTTGAGCCTTGGAGAGATTCGAACCAGCAGAAATTGCAGACAGCTGGTGTTAATAACAGGGTGCGTAGACCACTGTACTGTCAAGACTTCATCTCCCTCTACAGGGCCAGATGCAAATAGGTTCCGTTCATGGTTTTGTTCTGCTTTTCAAGGTTTCTTCTGCCCAGCTGGCAGTAGCTCCCCCATTCCGTGTCCGGAAGGCACCTTCCGTTCTGCAGGATTGTCTTCTTCTCTCACCTGCCTGGCCTGTCCGGTGAATTTCTTCAGTGCTAAAGTGGGCCAGGTCGCTTGCTTGCCGTGTGGCTCGGAGGCCGTGCAACCCAAAGAAGGGCAAAACACCTGTGTGTGTCTTCGGCAAGGCGGTGTTTTTCAGGTATGGGGTGTGGACTTGGTTCTATCCATGCGTTCAAATTATCAGCTGACATGGCTGCCTTCAAATGTTGGCAGACACAGGTAACCGTGGGGTCCTTGTTGTTCTTTGAGTACGGTTGTTTGGGGAAGGAGTAGAGAAAGAGGAAAAGAGAGGGGAGGAGGAGAAAGAAGAAAGGGGAAAGGAGAGGAAGAAGAGGGAGAGGAAAGAGGAGTAGAGGAGAAGGTTAGAAGGAGGGAAGAAGAGAGGAGTGGGGAAGAGAAGGGGAAGTAGGAAAGAGAAGGAGAGGAAGAAAGAAGAAAGTAGGAGGAGAAAGAGGAAGGAAGAGAAGGGGAGGAGAAGAAGAAAGGAAAAAGGAGCAGAAGAAAAGGGAGAGGAAAGAGGAGTAGAGGAGAAGGTTAGAAGGGGGGAAGAAGAGAGGAGTGGGGGAAGAGAAGGAGAAGTAGGAAAGAGAAGGAGAGGAAGAATGAAGGAAGTAGGAGGAGAAACAGGGGAAGAGAAGGGGAGGAGAAGAAGAAAGGTTGGAGTAAGGGTAAAGGGTAAAAGAGCAGCCCCGAAAACGTAAAAATTGAAAATGAAAGTTAAAAGAAAAGATGAATGAAAAATGATGGAAATGACTGTACATGTAAATGTGTTTATGAAAAATAAAAATAAAAAACTTTTTTTTAAAAAAAAGAGTTTGGTTGTTTCCTTGCAGACATTTCGTTATCCAACTGGGTAACATCATCAGTGCTAGAAGGGAGTGGGGTTTGCTCTCTGTTTATCCCAGGGATGAAATGCTCCCGGTTCGGTCCAGTTTGCCCAAACCGGTAGTAAAAAAGGCTACTGGTTTGCCGAACCAGTAGTAAAAAATGTTTTTCTAAAAAAAGTTCCAACAATCAGCTGAGCGATGCACGATCGCCGGAACTTTTTAAAAAAAAACTTTTTAAGCATGTTTTTACCACCGGTCTTCACATTTGGTGCGTGGTGGACACTGCGCATGCACACACATAGCGTGCATTTGGCGTGTGGCGTGCATGCACAGCCAGCACACCGGTAGTAAACTGGTTCAGATTTCACCACTGGTTTACCCCGCTCTCTTTTAGCACTGATTATGTTCCCTAGTTGGGTAATAAAATGTCTGCAAGAAGAGAACCAAGCTCAGAGAGCATCGAAGACCCCACAGTCCTCCTCCTCCTCCTCCTCTTCCTCTTCCTCCTCTCTACATACCCCTCTCTCTTCAAGCAGTGATAATGTTATCTAGTTGGGTAATGAAACATCTGCAAGAAAACCAAGCTCAGAGAACATTAAGGACCCCACAGGTCAACCCAGCTACAAATATTCTCTTCTATTGGTAAATCTACTGATCCTTAAAGATGACCAGAAGCTCCATTGTCCTACGGCAGTGTTAAGGATATTCTTGGCTCATAACTGATGTTGTGGGTTATTGAGCAGAGTACCCTTTGAGTAAACGCATGAAAAGCAACTGGGAGTGGTTGTGAACAATCACAGTCAACATACAAACACACTGAGTTGTTGTAGTCCTTTACTTTTAGAAAAAAATAAAGCAAAGTCCAAAAACAATCCAAGTCATGCACAGATAAGACGAGAGTTAAAAGATCAATCCAGGGATATTTCAAGTACAAAGTCTTCTTACCAGTTGTAGTCATATGCAATAAAACAGTTCTTCTTGAGTTTCAAAACAGGAACAAGTTCAATATAAAACATTCAATAAATAGTAGAAAGCAACATAGTAGCTATGATCAAACGGTGATCATGCAGAGAGATCAGGTAGAGAGTTACAGCAAATAAGCAGGTAAAATGGTGTAGTATTCACACAAGCCATGATCCTGACAGTCTTAAAGCAATATAATACCTTTCTGACATACATTGGCAAACATACATTGTTGGTTTATATATATAGCCTGACCAACTAGTTAGACAAATAACCATTTCCTAACAGGCAGAATAATTCCAATGGGGAAGATTAAATCTCCTTATAAACTCAGGGGGATTCCCATGTCATGGAGTACCACATTCCAGGAACCATAAGCATTTCCCCCAACTTCTCTCTTTCTGCTGGTAGAATTGTGCGGGCCTTCTCAGCATCCCTTTTTTCCTTCCCCTTCCTGACTCTTCGAGTCGTGTCTTAGTTGGGGGAGGGGGGATGGACATTCCAGAGGGATGGAGTTAACTTTCTTCCCTTTCCAGCCCAGCGATGCTCAGTGCCCCTGTGCTCCTGGGTATCGAAGCCTCCGAGAAGACAGGCGGTGGGATTGCGTCAAAGAAACCTATGATATTTGTAGAGACGATGCTGTCCGGAACCAAGATGGCCGGTGCTTAACTAAGGAAGAGTGGGCTCACTACTGTTCAGACCAGGTGAGTGGAACGTTGTGGGAAAAGCCTACCGTGGTTGCAACTGACTTTGCTGCCCCCATTTTAGCCACTGATCTTCCAGCTTGGTAGCGTTTTCCTCGATTCGCTCAAAGGGTGCTCAGCTAGGTCCCTCACTGTCGTAATTGGTGACAGTTGCAAATTGGCGACTGACCAATGTGACTGACCCGATTTTACGATCCTATTTTGCAGCAGTCATTAAACAAACATCACAATTCTAAAGGGGGCCAATGGGTCGCTATGGGCCAGAAGTAAACACTGGTTGTTATAAAATGCAGTCATGTGATTGGAAGACGCTGAAAATTGCTTTAAGCATGGCCTGGTTGATGGGTGCTCGAAATGTCATGTGACCATATGCGGTGACAGTGGGAACTTTGAATCCCAGCCTTAAGTACCTCCAGGGAGGTCGTACATCGAGAATTACCTGTACAGTATAAATTTTCATTCATTTATTATTTCATTTCATTTCGTTTCATTTCATTTCATTTCATTTATTTTATTTTATTTTATTTTATTTTATTATTTTATTTTATTTATTTTATTTTATTTCATCAAGCATGTATTTTATGACAAATACAAGTGTAAATATAATTATAAATACATGAAAAGGATACGAATAAAAGGGAACATTAGGAAAGGGACGGAAGGCACACTGGTGCGCTTATGCCCGCCCTTAAAAGACCTCTTAGGAATGGGGTGAGGTCTACAGTAGCCAGTCCAAGGTTAAAGTTTTGGGGATTTGGGGAAGAAACCACAGAGTCAGATAGGGGCATTCCAGGCATTGACCACTCTGTTGCTGAAGTCATATTTTCTGCAATCGAGTTTGGATCGGTTTACCATGAGTTTGCATCTATTGTGTGCTCGTGTATTGTTGTGGTTGAAGCTGAAGTATTCATTGGCTGGTAGGACATTGTAGCAGATTATTTTATGAGCTATGCTTAGGTCAGACCGAAGACGGTGAAGTTCTAAATTGTCTAAGCCCAAAATTTCGAGTCTGGTGGCATAAGGTATTTTGTTGCGAGCCGAGGAGTGGAGGACTCTTTTCGTGAAATATCTCTAGACTCGTTCGATTGTATTAATGTCCGATATGCAGTGCGGGTTCCAGATAGATGAGCTGTATTCAAGAATTGGTCTGGCAAAAGTTTCAAGGAAACATTGACTTTCTTCGGATCTTCCCGGATAGGTTTGTGACATCCCCCAACACTATCAAGGTTATGATAAAGTTCTTGGGCTTTGCCTTTGTCAAGTGGGCAGTCTGGACAAGACGTGTGGTCTCCGGTGCCGACGACAGCAGAGAGGTGTTTTGAAATTCTTTTGTGAAGACAACCGAGCCCGACTTTCCGTCATGTACAAAAATGGCAGCCAGGTAAAGAAGGTTGAAAAGGAAGCTTGGTAAAGCCTTGGTAGTACAGGGGTTTAAGGCACCCTGTTATTAAGCTTATTAAGACCAGCTGCCTGCAATTACTGCAGGGTTCGAATCTCGCCAAGGCTCAAGGTTGACTCAGCCTTCCATCCTTTCTAAGGTAGGTAAATTGAGGACCCAGTTGTGGGGGCAATAAGCTGACTTTGTATAAATATACAAAAGGATGAAGGCTATTGCTGAGCACATTGTAAGCCGCCCTGAGTCTTCGGAGAAGGGCGGCATATAAATCAAATTTTTTTTAAAAAAAGCTGATTTTTCCAGTTTTATCAGAAATCTAGAATGCTTGGGCTGAGCCAGTGGTGAAATCCAAATTTTTTTTACTACCAGTTATGTGGGCATGGCTTGGTGGGCGTGGCAGGGGAAGGATACTGCAAAATCTCCATTCCTACCCCATTCTGGGGCCAGCCAGAGGTGGTATTTGCCGGTTCTCCAAACTACTCAAAATTTCCGCTACTGGTTCTCCAGAACCTGTTAGAACCAGGGATTTCACCCCTGGGCTGAGCATCTTCCAAAGGGCCAGCTGAAATCAGTGGTATCCTGTTGGGAAAGTGCCAGCCAGGCTGGAAGGGAGAGTCAAGTGAGGGCCTAGCTTGGAGTCTTTGCACAGCTGCAAACAGCATAAGCTTGACCTCCCCCAAGATTCATGAAGACTTATCTGGCTATTCCCAGGAGAAAGCAAGCAGTCCGGGGAGGTTCTTGTAACGTAGGTGGTAGACAATAAAGTTACCGACTTCGTTTGTTGTGCTTGACATATCCTTTTCTCCTAGGTGGGAACCTAGAGATGGAGGGAAGGCAGCTAAGTCTGACCCCAAATGTAGGCTCCTGAGAACATTGCCACCTGGAACTGGAATTAAAGATGCCTTGTCTTCAAATTTTTCCTAGGTTGATATTTTTTGGGAAGAGCTAGCAGCTTCTTTGCAAGGACTCAGCTTCCATGCTCAAAATCTCTGTGCCTCAGAGACCCAAGAGCTCCAGCCGGTCCACATGGTAAAGACAAATGGTAAGGAAGGACCAAAGAAGAGAGACAGTCCATATTTCTCTGCTTCAGATTTTCCCACTGGTTTCGTTGCCAACTCTTGACCTCCAAAGCTGCAATGCGAACAGCTTTCAAACCTGTTTGGAAAAGATTCTTCTTCTTCTTCTTCTTCTTCTTCTTCTTCTTCTTCTTCTTCTTTCTTCTTCTTCTTCTTCTTCTTCTTCTTCTTCTTCTTCTTCTTCTTCTTCTTCTTCTTCTTCTTCTTCTTCTTCTTCTCTCTCCTCCTCCTCTCTCTCTCCTCTCTCTCTCCTCTCCTCCTCCTCCTCCTCCTCCTCCTCCTCCATCTCTGTTTTGGGTGTCTGTTTTATTTCTAAAGTTCACCCAAAACCTTGACACACCAGAGAGCAAAGAGGAGGCTGGAATAAAGCATGAAATACGGATTCAGGTTAAGAGATTGTGGGGATAACCAATTCCTTCTCCATCGTTACAGGAAGAGGATTTATAGGTGTGAACGATCCTGAACCAGAAATACTACAACATCTCTTTGCAACACAAAGCCAGATCCCATCAGCTTCCCGAAATGAATTGTGGGCTGCAAAGTCCTGGGATATTTCAGGTAAGTAGGCATCATGTTTTGTGGCCCACCAGCAGAGCTGGTGGCAGACTCAGACAGTGAAGAGGTTGGGGAGGAACATGGGCCAGTCCTGAAGTCTGGGGAAGGCTCGGATGAGGGCTCTGCGTCGGAGGCAGAGAGGGGGCCAGGGCCATCTGACAGTTGTTAGCTGCCTTCGGATACATCAGTGATGCAGAGGAACAGCTGGAGCCTGTTCCCAGAGTGCACATGCGCAGAGCTGCCAGGAGAAGGGAACAGCTAAGGAACAAGGGCCGACTCAGGAGTAAAGCCACAGGTGGATGGTGAATGGCCCCTCCTAGAGGGAATAAAAGAGGAGCGAAAGGGGAGTGGAGTTTGCAGGAGACAATTCATTTGCTTAATTGGTTCGTGACTCTCTGTGAAGATATCGACCTTGCAGCTCTCCAAGCCAGATAAGGTCTGTGACTGTAAATTCTCCCTTGAAAGACTTTGCTGGATGTGAATGAGAGGAATTCACAGTAACTTAATAAAAAGGGTTTTTTGTCAGGACAAGGCGTCTGCTTCATGCTCTCGGGAAGCCTAGCTCAGAACACATGTTTGTGTCCTTGTGCGTTTTTACATCAAAGGTGGCAACCAAGCCCACAGAACCGGTAGTAAAAATATTTGGATTTCACCACTGGGCAAAACTCACTTAACAAGCATCTTGTCTTAGCAACAGAAATTTTGGGCACAACTGTGGTCCTATAAGGACTACTTATACAGGAATGCCGCCATAGCGCCCATCGACAGCTCCTTAAACCAAAAGGCAGCTTTTACCCAGAGTTATCGGGCGCTCTTGGACAATTCCAAAGAAAGATGCCATTATTTGAAAGAGTTGCCAATGGGGATTGTGAACTTGCATGCCCCAGCCTTTCAGTTCCACAGCCCTAAATTCATTGTATTACGCCTCTCTTCCTGACCATAACATGCACCTAGGTTTCGAGGAGGAAAACAAGAAAAAAAATCTGCCTCTGCCTCCCAGCATCCATCTGTTATTCATCTGGCTAACGTCCTTGCAGCAAACCTGCCTCCTCCGTGTCTGCTGCCTCCTCCAAGGAACGCTGGAGCCTTCGCCACCAAGCAGCTGATTGGTGATTGGATTGGCCTCCCAGAATACCGCCAATCAGCTGTTCCAGGCAGCAGGGATTGCTGCCGCCGTTCGCCGCTGCTGCCTGTCGCCTATATTCTCTCCATAAGATGCACAGACATTTCCACCCACTTTTGGGGAGGGAAAAGTGCCTCTTAGGGAGCGAAAAATACGGTAACTCTAAGTGCTATTGCTATTGTTATTAGGGGGGGTCCTGGAGACCTCACATTGCTTCTCCCTGCAGTGGAATATGGCCATTGGTGCTTCTTATTGCAAGTTTTCTCCCAGGGGAACCCCAACACGAAACACGAACGAACAATAACAAAACGTGATTCGTCAAATTGTGTCCGTCCGTGAATTAAAACGCAGCTCTATTTCACTAAGGTGTTTTGTTGTTATTGTTGTTCATGCAGGGACTTCTGCCAAAGATGGTTTTCGATTTTCCCAGCCAGAACCTGCCAACGCTACACCGACGAGCACGTTAACTGGCATCCTTAACCCAACGGTGTGCCTCCAAATGCACGAGATGCTCATATTCTTTGTTTCTAAAGAGCATTACCCTGTTTATGATGTGTAAGTACAATTCTGAACTCCCGTGAGGTGTGTCTTCCTACCTCCCATTGTAGGTCCCGCTGATTTTCAGTGCTTTGCGGTGAGAAGCGTGTGGCCACTGAGTCATTTTCCTGTGCTATTTTTAAAAAAACGGCGAAAGAGATTGATCGACCACGTTTGCTAATTTTGTTAACAGTTGCTAAAATAAGTCACAGCCCGGGTCAGTGTCAAATTCCCGTTTCTAGATCTGTGGCAGTGGTGGGTTTCAAAACTTTTTACTACTGGTTCTGTGGATGTGGCTTGGTGGGTGTGGCATGGCTTGGTGGGCGTGGCTTGGTGGGCATGGCAGGGGAAGGATACTGCAAAATCCCCATTTCCACCCGATCAGCTGGGACTTGGGAGGCAGAGAATAGATGGTCAGAATTTTTACTACCAGTTCTCCGAACTACTCAAATTTCCGCTACCGGTTCTCCAGAACTGGTCAGAACCTGCTGAAACCCACTTCTGATCTGTGGGCTTTTTCAATTCCCACAACACTGTCAAATAATTTATTAAGACTGTATTATTATTATTATTCTCTTCCTTTCTAGTATCTATCTCTTCCCACTTATTACTATAACCGTGTTGCTTGTATCTTTCAATTATATTGTTTTTATTTGTTTCCTAGGACGATTTGATAGCTTATTAGTAACCTTGACTATCACTAAGTGTTGTATCTTTTTATTCTTGATGAGTGTATTTTATTCTCCTTATGTACACTGAGAGCATATGCACCAAAGACAAATTCCTTGTGTGTCCAATCACACTTGGCCAATAAAGAATTCTATTCTATTCTATTCTATTCTATTCTATTCTATTCTATTCTATTCTACTCTATTCCATTCTACTCTACTCTACTCTACTCTACTCTACTCTGTTCTGTTCTGTTCTGTTCTGTTCTGTTCTGTTCTGTTCTATTCTGTTCTATTCTATTCTACCCCCCAGTTGATCTAAAGCCATTCTCTGTGTTTTGTTCCATTGACTGATCATCATTCTCGAGTGGAATCGCAGATTCAACATTAGAGGAAAGTCTTTTTGGGATGGAAATCATGTTACACAACTGGTGCCTTTTATCTTGTGTTTCTTCCTAGCAATAATTTATACAATACAAACCAAGATTTTGACTGGGGCGCTTTCCGCAAACTCGCCGAGGAAATGCGATTGGCTTCCAGCTCAACCAGCTTTTTCTTCTTCCTATTCCAGTTCTACAATCCCGGCACTTACGTCTTGAGACTGAGTAGCAATCAACACAAAAAGATGGTGGGTTTTGGGTCCCAACAGGTTGACTTTCAAGACAGGGCCAACACTTAGAATGAGTGTCCTGTGAAGGGGCAGGAGATTTATCAAGTGGGATCATGGATCCATTCTTCTCTCATATGGTTTTGATCAGCAGCCTTCACCATGGACCTCTTAAGGGATGTGTATAATTTTTAATTTACTTACTTTGAGACCAAAACCATTACAAGGTAAAACTAAACACTGAGCATGAAGAATGATATCTTAATTATAGAGCAGGTTTCCTCAACCTTGGCAACTTGGAGATGGGTGGACTTCAACTCCCAGAATTCCTCAACCAGGGAGAGTTGAAGTCCTCACATCTTCAAGTTGACACGGTTGAGAAACACTGTTGTGGATGGATGGAGGGAGGGAGGGATGAGGGAGGGAGGAATTCATGGATAAATGGATAGGTGGGTGGGTGGGTGGATGAGTGGATGAGTGGATGGATAGAGATAGATAGATGATAGAGATAGGATAAATAAATAAATAGATACTGTAGATAGATACCAGAGATGAGAGAGAGACAGAGACAGAGACAGAGAGATGGAGAGAGAGACACACAGAAAGACACAGAGAGACAGAGACAGAGACAGAGAGACACAGAGAGACAAAGACAGAGAGACACAGAGAGAGAGAGAGATAGAAAGACAGAGACAGAGAGATAGAGACAAAGAGACAGGCACAGAGAGACAGAGACAGAGAGATAGACACAAACACAGAGAGACACAGAGAGACAGAGAGATAGAAAGACAGAGACAGAGAGACAGAGACAGAGAAACAGAGAGATAAAGAGACAGAGAGGGACAGAGACAGACAGACACAGAGAGACACAGAGAGGCAGAGAGACAGAGACAGAGACAGAGACAGAGAGACAAATAGACAGGAGAGAGAGAGAGAGAGAGAGAGAGAGACAAACACAGAGAGACACAGAGAGACAGAGATATAGAAAGACAGAGACAGAGAGACAGAGAGAGACAGAGAGATGGAGAGAGAGACACACAGAGAGACAGAGAGAGACAGAGACAGAGAGACACAGAGAGACAGAGACAGAGAGACAGAGAGATAGACACAAACACAGAGAGACACAGAGAGACAGAGAGATAGAAAGACAGAGACAGAGAGAGACAGAGACAGAGAGACAGAAGAAGAGAAACAGAGAGACAAAGAGACAGAGAGAGACAGAGAGAGACAGACACAGAGACACAGAGAGGCAGAGAGACAGAGACAGAGAGAGAGACAGAGAGACAAACAGACAGGAGAGAGAAAGGGGGGGGGAACAGAGTGACTGACTTGACAGAGATAGGGAGAAAGAACTTTTAGAGGGTAGACCATGGTTGGCTAAGGAATGCTGGGAGATGAAGTCGAGTAGCACTATCCTAGAGCACATGACAACACCGTACCTCCAGATTCCGATTTAATTTTCCCTGCCCGTGTGTTCCTTTTGAGAAGTATATCCGAATCCTGCCATTTGGTGGACAATGTTACGAAGAAGGACCGTTCTACCCAACAACTCCCGGTTACGTTGTTCAAGTAGGCATCGCAAAGATCCCAGCTCTAGTTCTGAAACCCGATTGGCCGGCAATCATTGGAATAATCATCGCCCTCGTCTTCCTCATCCTCATCTATCTCGTGCTGATTGTAAGTTCAGACAACGATGACAACAACAATCCATAGAAATGCATCCTTGTGCATCAATTTTTTCAGACTTTTTCTTGATCCTGTAAGCCATTTTTTTCCTCCCCAAACGTTGCAGATTCTTTGCCAAGCTTTCGGATGGGCCAACAAAGGAAGTTCCACTCCTCGATTCCGAAAATTGCAGTTGAAATATAATCTGGATAAATATTCATCCAGAGAATCCAAAATTGTGGTCATCCGGAAATATCAATCTGGCACGCAAGCAAGGGGGTGTTTGGAGAAAAATCCCAGCCATATGGAAAGAAGAGAAGGTAGACATTATTTTTTTTTATGTGATAAAAATAAAACTGCACGTCCACAAAGAATTAGCTTGGATGAATGCTTCCCCTGAACGCTGCTAAGCAAATTGCACTGTAATTATCTCCTCGCAAATCGCTCACTTTGAAATTAGCACAGATTGGGGGATATCTCCCGAATGAGAAAGCTGGTGCAATCCAATCGTTGCCGTATTTAACTGCAAAGATTTAGGCCCAAAGCCTTTTTCTTAGTCACAAATTCTCTAAACCAGGAGGGTCTCCAAATTTGGCAGCTTGAACATTTGTGGACTTCACCTCCCAGAATTCCCCAGCCAGCATGTGGGGGAATTCTGGGAGTTGAAGTCCTCAAGTCTTAAAGTTGCCAAGTTTGGAGAGCCCTGTTGGTAACCAATGTTTCTCAACAAACTGAGGCTATGTGGACTTCGACTCCCAGAATTCTGCATAACTGGCTGGGGAATTCTGGGAACTGAAGTCCACACAGCTTGGAGTTGCCAAGGTTGGAAAACGCTGCTCTCAATTTTTATATTTCAAACTTGGGGTGTGGGAGTAGTAATTTACTCTTCAGTTTGGGCCATGCTAAGGCTTTAAACAGGACAAGCAAATAAACTTGCTATTAATTAACAGTGTTAAATTAGATTATAGGCTAAATACAGGTTAGCTTTCTGCCTCTCCTCTTCTCTACATCTCTAGCCTTCTCTTTTTATTATGGGAACCATTGTTCTAATACCATTTGTACCAGAGGTGAAATCCAAATTTTATTACTACCGGTTCTGTGGGCATGGCTTGGTGTGTGCGGTGTGGCTTGGTGGGCGTGGCAGGGGAAGGATACTGCAAAATCCCCATTCCCACCCCACTCCAGGGGAAGGATACTGCAAAATCCCCATTCCCACCCCACTCCAGGGGAAGGATACTGCAAAATTCCCATTCCCACCCCACTTCAGGGGAAGGATACTGTAAAATCCCCATTCCCTCTCCACTCCAGGGGAAGGATACTGCAAAATCTCCATTCCCATCCCACTCCTAAGGGAAGGATATTCCAAAATCTCCATTCCCTCCCCACTCTGGGGCCAGCCAGAGGTGGTATTTGCCAGTTCTTTGAACTACTCAAAATTTCCGCTACCGGTTCTCCAGAACCTGCTGGATTTCACTCTTGTATTTGTACCAGGGGTGAAATTCACTTACCTTCCCTACCGGTTCGCAAATGTGAGTGCACCGCAGACATATGCACAGAGGCTGAAATCGTCACAAAAAAGTGACATCATGAATTTCACCCCTGATTTGTACTAAGAAATATACACTTCGTGGTATACTCTATACTGCTATTAGTAGTTGCCCTAAGAAGTATGCATTAAGTGTCATTCTCGTCGTAGACCAGTGCAAACTGTGGGACTCTGAAGACTACCTAGATCTTGACTCCTTCAACACCAATGTGTTTTTCGAAATTCTGCTTACCCAATCTCTGGCTGTGACAACCAAACTAAGTCAATTTAAAGAAGAGGTGAGTTATCACCACACAGAAGTCAAGGAATTGTGGATTTCTTCCATGCAGAAAGTTGGGGGTTTTTTTTCTCCTTAAAGACTAATTGTCAAGCAGCAAATTCTTGTGTGTGTGTGTCTGTATGTGTGTGATGCAAAGAAAGGAAGAGTTCTCATACTTCTCTTCAGTGGAGAAGTCCTGGTCATCTTCTGTAAACTTTGGAATGAGATGATAGATAGATAGATAGATAGATAGATAGATAGATAGATAGATAGATAGATAGATGGATGGATGCAGGGGTAGGCTGCTGGGGGTTCATAGGGGTTCGGGAGAACCTCTAGCTAAGATTCTGTGCAGTCCAGAGAACCCCCAAATCCCACTACTGGCTGGACCAGCCCACCCCTCCCCTCCCAAGATTCCCCATGCAATCTGTTTTGGATGCAGGTAAGTGCAGGGCACGCACGGAGGCTCGGGGAGGGTGAAAAACAGGCCTACCAGAAGTTTGGGAAGGGCCTCCGGAGCCTGGGGAGGGCAAAAACATCCCCCCTGCCACCGTGGTACAGAAGGCCAACTAGGCCACGCCCACCATGGCCACGCCCACCCAGCAACCGGGCAGAGAACTCCTTGCTAAAAATTTTGAAGTCCACCCCTGGGTAGATGGATGGATGGATGGATGGATGGATGGATGGATGGATGGAGATAGAGATATATATCTAGAGATAGCGATAGTGATAGAGATGGAGAGAGAGAGAGAGAGAAAGAGAGTGATAGAGATGGAGATGGAGAGAGAGAGAGAGAGTGATAGAGAGAGAGAGAGAGATGATAGAGAGAGAGAGAGTGATAGCAATAGAGATGGAGATAGAGATAGAGATAGCGAGAGAGAGAGAGAGTGATGATAGAGATAGAGATAGAGATAGAGATAGAGATAGAGATAAGCAAAAAATCTTCAAAGAAAAAACAGAAAGTTCAGTTGCCTCTTGAAAAAGCACCTTTGGCATAAGAACTAAGAATTAGGAGAAATTTCCTGACAGTGAGAACAATGAATCACTGGAACGACTATGTCTTCACAAGTTGTGGGTGCTTCATCACTGGAGGTTTTTAAAAAGAGACTGGAGAGCCACTTGTCTGGAATGGGATAGGGTCTCTTAGTTGAGCAGAGAGTTGGACTAGAAGATCTCCAAGGTCCCTTCCAACTCTGTTAATGTGTTGAATTCTTCTCTATGCTCATTTCGTTCGTAGCTGAAATCCATATACTTCAAACTCCTGGAGGAATTGGCCTCCCTCCGAGATCTTTGGGTAGCCAAAATGTGCGTTCCTGATGGAGGGAAACCTTGCAGTGAGGCTCTAAGGGAAGCTTACATGAAAGTCAAAGAAGAGGTAGGAGAATCAAAGGGACTTTTATGAGTTTTTTGGGCAGGGAGAGGGGAAACCTGAGTATTGTCCCCAGTATGCCCTTAAAACAGGATTTTTTTTTTCAACCATGGCAAGGTTAAGGCGTGTGGATTTCAACTCCCAGAATTCTGGGAGTTGAAGTCTCTATGATGAAAGAACCAGGAAGAGATCCCACATCCTGTAGAGACCTCAATTCTCTCCTTCCTTCCTTCCTTCCTTCCTTCCTTCCTTCCTGCCTGCCTGCCTGCCTGCCTGCCTGCCTGCCTGCCTGCCTGCCTTCATGCCTTCATGCCTTCATCCCTCCCTTCCTCTCTTCTTCCTTCCTTCCTGCCTGCCTGCCTGCCCTTCCTCTCTTCTTCCTTCCTGCCTGCCTTCATGCCTTCATGCCTTCATGCCTTCATCCCTCTCTTCCTCTCTTCTTCCTTCCTTCCTGCCTGCCTGCCTACCTGCCTGCCTTTATGCCTTCATCCCTCCCTTCCTCTCTTCTTCCTTCCTTCCTTCTTGCCTGCCTGCCTTCATCCCTCCCTTCCTCTTCTTCCTTCCTTCCTTCCTTTTTTCCTTCCTTCCTTCCTTTCTTCCTGCCTTCATCCCTCCCTCCTTCCTGTCTTCCTTCCTTCTTCCTTCTTTCCCTCCCTCGCTCCCTCCTTCCCTCAGCCAAAACAGAGTGCATCAAGAGGCTTGAATGTTGGAAACGATGGTCCCCAGATGACGTGTCCCTACTTTACGTTACGATTTAGGCAGAGGAGGAAATTAGGTGCAGAAAGCACCGGGCAGCAGAATACGAAGAGAGTTTGAACAGAGAGATCAACCTCTTGACTCAGCATCTGAAGCATGAGGAGGAACACTGGGTGGCCTTTAATTCTGCTCTCCGGGACGTTGTGAGGCAGGTGGAGATGTTGGATGAGGTGCTCTCTGGAGAAGAGCTTGGTTCAAATTCTAAACCGGAGCATCGGAGGTAAGAGCAATCCTTAAAAGCTTGCCTGCACCAACCCAGTTTCTCCTGGTCTGCTTGAACATATCACTTGCGATGTCTAGCTAGGCAATAGCGAGACTTGGGGCGGGGGGGACTCTCTTTGAAACATAGCTTGTTTGGGGACCTGTTTGCTGTCTTCTTCTCAGGTTGTTAAGCCTCATAGAAGCTGCGATCGAGAAGCTCACCAGCATGGTGGCCAAGGAGAACCATCGGCTCACGCAGTGGGGTCTTCTTGGAGAAGGAACAGGAGCAGGCCTTCTGAACAAAGAGAAGACCAAAGTGCTCCCCAAGGACGAGCTTGTTGGTAAGAGGGAACCCCCTTAAATGTTTGCTTTTTTAAAAAAAAGTGGGACTTGCTTTATCAATTTTGCTCTCGTTACCATGTTTCCCCGAAAATAAGACCCTGTCTTATATTGTTTTGAACCCCGAAATAAGTGCTTGGCCTTATTTTGGGGGAGGTCTTATTATTTTGGGGCACGTGGAGCAAGACGGGGCTCCTCTTGCCGTCTTACCTGATTTCCACCTCTGTCTCCCTAACCCTAACCAGAGGAAATGGCGGGGACTGGCTGCACATGCATTTAAATATTTTCGGGGACGGTTTATTTTCCGGGGGTGGGTTATTTTAACACATGTACTCAAAAGCCCGATTGGGTTTATTATCAGGGGAGGTCTTATTTTAGGGGAAACAGGGTAGGACTTTAGCTGATAAGGGTCATAGTGCAAAATGTATTATCCGTTTCTTTTCTTTTTTAAAAAAAAAATTATTAAACATTTTTTAAAAACAAAACGAAAGCTTTAACACTTTTTCTGTTTCAACAGTTTTGCATCAGTCAAAAATTTTATACTTATACATTTTTTCCTCCCTTATTTCTACTATATCTTTTATACATATACTTCTAATATTTATTTATTTACATATATATATACATAACAATACCCGTGTGCCCACTTTTATTTCTACAATTTTTGTTTCCTCACATTGGCAATTATACTTCAATTCCTATTTCGACCATTATTTAATTTTTCCCTTCCTTTTACCTCTCTCTTCCAACCATTCATACAATTTCTCCCACACTAAGTAATATTCTGTTTCCTCTTTTTCTTGTATCTCCTTTGTTAATTTGTCCATCTCCGCACATTCCAAAACTTTTCTGATCAGATTATCCGTTTCTAATAATAAAGGTGGGATACAAACAAACAAACAAATAAATATAGCAAAAGTTTTATTGATGAAACTTATATGCCACCCATCTCGGCATTCAAGCAACTCTGTTCAGTTCTCCATCTGCATTCCTGATGGACATTTGTCCAAATTGAAGACTGGGTTTGGAAACCAGTTAATGCTGCTTTTAAATGTCTGAGCCACCAAAGATTTGTATCTTTTCATTGTCTCCATCGTTGCTTTTAGAACCAAGTGGATCCTTAAAGACAGAAGAGGTTCTGCATCAGGATCTTGCCACGAGTCTGTTAATGCCCAACAGAGATGCCACCATGATTGTAGCCAATCGATCCATGAAATCTGCATCTCCAGATCACTTCCTGCATCCTGGGACAGGGAAACTGCTCCCAATAGCTGGGAATGTTGGCTTTGATCCTATCAAATCCAAGTTGATCCCCATGGTTGATTTAGTATCTGGTAAGAATACACTTTACCAAGGTGTTTTAAGGAATGTTATCATTATGCTAATTCTATTGATTTCATATCTTCTGTTTAAAAGCGTCAATTTGAATTCTTCATCACTCTTGGTCAGATCTAATTGCTTTTGACTGTCCATCACTTTGATCATGATATGAGCCGTGGTGGCACAGTGGTGAGAGTGCAGTACTGCAGGCTACTTCTGCTGACTGCCGGCTGCCTGCAATTTAGCAGTTTGAATCTCACCAGGCTCAAGGTCGACTCAGCCTTCCATCCTTCCGAGGTGGGTAAAATGAGGACCCAGATTATTGGGGGCAATACGCTGACTCTGTAAACCGCTTAAAGAGCGCTGTAAAGCGGTATATAAGTCCAAGTGCTATTGCTATTGCTATCATTCTTGCTGTAGGGTTGGACCTCTCCTGGTCTTGGGCTCTGTAGGTGTGTGCTGGACTTCCAAGCCAGGTGTCCATGCTGCATTTGGAGGGAACAATTGTGGGTTGTTTTAACCCCAACTAATCAATCATAATGCCCTTCAATGCTTGATCCTTGTATGCTGTTCTTATAAGTTCTGTTTCTCTTTGGGGGTTTCTGCTTAGGAGAAATTCAACATCATTTGGACCTCCCAATCTTCTCCTTTGTTCCATATCCTATTTGTCCTGAAACTGGCCTTCCAGGAAGAATGAATTTACCTGTTCTGCAACTTGAGAAAGTATTTAAGTTTGGAGGCCTGATGCAAGATCCAATTACTGGAATGGAAGTGCCAATCCTGGCCATCACTGCTCATCCCCAAACTGGCCAATGGTTGACCTTGGGTGGGACATACCTGAATCCTCTCACAGGGATGGTGACCCCCCTCGAAATCGGAGGGCCCATGAAAGCACAAGAAAGTGGAAAAACCGTTCCTATCCTTGGTGTCAGTTTGGACAATAATACAGGTAGAGAAAAAACTCGCTGACTGGACTAATTTTTGTTCACGAAAGACATGGCAAGAGGGTTCATGTCTTGATGGAAAGGGATGGTCACTGAAAAAGGCAGCAGCTTCGCTTCCAGAAATTACCAACTCATTGATAAATGCTAAATAAGATATTCATCTCCCATAAACTGAAAACTACCCCTTCTGTTTTCCTATTGTGGGAAAGACCAAGAGTCACTCACCTGTGTGTTTATGTTTAGTAACTTACCTGGGAGCGAGATGGCAATTTCAAGAGTTTATGTTCCTCCTAAGGGTTCCTTATCTTTAAACTGGGTGGATTGGGCTTTCTGTCCAGAGGAAGATACCTACAATCAGAAGTGGACATCTGTATAGTTAGATTCAGAGGTGGTATTCAGCCGGTTCAGACCGGTTCTAATGAACCGGGAGCAGAAATTTTGAGTAGTTCGGAGAACTGGCAAATACCACCTCTGGTTAGCCCCAGCCCCGCCCCTTCCAGGAGTCCCCACGCACCCCATTTTGCCTCCCAGGGAGCTGCAGGAAGCCTAGCCTGTAAGGCTGGGGCACCCAGTCAATCTATTTGCTGCCTCCCAGCTGATCAGCGTGGTTGGTCTATTGATGGCTCCCAGCCTCCCAGCTGATTGGCTGGGTCTTCTTTTGTTGCCCTGCACAGGAGAACGGAGCTGGAAAGCAGGTTAATGGAGTGGGGAGGGAATGGTGATTTTACAGTATCCTTCCCCTGCCATGCCCACCAAGCCACGCCCACAGTACCGGTCGTAAAAAAGTTTGAATCCCACCACTGGTTAGATTACTATAAAGTAGGACACCCCTTTCTTGCACATGGCATGCAAGGAAGGCACTCTCATTCCTTGATGCCTCCAAAAATTCATTAGCATGGGATTGGAAGTCCTACCATCCACCTGGATGGTACCACAATCTTGGAGGTTCACCGCTAGTCTTAGAACCATAAAATGGAAGATTTGGAAGGAACCATGAAAATCTTCTGGTCCAACCTTCTGCCCCAAGAAGACCAATCTTCCAGGAATTCTGAATTCTTTTTCATGAGCTACAGTAGTACTCATCTCCAGATGTTTCCCGCTTATGATTCCAGGTTTTTCTTTAACATGTTGAGTTCTTCCTTAATTACTCCTTTGATCTTTATGGTTTGACAATAGTGGACTAGCAAGGACAAGGGATGGTCCCTTTTTAGAGAATGGTGATTATTCTGGGCTCCCCCAGTTTTGATGAGAAGCCCAGATGGTTAAAAAGTAGAGCTTTACATGGACTGCAGTCTACATGCAAAGCCATGGATTTTTTTCAAAATATTATTTCAGAAGCTAGAGGAAAAAAATCAATACACTTTCCAGCTTTGCCAAATACAGAGGGAGAATGAATATATATATTGACAATAGAGAGATTACTTGGAAGAAGGCAATGAAAAATAATGAAAAGACTCTATTCATTAAATCAGCTGCCCCAGCTGCTTTGACTCTCTCAAAAAGTAGTTTAGCCAATCAATAAATATAATAAACAAGGCATTAAAAATAGGTTTGCTTTGGTCTTCTAAGCTCAGAAGATTAGAAAACATTTCCCATTCTGCCCAGCCTTGTACCATCGATTTTTAATAATGAAAATCAACCTATTTATGATTTTTCTGAAAATTCAATCAACTCCATGATATAGATTAAATGGAAACACCCCAAAATCTAATGGGTCTTGATTTACCATACTCCACTTCCAGATGAATTTCAGAGAAAACGAATTGAAAACGAATTGTCCACATCATCTGACCCTGTTGTGACTTATCATGATTTATGAAGGGTAGAAATAGAGTTGAAGACATCTATCATCAGTTGAGGATCCATTCAGGATGAGCTGGGATGGACTAATGTTCTCTTGCTGTCCTCTGAACACAGGACTCGTTCTTCCACTAGGAGGACTACAAGGTCCTTCTGGAGATCTTCTGCTTCCTGGAGACCCCTTTGTGGAGCCCTTGAGTGGCAAGATGGCTCGCATGCAGGGCCTCTCCCTTCAGCAGGACAAAGTAGTGCCTCATGCAGGGGGCTACCAGGTAATGTTGGAAGCCAACGTTCTCATCGCCCAGACTCTCGTGGTGAAAGCTCTGCAGAAATATAAAGTCTCCATTGGCAAGGATCTAAGCTCAACGGGCACTTTGCCAAAAAGTCTCGAGGGGCCAGAAGAAGCCATGAAAACGGCACTGGCCCACCATCTTGATTATTTGATGTACCAGCTACAGAACCTGGAGAAGCAACGAGATGGTGCTTCCAGGGTCAAGAGAACAGGTGGAAAGCTGGGTAGGTCTTGGGATGGATTTTATTTATTTATTTGGTTGGTTGGTTGTTTTTTGTTTACATTTCATACTTCTGAACTTCCCATCTCCCTCAGAGAGGGGCTCCGGGCAATGTGCAATTCAATCAATAACATTAAACATTATGGAACGACAAAAAGCCGAGAGTGAAATTGAAAATTATGCAAGATGTTCCAGAAAGAGGAGGCCTTAAACTTCCAAACCTACAGTTATATTATGATGCAGCAGCTTTAACTTTAACAAGTGATTGGTTTGGAAGTAAAAAGGCTGGAATATTGAATGCAGAAAGTTTTGATCTTGAATTTGGATGGCATGCTTACCTATTTTATGATGACAAAGTTGATAAAGTATTTAAAAGTCATATACTTAGAGATTCTTTGATGAGAGTTTGGAAGAAGCACCGACTCAAATGGGATTATAAAATACCGCTATGGCTGGATCTTGGTCATACCTTGTGGAATACAAATATAATGTCACTCGGGGGGTTTTTATACAAAGAGGTTCTTTTTACAGATGCGGGTAGATGGCAGCTGAAGACCTTGCAGACACTGTTGGACGAAGGGATTAATTTAACTTGGTTACAATATAATCAATTACAATTGAGATGGAAAGAGGACCAAAAAACTGGTATTATGTTGCATGAGGAAGAATTGGTTAGACATATAAGACAGAAAGGTCCAATGCATATTAAAAGGCTTTATAATGTTTTGCTAGAAAGGGATTCAGAAACGGAATTAGTTAAAGATTGTATGATTAAGTGGGCACAAAATTTTGAGGAACCAGTGATGTTGGAAACATGGGAAAAAATTTGGGTTCAGAATGTTAAATTTACACAGTCGCAGAATCTGAGGGAAAATTTTTATAAAATGTTTTATAGATGGCATTTAGATCCTAAAAAGCTGTCATGTATGTACCCTAATGTTCAGCCAAAATGTTGGAGATGCGAATGTTTGGATGCTACGTATTATCATGTTTGGTGGACCTGTAGGAAAGTTAAGGCTTTTTGGATAAAAATATGGTGGGTCATGCAGAATGTTTTGAAGAAAAAAATTCAATTTTCTCCACAATTGTTTTTATTGGGTATAGTTAAGGGTTTTACACGGGGTGAAATAAAATTAATATTGTATATGATAACAGCAGCAAGATTGTTGATAGGTAAATACTGGAAGAATGAAGCTTTGCCTACTATCGAGGAATGGACTTTGAAGATGGCCAGTTTTGCAGAGATGGCGAAGATTTCAGCATATTTAAAAGATTGTTCACAAGAGACTTATGAATGGGAATGGAAAAGGTGGATAGAATATGTTCAGAACAAATACCAAACTAGAAAGTACCAAATAGCTTTTATTTGAAAATAATGTATTAGAAATATCTTAATGTAAAGAGATAAAGAGGGAAGATAATATAGGGGGAGGGATGGGTTCAGGTATATATATCAGTATTATTAGTTATGAGTACATAATAGGGAAGTCTGGGGGGGAGGGTTAGGGAGGGTTAGGGAGGATGGGAAGTTTGGGGAGGGAGGTGGGGGGGTGAAAAAAGGGGTGAAAATGTAATTGTAAAACTTTTGCAATAAAAAAAAAAATAACATTAAACATTAAAATCAGAATAATATAGAGTTTTAACAAATTAAAATTATAAAAGAAGACTATAAAATTTCGAAAGGTGAAGTATTCTGAGATGGGGGGGGGATTAGCAGTTGTTAATACAAGCGGGAGTTCTCGTGGCCACATGGTTGTGTGGAGCTCTGTGTCCACCACGCAAGGCTACACAACAGAGGTGAAATTCAAAATTTTTTACTACCGGTTCTGTGGGCGTGGCTTGGTGGGTGGGATGTGGCTTGGTGGGCATGGCAGGGGAAGGATACTGCAAAATCTCCATTCCCACCCCACTCCTGGGGGAAGGATATTGCAATATCCCCATTCCCACCCCACTCCTCGGGGAAGGGTATTGTAAAAGCTCCATTCCCACCCCACTCTGGGGCCAGCCAGAAGTGGTATTTGCCAGTTCTCCAAACTACTCAAAATTTCCACTACCGGTTCTCCAGAACCTGTCAGAACCTGCTGGATTTCACCTCTGCTACACAACCAAGTTGTGACTTCTTACCCAAGAGATTGAGGACTGTCCTCACCTCTGAGGGTCAGATGTTCCACAAAGCTTAAGGATGAAGCTGTTGATGGAGGAGCTACAGAGGATGGACTTACGGGTCAGAGAGGATGGGAAGCAGGAAAGGAAACTCTCCCAGTTGGGTGCCCAAGTCCATTTTTTCTTCTTTTACAGCTGAATGGTTGTTATTCTATCTTTTTGAAGCCGTCTAAAATTGATTGCGTGCCATGAAGTCATTGTTGACTCCTAGCAACCACATAGATTTCCCCCCCCCCCATGATGATCTATGCCTAACCTGGCCTTTCAGGTCTTCTGAGGGTGCCTTCATCTATTCATCCTCTTCAAATATAGCTGTTAAATACAATCTGTGCTTTGTCTTTTAGTCATAGATCTTGCTTATAGATCTTTGTTTATGAGCCACAATAGCTAGTTTTGTACATTGCAGAAAACCAGTGTGAAACAAACATACTAGGGTGTAGTAGAGGAGGAGAAGGAAAAATTGGAAGGGAAGGGGGGAAGGATGGAAAGAAGGAAAGGAGAGATAAGAGGAAGGAATGAGGGAAAGAAGGAAGGAAGGAAGGAAGGAGAAATAAGAGGAAGGAAAGAAGGAAAGAAGGAAAGGAGATAAAAGGGAGGGAGGAAGAAAGGAAGAAGGAGAGATAAGAGGAAGGGAAGAAGGAAAGAAGGAGAGATAAAAGGGAGGGAGGGAGGGAGGAGAGATAAGAGGAAGGAAAGAAGGAAAGAAGGAGAGATAAAAGGGAGGGAGGGAGGAAAGAAGGAAGGAAGGAGAGATAAGAGGAAGGAAAGAAGGAAAGAAGTAGAGATAAAAGGAGGGCGGGACAGAGGAAGGAAGGAAAGAAAGAAGGAAAGAAGGAGAGATAAGAGGGAGGGAGGGAGGGAGGAAGGAAGGAAGGCACAAATATACAGCTCAGGTAGATTCTCAAAACCTTGGTCATTCATTAGCCATCTGTAGTTCTGATTTTAGTGATATGTTTTGTCCTTATTATAAACGAAATTAGGAATGATCCAGTATCTCAACACAGAATTTTGGATCTCTGCTGTGTTTGGGATGAAAATTCCAGACCCTGGAAGTTCGGAATTGATGGTTCCAGTCCTTGGTGTGGAATGTGATTGGAAAACGGGTCAGCCGATACCATTAGCTGGGGTGACAGAAGATGCTGACGGGAAAGGTAAAAATCTGTTTGGGTGATCACCTTTGATATCCTTATTGTCACATCTAATTGGACCCCAAAATTGGTTCACCCCTGGTGAACAATTGGCTTTGGCTTTGCTAATTATCACTTTCCAATAAACCACCATGGGAATTCTTCCACTCCTGGGGGAAGAATATTGCAAAATCTCCATTCCCTCTGGGACTCTGGAACCAGCAAGAGGAGGTATTTGCCGGTTCTCCGAACTACTCAAAATTTCTGCTACCGGTTCTCCAGAACCTGTCAGAACCTGCTGGATTTCATCCCTGCTTCTCATCCAAGAAGCTTTTTCAGCTCTGGTTGAATGGTGGGGAAGGGAAGGATTTATACCCCTTGCAGATAGCAATGCATCCTTTCAAATCCTTCCATTCCCCACCATCCAGTCAGAGCTGAAGAAGCTTCTTGGATGAGAAGCGAAACGTCTTCAAAGGGAAAAAAAACCCAGAAAAGTCCAGTTGCCTCTTGAAAAAAGCACCTTTGGGACAAAGGTCTTGAGTCTCCAGAGAAAGACGGCATATAAATTGAATTAATAAATAATAAACCATGACGTGGAGGGCTGAGAATCTCGGTAGACACCTAAAGATTTATTTTCTTTGCCTGTCTTGTAGGCCTGGTTCCCATCACAATAGGCTTCAGAGCCATCGATCCCATCACAGGGGAGATGGGACCGGTGATTGGAGCTCAGATCAACCCTTGGACTAAGGCTGTCCTTCCTGTAGTCCAATCCCAAGGATGCTTGCCGAGAGAAAACGTAGACCCTGATTTGGTAATGCTCTTCTACCATCTTCATAGAGGAAGCTTTCTCGTACGGATTCTCCAAAACCTCTTTGTAACGTGTGTCGTATTTACAGTTGGCCGCCCTGGTCAAGGAGCTGATGGCCAGACGGGCATATTGGCATTCCCAACGCGAGAAAGAACAGGAGATATTTAAGGAGGTGGATCACCTGTCTCGGGATATCCTCGATGCTGCCAAGGAAGGGAAAATTGGAAAGGTGAGTCTGGGATTGTCTCGTGATGTTGACTTGCTAGGAAGACTTGAAGATACTGGCTGGACCGGTTGTTGCCAACCAGATGTTTGGAGTTACAGTCCTTCCCCTTCCACCTTAGCCAGAGAGGATGGACGGAACAGGTCAGTGCAATTCTTCATTAGGTTATTTTGTGCACAGGTAGTCCTCGATTTATAACCATTCATTTAGTGACCGTTCGAATGAGTGGTGCGGTGGCCTAGAGGTGGCGCTCTCGCCTCACAATCAGGAGTTCGTTCCTAGGTAGAGGCAGATATTTCTCTCTCTGGGCACAATATATTTGCTGAATATAACTCCACATTGGCGATAGGAAGGGCATCCAGCCAGTAAACACTCAGCTCCATTCAGTTGCTCAGACTCCCAAAAGGGATTATGGGGTCATTAAAAGAAGATGATTTAGTGACCATTCAAAAATGCAACAGCACTGAAACAATGTTGTGTCCTAGGATTCCTGAGTCATTAAAACACACAATTAGTCCCAAAAACCTCTTTTATTGCAACAGCTGTGAATTACGTTCATTCACAGCTGAGTCCCAATTAGTTGCAAAAAGTCCTTTGGGAGAAATCCTTCGGGATAAGCACCAACCTTTATCTCCCTTGACACGCTGCCAAAGACCTACTTGGCAAAGCCACACAGAGTCCAGAATCAAACAGAGATGCCGACTGGGAACAGAATTAACAACGTTGCTTTCCAGCCCACAATTTTCTATGTATTTTCCTCTCCGGCAGTTCTGGTTTAGAGAGAAATTAAAAGCTGCTGACAAAATTTGCCACCTCCTGGAATCGTCATCAGTCCAAGAAGGTCAAAGGCAGGTCGGCCGAGACCTGACAGTTTTGGGGAACCCTGAACGATCTTTATGGTTGAGAGGTAAGGAAGGAATTCTACATAAATGAGGTAGAATCTTTGCAGAATCTTTGGAGCATTCAAAGCATCTTTATGAAGAGATGCCTGCTGTGGAGAGAGAGAGAAAAAGGGAGGGAGGGAAGGAAGGAAGGAAGGAAGGAAGGAAGGAAGGAAGGAAGGAAGGAAGGAAGGAAGGAAAGGAAGGGAAAGGAAGGGAAGGGAAGGGAAGGGAAGGGAAGGGAAGGGAAGGGAAGGGAAGGGAAGGAAGGGAAGGGAAGGGAAGGGAAGGGGAAGGGAAGGGAAAGGAAGGGAAGAGGGAAGGGAAGGGAAGGGAAGGGAAGGGAAGGGAAGGAAGATGTAAAATAGAAACAGGATTTGTTTGCATGCATTGTGTAAACCGGAAGCAAAACAGGAGGTGATTTGATTGTAAACTGAGTTCATATATTCATTAAAATTATTTGCTGCCCATCTCACCATAAGGGAGCCCCACATGATCAGACCAAAATAACCCTGAAACCCAGGGCATGAGGAGAGGAGACCATGATCAAATGATGGCTTGCTTTCCATGCCAGTTAAAGCTAGGTGGGCTGGTGGGGGCTGCTTATTGTGCATATTCATGCCATGCAATTAAAGTCAGGTCTACTGTTGACCTCCGAGATGGTCAACCTTTCCATGGTTTTAAAGGGACAGACATTTGAAGAGGGGGGGTGCGGAGTGGGGGGAGCAATGGTTATTCCAGAAGGTGGCTTTACGCTTGCAAACCTTCCCAATCTGGGAATTTCGTGGCTTTAGTCGACAAGGACGAAAAAGAGCAGGAGGCCAAAGTCCAGCTTTTGCTCAGGAAAACTTTGGAAAAATTGGCGCACTTCCTTCGGAAAACACAGCTGGACGATCATCGGATCGAGATGCAGCTGAAGGAAGCCGAGCGACATTGGAACAGGAACTCCCGCACCCGGGAAGCCATCAGAGAGAAATTCAGAAAGGTGATTCCCTGGCCCACTCCCATCCATCCCCACAACCCTGATCTACTGGGATCTCGGTTTTTAATGTCTGTTTCAAAAGAGAGTGTGTCTTTTTATCAATGGCTGCTCTACCGTTTTGATTTTTTTTTTTTGATCACGTGACCCTGGGGGGGCTGCAACCATCTACGACAGTGGTGGGTTTCAAAATTTTTTACTACCGGTTCTGTGGGTGTGGCTTGGTGGGCGTGGCATGGCTTGGTGGGCGTGGTTTGGTGGGCGTGGTAGGGGAAGGATACTGTAAAATCCCCATTTTTTATTTATTTATTTATTTATTTATTAGTCATATTTCTTTTTTTATTATTGAAAAGTTTTATAGAAAGTACACACATTTTCATCCCCCCACCCTTCCCCCCTCAACCCCCCCCCCTTTCCCCCCCCCCCCTTCCCCCCCTTCCTCCCCCCACCCCCCTCCCTAGACTTCCCAGAACATGCAGAGGGTATAGCATTCGCAAATCAAAAGCTAAAATATGCTAACAAATTGTTACATTTCATATTCTCCCTTGATCCTTAACTCCTTATAATTCAAAAAACAAACATAAATTACTTAAGATTACTTCATTCGTATGCTATATGAATCTTCTTATTCGGATACTTCTTCTGTATATAATCGATCCATCTTCTCCATTCCAATATGTATCTTTCATTTGAGTGGTCTTTAAGATATGATGAAATTTTCGCCATCTCTGCCAAATGCACAACTTTTAATGCCCATCCCTCAATGGTGGGTGGATCTTCCTTCTTCCAGTACTGTGCCACCAGTAACCTGGCAGCTGTTATTAAGTTCAAAACCAACTTAGTCTCTATTACATTACAATCCATGACTATTCCCAACAGAAAAAACTGTGGCGTAAATTTGATTTTTTTTCTTTAAAATGTTTTGAATAATCCACCATATTTTTATCCAAAAAGCCTTAATTTTTTTTACATGTCCACCATATATGAAAATATGTAGCATCTCTTTTAGTCATATTTCTATGCCGCCCACTCTCCGAGGACTCTGGGCAGCTTACACCAAAGACAGTATACTAAATAGCATCTTGCCCCCCAACAATCTGGGTCCACATTTTACCCACCTCGGAAGGATGGAAGGCTGAGTCAACCTTGAGCCGGTGAGATTTGATCCGCTGATCTGCTGAACTAGCAGTCAGCTGAAGTAGCTGCAGTACTGCACCCTAACCACTGCGCCACCTCGGCTCTTTCCTCCCCACTCCAGGGGAAGGTTACTGCAAAATCCCCATTTCCTCCTGATCAGCTGGGACTCGGGAGGCAGAGAATAGACGGGGGCAGGGCCAGTCAGAATTTTTACTACCAGTTCTCCGAACGACTCAAAATTTCTGCTACCGGTTCTCCAGAACTGGTCAGAACCTGCTGAAAATCCATCTCTGATCTACGACCATTTTTTTATACTTATGACCGTTGCAACATCCCCATGGATTCACAGGCTTGGCAAGTGGCATGGACTTATGACGGTTGCCATGTCCCAAGGTCACGTCATCTCCTTTTGCGACCTTCTGACAAGCAAAGACAATGGGGAAGAAGCCAGATTGTCTGAACAGCCGTGTAACTAACTTAATAAATGCAGGGATTTGCTTAATAGCCGTGGCAAGAAAGGTTGTAAAATGGGGCGAAACTCAACAAATGTCTCGCTTAGCAACATATATTCTGGGCTCAATTGTGGTCGTAAGTTGAGAACCGCCTGTAGCCACTCACTTATTATAAACAACTAGGAAATGCATCGTCCAGAAAAAATCCTTTGTCTAATTTAAGTACATGGATGAAAAATTTAAACATAGACACCATGAGAATATATCTGCTGAACAAAACTCTGTATTGGAAACAGGAAAGGCATCCGGCCATTAAAATACTCTGCTAGCTCCATTCGTGACTGAGAATCTCCATAGATATATAAACCAAGCGCAGAGAACACTAAAGACCTCATTCACCAGACTATTTCTCCTTGTGAGACCCACCCTTGATTCTTCTAGCAGGAGATGGTCCATAAGGAAAGTTCAAAGAAGACCATATTTTGCAGAATCATAACTGTTAAGTCCGGACACGAAAAGAGAGGCAGGACAATCATAGTAAAGTAAAACAACTGTTTATTGCAGGCAACAGCAATCTAACTATGAATTGAGAACTTGTTGTGGCTCCGTTACCTGAGCCTGTGTCATCGGCAGGAGAGGACTCCAAGAGTAAAGGAGAGGAGTTGGCAAGGCCTCCCTCTCCAGGACCCTCCTCTCTGGCAATGCCTTCGGTGTCCGCCGAAGGGCAAGGGATAGGGCCGGGGCCAAGCACGTCCACGCAGCCACAGGTGGACAGTGATGAGGGTAATGAGTCTTGGCTGGATCCTCGGCAGCGTTGCAGAGATAAGCGCATGCAACAGAAGAAAAGGCGTGCCAGAGATTAGGCTGAGTCACTGGACCACACCCCACAGGGTATAAAAGGGGGTGAGGTGGCCATTCAGACTCTGTGACGGACAAAACTAATTACTATCGAGTCACATTGCATCTTTGGAAACAACATTATCGGCCTTGGATTTATTTTACGAACTGGACAATTCTTGACTGTGGGTATTTTGTTTATTGAGTAAAAGTTCTTGGCAAGCAGCTACTGGGTTGCTGCCAAGCGTCTTATCAGAAGAATTGGTTGTCTGCCAGTTTATTTAACCCCCGGCTGTCTGTTTGTGTGCGTGTGTGAGACAGGGACAGAACAGAACTGCCTGAGGCTGCAGCTCCTTTTACAGGGAGCTGTCCAGCCTGTCAGCCACTGACACTTGTTCATTTTCCCGCCGGCGGGAAAATGAACCAATGAGTGAAGGCTGATGTAAGACTCACTCCTACTTGCATATTCAACAATAACCTCTTTTCTCTATCTCAGGACTGTCTCTCTGGTTCTTCTCAAAGCTTCATGAGCTACCCGGCTGCAAGGTTCTACAGCATGGCGGCTACTCCCTGTGGAAGTTGGGAGGTCATCAATAAAAAATTGATCCCCTTGCTGAAATCGGTACTCCAGACCCTGGAGGAGAACAAAAGAGATTCTTCATTGCCTGAGGAACATCAGGAATCAGGAGGTACCACTGACTATCTTGTGCTGGACATGTTTTTTTTTTTTAAATATATATATATATACTAATGGCTGGGGTCAAAAGAGGTCTCCAATTTACTAATCAAATTGATTTAACAGTCTTACCTTTAGGCCAAGGTTGAGCATGCCTGAGACCTCTGAAGTCCCCAAACCCTTTTTTACAGTTCCCAGAATTCCCAAGATTGCAGCACAAAAAATAAGTTGATATGTGTTGTGACTAGGCTTACTGAGCCATTACAATACACAAATTAGTCCCAAACAAACCTATTTTATTGTAACAGCTGGGAAATTTGTTCATTCCCAGCTGAGTCCCAATTAGTTGCAAAACAAGTCCTTTGGAAGATGTCCTTCGGGATTATCACCAACCGTTATCTTCTTTGACACCCCGCCAAAGGCTTTACTTGGCAAAGCCCCACGAAGTTCAGAAACAAACAAGAGATGCCGACTGGAAACAGAGTTAGCAACGTTGCTTTCCTGCAAAAAGGCCAAGTGCTCTTTTTCTCTTTTAAGCCTTATGGGAGGGGCAGTAATCTCCTGGCTTTACTCCCGAGTTGTCCCTTTTGCTTTAGCTGCTCGTGCTTCTGGCAGCTCTGTGCATGCGTGGCATTAGAACAGGCTTTCCTGTTCCTCTGCCTCTCTGCTGTCTGACTCTGGGGGCTCGGAGTCCGCAGCATCATCCCAGATGGTCCTGGCCCCATCTCTGCCTTAGACGCAGAGCCCTCGTCAGGGCCTTCCCCAGTCTCCAGGACTGGCCCATGGTCCTCCCAGCCTCCTTGCTGTCAACTCCACTGCCAGCTCCGCAGGCTGCTGGCGGACCACAACAATGTGATGGAATGTAGTCTGGATTCCCAGAAGAGAGGAGCTACATTCCAGAGGACCAAGATACAGTGAAGATTAGATTGATTGATTGATTGATTAGTTGGTTGGGAGGAAGGGAATTAAGTCGGCTCTCCCTAGCAATTCCTAGAGTGTATCTTAATGACGCAAATAATCGGCTTCAGTTTAGCAAGATTGCCATCTTGCTACAAAAAGACCAAGAAAGACATGTTGAGATTGTTCTAAGCCATTTCCTTTCTTGTTCCTCATCTATAGACAGATATCTTGCCAATATATATATTAATGGAACAGAAATGAATTCAGTGCCTGTGTTTCATTTTCTGGCAGAAACTCACAATTCTTTCCAGGATGTATTGGATCTTCAGATGCTTCCTAAATCTGGAGAACTTGTCCCTGTTCTTGTTTCAAGCCTTTCTGCGAGGGAATTTGTAACCTACCAGTATGGCATTGTCATTCTGCAATTTCTCCGACCTTATATTGGTGTAAGTGTTGAAAAAGTGGGAGTGTCTTAAACAAATGGTTTCCATCCAGTTAGAACAATGAATCAGTGGACTGCTTGCCTCCAGAAGTTGTGAAAGCTCCAACACTGGAAGTTTTTAAGAAGGTGTTGGATAACCATTTCTCTGAAGTGGTGTAGGGTTTCCTGCCTGGGCAGGGGGTTGGACTGGAAGACCTCCAAGGCCCCTTCCAACTCTATTATTCTATTCTATTCTATTCTATTCTATTCTGTTCTGTTCGTTCTGTTCTGTTCTGTTCTGTTCTGTTCGATTCTACTCTACTCTACTCTACTCCACTCCACTCCACTCCACTCTACTCCACTCCACTCCACTCCACTCCACTCCACTCACTCCACTCTACTCTACTCTACTCTACTCTACTCTACTCTACTCTACTATTCTACTCTACTCTACTCTACTCTACTTCTATTCTACTCTACTATACTCTATCTACTCTATTCTACTTAATTCTATTCTATTCTATTCTATTCTATTCTATTCTATTCATTCTATTCTATTCTATTCATTTCCTCAATGAACAGCCCAAATAAACTTGTACACTGTATTTTGAATTTCTATATTATTATCCTTGGATTGGAAAGCGAATCATAGCCCCCATTTCTGATTACTCTTAGGCTCCAGAGGTGGAATTGTGTCTTGCCTCCAGAATTCCTTCTAGCAAAATTCCGGGAATGCTTTCAGAAACAGCTTTTATTACCAGGTAAGCTATCCTGAGTGGAAAATGTAACAGGCACAGATCTAGTTCATACATTGCACTGTCCTGTTGGCTTTCTGATAAATAGTGTATTTTCTGCACAAGGCCTCTAGTGGCTCAGAAACTACGATGAAGGTTCTTTAGCTGGATTCCACTCACCATTTGTAGCTCATTCCATACATCAGGAGTAAGTACACCATGATTTAATTACTAACCCACTCAAAGAGTGGAAGCAAAGTTCAAAAAAAATCTGTGCACCAAGATTTGACACACAACTGTGTGTCAGTTCATGGATCTAGTTGTGATTGTGGTTATCTCTTAAAGAGGCAATGCCCAGGCTCTTTTTGATGAGTTACTACCTATTGCATCTTCATTCCCATCCTCCATCCAGGCCCCCTGAACTGGAGGAGACAGTAAGGTCATCACAGCATGGTTGAAAATACAAGTTTGGGAGTGAGCGAACCAAGGAGAGTGTTTAAAAAGGAAGATGTGATGGAGAACTTCCTAAATATTAGAAACTTGAAGATCATGGATGTCAAAATCTCAGAATCTTACTGGTCTCCACTTTCCTTTTTGGCAATCATTTTTAAAGGAATTTTGATCTTCCTTTTCTTCAGATTCCTGGCCACCAACTGTTTGTCTTAAGAGAGTCTCTGGCCTGTGCCGGGAGTTTTGTCCTGCTTCTTGTCCACTGCCTGGCCCACATCACTGCCGATGACTTCAACCAAGATTCCAAGCCAGCTTTTCGAAGACTGTTTTACCAGGTGAAAAATAACAGCAAACTTAAAACTCTGGGGTTTCTCTCTCTCTCCGTCCTTTCCTTGTTTGCAAAGGCTGCTTTGCCACGGACCTCTTTGGTCTCTAATCTAGCCTTTCTCAGCTTCCGTGCCTAAACTCACCATCTCCTGGTTTCTAGCCACGTGCCTTGTTCCCTAAACCAAACTGCCAAGAAGCAGCTAACCACCAAGAACGGATTCTAAAAGACCACCAACTCGTTCATTTATTTTAGATTTATATCCCACCTTTCCTGAAGATGCCAGAAACCCACACAGCCTCCTCATTCCCCAGCCAGCTCCTTTCTAAGATCCTAAATCCAGCCTGATCATATTTGGCTTCCGAGATCAGACAAGATCAGGCTCTTCCAGAACAGTTAACCCTGATTTTCAAAGCTTTTGCTTTCATTTTCTCCCCAATTTGCTCGTCACCCCTTGTCCTAAGGCAGAGGTCTTCAAACTTGGCAACTTTAAGGTAGGTGGACTTTAACTCCCAGAATTTCAGGTTCAGTTCATCCAACTGAACAATCCTCAGTATTTATGACTTCCCTCCTATAAGCAGAGAGCTATTGACACCTGAGCTACAGGTAACTTCCTTATCCTTTCCCCGAAAAGCATTTGCTTTCCTACGAAGCTTTCTGAATCAACTCTCTCAGGAGTGGGATTCAGCCGGTTCGGACCAGTTTGGGTGAATCGGATGTTAATTTTAATCTGGTTCGGCGAATCGGTTGTTGCAAGGATTGGCTGACCCCGCCCACCCCAGCCTGCCCCTCCCAGGAGTCTCCACGCAGCCCGTTTTGGATGCCATGTAAGTGCAGGGCCCGCACAGAGGCTCTGGGAGGGCAAAAAATGGGCCTACCAGAAGTTCCAGAAGTCTGGAAACAGGCCCGTTTCCGGCCTCCGGAGGGCCTCCAGAGTCTGGGGAGGCCATTTTCGCCCTCCCAGAGGCTCGAGGAAAACATCCAGAGCCTGGGAAAAGCGAAAAACAGGCCTACCGGAAGTACTGGAAGTCTGAAAACAGGCCCGTTTCTGGCCTCTGGAGGGCCTCCAGAGCCTTGGGGAGGCAATTTTCGCCCTCCCAGAGGCTCAAGAAAAGCCTCCGGAGTCTGGGGAGGGCAAAAATGACCCTACCTCCCGGTGGTGCAGGAATCCAAGTAGGCCATGCTACTATGGCCACGCCCACCCAGCAACGGGCAGAGAACCTGTTGCTAAAATTTCTGAATCCCACCCCTGGACTCTTTTCAGATAAGGTATTTTCTGAAAGGTCCAATTTTTATTTAAATTTATTTTGCCTCTCAGGCCCTTAAAGCCTGCCTAGGGAAATGTTCTCACTGAGGCTCCAGGCGTCAGCATTTTTCAGAAGAGGGTAAATCTGCGGCCGCTGTGGTCAAGCAGGCTTTGCAGAAGAATGAGGAGGCATCTGCTGAGCTTCTCTTGGAGCCCCTGCGTGCCAAGGTGAAGGGCTGCACGGACTCCCAAAAGGTGAATGCTTCAGGTATTCTCTGCTCCTGTAAAGATGTCCTGGTTGGAGAGGTTTGTTCCCATGATGATCCTCTGTGTGGGGTGCATGTTTGGGGCTATGAGCTAAATCTTAGAATTGATTTGCAAGAAAGTGAACCATATCAGAGTTTCTTGCAAAAATCAAATCCAGAAGCACACACAGATAACTGATTCAGTTGGATTCATTAACTCCATTATATACATAATAACAGATGAAGTATTTACATTACCAATATAGATTTTTCTTCAACGTAGTAGCAGTTACAACACAAGGCAGGAGAGAACAGTTAGTTTCATTTCAGCAGAGCAGACAAGCGCACCCACCCACACTGATTTCAGTTTCAATTCTCAGCACAGACTCAGAAGCTGCAGACTAAGACACGCCCTGGCTCCAGTCTGTCTCAGATCCCAATTGGTTGATTTAGTTGCTATGCCTATTCATTGGCTGACCTTGTTACCATGTCTCTGCCAGTTCATGAATAATCTTGACAAACCACTCCAACTAAGAACAAGTATTCCTCAGATCAACCAGAACTTCTCTCCCATTCTCCATCATCCTCTCCCACCCAGCTTCCTAAGCCTGTGTAGAGCCTTCAGATCTTCTTACGCTTCCTCTCTCTTGCTTCAGGATGTCAGCAGAGCAACGGAGAAAGACCAAAGGGAGGCCCTGTCCCTGGAAGACCAATGGTTGAGCCAGGAAATAGAGAGGCTTCACAGGAAGCTTCAGAAGGACCAATGGCCTGAGTGAAATTTGGAAGCTATGGTAGAAGTCATCAAGGCAGAACAATGGAAGGACCTTGGATGATTTCAGCCATTTTTCTGCATTACTGGAGTGCAACTATTGGAAAATAAACGATCAGAAGGAACCTGAAAGTAGAAGGAAGATTGGGGTTGTCTGAATTATTAATCCACAGTGGAACATTACATCATGCTCAGAAGCGTGATGGTCATATGTTAGGGTTGCGTGGATTTTGAAAGGCAGCATTATAACCAGTGTCTCAGGTCTCTCTGGAAGATTAAAACTTGCAACTTTGATGGGGGGGGGTGTTCGTTTGGGAAAAGCCATTGGAGAAGCCAGCTGTGATGTGTGTGGGTGGGTGTCACCTTTCTTCTTGTATTATCTCATTTAATTTAATCAAACTAATCAAGGAGAGAAGCAACCTGGAACTAAGGAGAAATTTCATAACAGCGAGGACAATTAAACAGTGGAACAACTTGCCTCCAGAAGTTGTGAATCCTCCAACACTGGAGGTATTTAAGATGTTGGATAACCATTTGTCTGAAGTGGTGTAGGGTTTCCTGCCTAAGCAGGGGGTTGGACTAGAAGACCTCCAAGGTCCCTTCCACTTCTGTTTTTGTTATGCTGTTATGCAGTGTGACAAATAATTCAGTCTATATATTCCTTTCAAGGGATGAAGCAATAATCAAACTCATTTAGAAGGGGCTAGATAATCAGAAAGGTCCTCCTTCAGGAGACCATATCTCAGAGATAGTACAGCTTGCACGCTGCTGACCTCGTAGAAAGAGATAAATAATAATGTCACGTAGAGGCATTTATCGAAAACATGTCAGCATTGTTCTGCAGCTTCCACCTTGTCTGTTGTTGTGTTATTTCTCTTGTTTTGCAAGGTCAAAGATACGCAATCTCAGTTCGGCTTTGGTTCATGGCTGTTTGGCAAAGGGCCAGCGCTCGGCTGGGGGTTGTGCGTGCATGCTAACAAAATGAGATTGTATCTTCAAAGGGTTTTGGTTGCTTCAGATAACCACACCACCATTCCGCTTGCAAAGAAAATGGGAACTCCAAATAAACCAGTGGATGAATCACCAAATGATTCAATCACAATTGTCTGGATTTGTGGGAGACAATAAGCCAGAGACCACAGCAACTAGGTTCACCCAATATGCTCAGCTCGAACTAAACCAACTAATTTGCAGTTTAGTAGAAGGGAGGGAGGGAGGGAGGGAGGAAGGAAGGAAGGAAGGAAGGAAGGGAGAGGAAGGAGGGAGGGAGGGAGGGAGGGAGGGAGGAAGGAAGGAAGGAAAAGGAAGGAAGGAAGGAAAGAGGAAGGGAAGGAAGAGGGAGGGAATGGAGGGGAAGGGAGGAAGGAAGGAGGAAGAGGAGGGGAGGGAAGGGAGGGAGGGAGGGAAGGAAGGAAAAAGAAGGAAGGAAGAGGGAGGGAAGGGAAAGGAAGGAGGGAAGGGAGGGAAGGAAGGAGGAAGGAAAGAAGGAGGAAAGGAAGGAAAAAGGGAAGGAGGGAGGGAAGGAGGGAGGGAGGGAGGAAGAGGGAAGGGAGAGAGGAAGGACAGAAAGAAGGAGGGAAGGAAGAAAGGGAAGGAGGGAGGAAAGGGAAGGAAGAGGAAGGGAGAGGGACGGAAGGAAGGGAGGGAAGGGAGGGAGGAAGGAAGAGGGAGGGGAAGGAAGGAAGGAAGGATCCAATCCATATCTCCTGCAAGACAAAGTCTGCAAAGTTAAAATGTGACTATGAAGATGTGTGGACTTCAACTAATAGATTGCAATGTTAATATGCAATGGGAAACTGAAAAGCAACGAAATTCATGGTTCAAACTAATTGTTCAAATCGTTCAAATATCGAGAACAACAAACAGGGACTATCACTGTGTTCTTGCTTAGCCTCCGCTACCGCTTCTCCGAACTGCTCAATTTTTTTGCTACCGGTTCGCCAGAACCTGTTGGATTTCACCCCTGATCAACGTCCCTCCCAACAAGGAAAAAAAAATGTGCAGTCTACAATGGAGAACAAGTCAGGTTTGATTCAGAGAGGACCACATGGCCTCCGACCTCTTTTAATGTGTTGGGTGTAAGAACGAGAGACACTTGTTGACCTGACTGTGGCTATCATCCTGATATTTTGACTCGCCCGTGGACATTCATGGAGGTACCGATAAAATGTTCTTTGAAAACAGTACGGAAGAGATCTTCCTTTCATTCTTTCCAGATTTCCAACAACCACCCCCCTCAAGTTCCTAATCTAGTCCAGAGTTATAGTCTTTCTCCAATAATTTCCCATCCAAGTCCCATCCTCTTTAGCTTTTGTAAGATCGGTCCATCACCAAGGTCCACTAGATATTCTATCTGCAAAATTATCTTGAAAACACAAAGAAAGAAACCTTCGCCCAAGAAGATACTGGCTTAGAAGGTTAGCCAGATAGAAGATCCAGTTTTTCACAATGCAGAAATGAAATAAACCAACTTTCGGTGGAAAATGTAGGTGATTTCCCTACAATGCTGCCCGGTCTTGAGGCTTTAGAGCAGTGTTTCTCAACCTTGGTAGCTTGAAGATGGGTGGACTTCAACTCCCAGAATCCCCCAGCCAGCGCTGCTGCGCTGGCTGGGGGATTCTGGGAGTTGAAGTCCACCCATCTTCAAGCTACCAAGGTTGAGAAACACTGCTTTAGAGGAAACAAGATTTATTGTTTATTGATCTGGCCCATTTTTCCAGAAGATTCCCCCCAATATCTACCTCCCTCTCCTTTCTTCACAGAGTAACTGGTTCTTTAAAAAGCAACCAAGAAAACATTCCATTTTATTAATAAAGAGAATTTCCTTTTTCACAGTTCTCCACAAGCGCCGTCTCGCAGTTCATTTTTCATTCGTGGCCATTTTAAAAACAGGGTTAAAAATTGTTTAAAAGAGACCGCCACTTGCAAGCATGTGTTTCATATCAAATAATAATAATTAAAAAAAAGCATCTTACAAAGCAAATAATTTTTTAAAAGTTCGCGAACACGAAAGAGAGAGAGAGAGAGAGAATGAGAGAGGGAGGGAGTTGGGGGACGAGAATTGTCTTAAGTGCTCCAAAAAATGGGTTTTTTCTCCTGGGGAAGAGAAACGCCAGATGCCCACCGATGTTTCAGCTGCCCTGGCAACGGGTGCAAATCAGAGCTTTATTGACTGGAACTGACCCAGTGGTACCTGTCCACTCGCGGGCAACTGAATGGCAGTGAGGTCCGGCAGACTTTGTACCCCTTGTAGTGGAGATAGTAAGCAGCTGCAGGGTTTGATGGGATGCCATCAGGAACGAAGCATCTTCGGTGAGAGAGTACTGGGACCAGAGGGGGAATGGCTCATTGCACTGAAAGCAGATGGAGACAACGGGGGGGGTGAAGGTTGAGGAGGGACGGGACCCGCCTTCTGCCATCCTCTTGCAACTCCTCCGCTCAGCTCCTTCCTCTCCCATCGTTCTGACTGAGCTGCTCTTGATGGAACTCTGGACAGTTTCTAAGAAACCCCATCCGTTTTCCTCTCCTCCCTCCCTGCTTCTCTTCCTCTTGGGTCAAGACCCTCCCAATCGTCAATGACTCACTCTGAACTTCCAGACCAGGTGGAAGTGGCCCTGGCACTTCCAAAAATTAAGGGGTTCTTTCTCAGTTTCTTGGAATGGACCCCCTCCCCCCAGAAGCGAGATGTTGCTTCTTTCTGGGAGGAGGGAGAAATAGGGAGAGAAAAGAGAGGGAGGGAGGGAGGAGGGAGGGAGGAGGAGGGAGGAAGGAAGGAAGGAAGGAAGGTGGTAATGAGAGGAAGGGAGGGAGAGAGGGAGGGAGGGAAGGAAGGAAGGAAGGAAGGAAGGAAGGAAGGAAGGAAGGAAGGAAGGAGAGTAGAGAGTAGGAGGGAGGGAGGGAGGGGGGGGAGGGAGGGAGGAAGGAAGGAAGGAAGGAAGGAAGGTGGTAATGAAGGAAGGAGAGAGGAAGAGGGAAGGAAAGGAAGGAAGGAAGGAAGGAAGGAGGTGGTAGAGAGCTAGAGAGGGAGGGAGGAGGGAGGGAGGAAGGAAGGAAGGAAGGAGGAAGAGGTAATGAGGAGAGGGAGGGAGGGAAGGAAGGAAGGAAGGAGGAAGGAAGGAAGGAAGGAAGGAAGGAAGGAAGAAGGTAAAGAAGGTGGGTAGAGAGCTAAAGAGGGAGGAGGGAGGGAGGGAGGGAGGAAAGAGGAAGGAATAAAAGGAAGAGCCTGGTGGCGCAGCAGACTAATAGCCTGTTATTATCATCCAGCTGCCTGCAATTACTGCAGTTCGAATCTCGCCAGGCTCAAGGTCGACTCAGCCTTCCATCCTTTCTAAGGTGGGTAAAATGAGGACCCAGTTTGTGGGGGCAATAAGCTGACTTTGTATAAATATACAAAAGCATGAAAGCTATTGCTTAACGCAGTGTAAGCCGCCCTGAGTCTCCGGAGAAGGGCGGCATATAAATCAAATTAAAAAAAAATAAATAAGAGAATAGAGAAGGGGAGAGGGGGAAAGAAGGAAAGGAAGGAAAGGAAAGGAAAGGAAAGGAAAGGAAAGGAAAGGAAAGGAAAGGAAAGGAAAGGAAAGGAAAGGAAAGGAAGGAAGGAAAGGAAGGAATAGGAGAATACGGAGGGAGGGGGGGGAGGGAGGGAGGGAGGGAAGGAAGGAAGGAAGGAAGGAAGGAAGGAAGGAAGGAAGGAAGGAGAGGGAAAGGGAGGGAAGGGAGGGAGGGGGGAGGGGATGGGAGAGAGGGAGATGGGTGTATCTCAACCTTGGCAAGTTTGAATGCTCTTCAATGGCTGGGGAATTCTGGGAGTTGAAGTCCACCCATCTTAAAGGGGCAAGTTTGAGAAATCCTGGAGTCGAGCCCCCCCTCCCCCCCCACCGCAGCTCCTTTTCTCTCACCTGATAGATGCTGTTGGGATTGCTAACAGTTGGGATGCTTTTGGGTTCCCTGGTGGTGCCATCCTCCTCAGAAGAAGTGCCGGAGTGATAATCGGAGGTGGAGGAGGAGGAGGAGGAGGAGGAGGAGGAGGAGGAGGCCTTCTCCACGGCCTGCCGGATGCCCTGAGACACGTCCTGGTCGTTCTCTTGGCCTGTGAAGTGAGCCACGGTGAAGGCTGGGTTTTTCTCGCCATATCTAAATGGGGGGGTTGAGTTAAGCAGGGCAGAAAACAGAGCCTCAAGCAAGGAATAACTCGGTTCTTAGACAAAGTTTCCCAAACTTCTTCCTTCATTGCTCCAAACTACTTATTATATTTTAATTACTATCTTTCCTTCTCTCCTCCCTCCCTTTCCTTCCTTCCTTTCTCTCGCTTTCTTCTCTCTACCACCCTCCCTTCCCAATTCATTTTCCTCCCTCCCTTCCCTCCTTCCCCCCTTCCCCTCTTTCCTTCTTTCCTCCCTCCCCTCTTTCCTTCTTTCCCTCCCTTCCCTCCCTCTCTCTTCCTTCCTTCCTTCCTCCCTCCCTCCCCTCCTTCCCTCCCTTCCCTCTTCCTTCCTTCCTCCCTCCCCTCTTTTCCCTCCTTCCCTCCTTCCCTCCCCTTCCCTCCCCTTTCCTTCCTCTCCTCCCCTCCCTTTCCCTCCTTCCCTTCCCTTCCCTCCCTCTTCCTCTTCCTTCTTCCCTCCTTCCCTTCCTTCCCTCCCACTTCCCTTCCTTTCCTTTCCTTCTTCCTTCCTTCCTCCCTTCCCTCCTTCCCTCCTCCCCCTTCCTTCCTTCCTTCCCTCCCTTCCCTCCTTTCCTCCCTCTCCTTCTTTCCTTCCTTTCCTCCCTTCCCTTTCCCTCCTTCCCTCCCTTCCCTCCCTCTTCCTTCCTCCCTTCCCTTCCCTCCTTCCCTCCTCCTTCCTTCCCTCCTCTTCCTTTCCCTTTCCTTTCCTCTTCCTTCCTTCCCTCCCTTCCCTCCTTCCCTTCTTCCCTCCCTTCCCTCCCTCTTCCTCCCTTCCTTTCCTTCCTTCCCTCCTTCCTTCCTTCCTCCCTTCCCTCCTTCCCTCCCTCTTCCTTCCTTCCTTCCTTCCTTCCTTCTTTCCTTCCTTCCTTCCCAGCTCTCTGCCACCCATCTGACACATATGAATCTGGAACATTCATACATTCCACGATAGAATGAAAACACATATTTTATACATACTACGAAATAAAAACACACCTACAACATGCTACGCCAGAGGTCTTCAAGCTTGGCAGCTTTAAGACTTGTGGACTTCAACGCTATGCTGGCAGGAGAATTCTGGGAGTTGAAGTCCACAAGTCTTAAAGCTGCCAAGTTTGGGGACCCCTGTGCTAAGCCATGCACCAATTGCTGGGTTGGCTCAACCCACTAAGCCCAAACTAGAAGAAAAACCAATAGAATGTTTGGATCTGGGCAGCGTCAGCTTGAAGGAGGCCATTGCATCTACTCTTGGGCTGTGCCAATTTGTCTGGCGAATGTTTGGCTTACTGCCTCACATCACTGCGGTTGGTTCAGCGAATCAGGGCTAACCCAACCCTGAGTTTGCCTGGATGCCAAAACACCAATCGCAGGAGGCAGAGAAAGAGCACGGCAAGACTCACCTGCAGGAGACATCAAAGGGGTCAACCCAGATGGTCATCTCTTTGGGCAATCCGAGGCTCTGAAAGTCCACGTTGCTCGCAGTGCACGCTTGGTCCAAGAGAGGATCTTTCGCCTGCAAAGGGTTTAGCCTGATGCACCTGAAAAGAGCTAAGGCGGATTAAAACGCTCCTCCACCAGTCCACCAACACCCCATCGGAAGAAACAATCATATAGAAAATCCTCAAATGCACTGAAATGGATCAATTAACAATTGGAGATCAAAGAAAGAGAAGACTCGGATTATTATAAAGTGTGGAATAGGTTTTATGCACGGTTGGAAAGCAGAAATCAAATTAAGAAATAAGAATACAAAGTGAAATTTGATATTAACACACTGGATATAAATGTAAATAACGATCCTGCTAACAAAACAGTTAATTATGAATATTTAAAAATAAAGAGAAGGAGCAGGAGGATAAAATCCAAGAGTAAAGACAAAAGTCGATGCATAAAGTTGTAAGTAGTGTTGTTAGTAGTGTATTTTAACGTCTGATGTAAGTGTGTGTGTTTTTGTTGTTGTTTTGTTTTGTTTTTTTGTCTCTTGACTCCTTTTGCTATTGTGTGTTTGGTTTTAAAATGTAAAATACTCAATAAAAAATATTTTTTTAAAAATAAAATAAAACGCTCCTCCACCAGTGGGAACAGGAAGGTCATCAAGACGTGTCCTCCTGCGTTCACCCCAACTGAGAAGGGGAGGCCAAGGCAAAGGAGCCAGAGAACTTGTGAAAGGCATCTGGGACGAGGGAGCCCTGAGCTAAGATCTAGAGTGACCCAGTTCCCATCCACATTCAGACAAGTCAACGGCAGAGAGAAGCTGGCAGTTCCAATCCCATCAAAGTCTACGCTTTGCTCGTTTGAACCACACTTATGGGTTGTGTGAAGGCAGCCTATGTTCATTCATGAGTCAACAGAGTAGCAAGCCCAGAGAGGGTTATTCCAGGAACCCAGTTACATGCCTCATGTTAAATCCAGACAGGACTATGCTGAAGCAGTTAAATCAGGTAGAGCAAAAGAAGCAACTGAGTGTCTAAGTCCCAAACCTGTGTGGACATCTAGCCCCACCATCTATGGCCTTGGTTGCAAAACTATCTTCTCATCAAGTCAAGGAAGCAGGTTGGGTTGACCCAAGAAACCCAATGTTTGTTGAGGAGATCCTGGCTGTGGGACCTTCTGGTCCATGCCATACAAATTTAGTCAGGGAATCCGAAAAATGGGGCAGGGCAGATTAGGGGATCAGGAAGACCCCAAACCATCTTCTAACCGGGGAAAGTGGGGTACTGCTACTGCTGCTACTGCCACCTCTTCTCACCAGCAAGGACTTCATTGGGTTACCCAACGGTAGGGCCTGGCGTTGACTTCAAGAAGCTCTCTTCATATGTTGGGGAGGAAAAACACAGGCTCCGATTGGCCGAGAATTTTGCTAGGGCGGGTAGGATGGGGCTGTTTTAGGGAGGGGCAAGCCCCCCATTTTGCAAGAGAGGTAGACCAAGAGGGGCTCCCTTTGGGGTGGGGAATCTCTTACCGGAAGCCTTGTCCTTTTGTGGGATTGTCGAGATACCAGTGGTTTTTATACCTCTCGAAGAGAAGCGTGGTCAGCGTGGATGCAAACTTCTCCATCTGCTGCTTGTTCAGCTTGTTGTGTTTTTTGGCCAGGCGGGTGATGAAGAAGACTGTGGCTGCAATTTCATCCTTCATGCCGTTCCTTCTGCAAGAGGACCTCCACTGCAGGAACACAACTGGGGTGGAGTGGGGGGATCGGAGCAGAAGGCCCACAGTTTCTGTAACCAACAGGACTTGTCAGGGTCTCACAACTATCTCAGCTTGGTCTGCCAAAGGCTTTGGAGCAGGGGTGAAATCCAGCAGGTTCTGACAGGTTCTGGCGAACCGGTAGCGGAAATTTTGAGTAGTTCAGAGAACCAGCAAATACCACCTCTGGCTGGCCCCAGAGTGGGGTGGGAATGGAGATTTTGCAGTATCCTTCTCCTGCCACACCTACCAAGCCACACCATGCCCACCAAGCCACGCCCACAGAACCGGTAGTAAAAAAATGTGGATTTCACCACTGCTTTGGAGGCCCCCTTTTGTGCATTCATATCACACATCTCAAGATAGAGATTATTAATAAAAGAGAATATTTGTAGGTCAGGGTTGAAATGAGGGGTTCTTGGTGCTCTCTGAGGTAGTTTTCTTGCAAATGTTTCATGACCAAACTTGGTAACATCGTCAGTGGTAGAAGGGAGGGGGGTTGTGGAGAGGAGGAGGAGGAGGGAGGAGGAGGAGAGGAGAGGAGAGGAGGGGAGGGGGAAGTTGGAGGACTGTGGGGTTCTTGGTGTTCTTGGAGCTTGGCTGTTTTCTTGCAGACATTTCATGACCCAACTAGGTAACATCATCAGTGCTAGAAGGGAGTGGGGATTTGTAGAAAGGAGAAGGAGGAGGAGGAGGAGGAGGAGGAGGGAAGGCAGACTGTGTGAGCTTTGCTACTCTCTGGGTTTAGTTGTTTTCTTGCAGACGTCGTATTACTCATCTAGATAACATCAGTGCTAGTACTGATAATATTACCTAGTTTGGGTAACAAAACATCTGCAAGAAAGCAAGCAAACTCAGAGAGCACCAACTACCCCCTCAAGCTATAGTTTGCTTATTCAGGTGGGAGTCTAAGCCACAATTGACTAGACTCAGAATTCAAGCCATAAATGATGGTTGCAACCATTAAGGAGAAGAAGATCTTAAACCACCTAAGCCAAGGGCAATCTGCTCACACACCATCTTAGTGTGAAATGTGATACTTCTTGGTTACAAGCAGACAAACCAAGAATGAGAGTTATTTTTTTTAAAAAAAAATAAAATAAGAGATATCCAGATCTTCCTATCATTGTCATTATTTTGTGCTGGCATGTTCAAAATCTCCCAGCCACGTATCTGCCACAGGTTTTGGATGTGGACATTTTTCTTGTTCCCTACTTTTGGTATTCAAAGGAAGCCAACATTATTTACAACCCGTTGCTCCCCAGATACTATTACTAAAACTTGCTGGTTAAAATAACAACCCCCATCCTCCCCAGCCAATCCAATCATGGAGTAGACAGACATAGCATGTAAGATACTTAACTGCTGGCCAAGGAGAATGAAAATTGCAGTTACCATCTCCATGTTTAGCGTAGGTCAGAGGTCTGCAACCTTAAACACTCAAAGAGCCATTTGGACCCGTTTCCCACAGAAAAGAAAACTCCGGGAGCCACAAAAACCTTCCCGTGCCTGACTGTTTCTTGAGCGACCACAAAACTAGCATATGCAGTTGAATTAAATGTTCTGTTTTCTTCTGAAACTTTTCTTTTCTTGGATTTATCCATGGTTGGCCTACCAGGGGTTGAAAAGCTCAATAAATCACGTGCCGGCAAGTGTCACACATTGGCAGCTGCGAGTGATATTTTGAATGACAGGGAGCCGCAGCAGAGGGATGAAAGAGCCACATGCGGCTCTAGAGCTGCAGGTTGCTGACCCCTAATGTAGACCACTACTTCTCATCCTTAGAACGTGAAGTTGGGTGGACTTCAACTCCCAGAATTCCCCAGCCAGCCATCTCCAAATTGCCAGTAACACCAAGAGTGCTCTCAAATATTCAATATTGCTTTGCTAACCAGGTTTGTACATTCTAAACCAGCATTAGTTTTAATCATCGTTGGTTGAAGGGTTGACTTTTACTCAGGAAGTTAAATTGAGGTGGATTAGTGAAAGGAAGTTAAAACATCCTTACACTAATCCACATTACAGCTGATACATAAGAATAGAGTTCCCGGGACAAAAACAATATTATGCAGATAATCTAGAATTACCTTCAGAAAAATAGTTTTAGCTGAGCTAATCAAACATGCACAGATTGGCTGAGAATTCCGGGATCCTGGCTGAGAAACAGGTAAACCAGCTTTTGCTTGAGATTATTCAGCCAACATTTGCATGCCTCTTTCTCTCACAACTCTGCAGCCTTCTCCTTGTCCTTAAACAAACACTCCTTCTGTTAGCCAAATAGCCTTCTTGCTCACTTTTGGGGGTTTAAATAAGGAGAGGTGGAGCTTTTGCAGCCGTAACAGGTGTGTGTCCTAGAGGTGAGTGAGCACTAAATCAAGGTAGTCCCCAAATTAAATTTATCTCCTTTTTTCCCCCCCTGCAGCCTTTGGGCTTGGGCCTAAAATCAGTGGGATTTCCATCACTGGAGTAAAAAAATGTGGATTTCACCACTGGATTGGGGGTCCACCTCGCTCATGGAAGTGGGGGGGGACGGGGGGAAGGATTCAGGAGAAGACTTTGAAAGGATTTGTTTGTGCTCCAACAGTGGGGAAATGAAGAGATCCCTTCAGGTGTTACAAAGAAAATATTAGAATGCGCAGAGATGGATAGATTAACACTAGGAATAAAGGAGAAGGAGGAAAGAGAATACTTTTTCACATGGGACTTGTTTCACCAATGGCTAAACTAACAGAAACAGAGGTTAGAAACTAAAAATAGGGGACGGAAGGGAAGGAAGGAAGGAAGGAAGGAAGGAAGGAAAGAAGGAAAGAAGGAAAGAAGGAAAGAAGGAAGGAAAGAAGGAAGGAAGGAAAGAAAAGAGGGAGGGAGGGAGGGAGGGAGGGAGGGAGGAAGGAAGGAAGGAAGGAAGGAAGGAAGGACATCCCAAAGTTGTCTTTTCAACCATGACCTCGATGACTGAGAACTCCATAGAGGGAAGGAGGGAGGATAAAAAAGGAAGGAAGGAAGGAGAGATAAGGAAGGGAAGGAGGGAGGAGAGAGAAGGGAGGGAGGGAGGAAGGGAGGGGGGGAGATCGGAAAGGAAGGAAGGAAGGAGAGATAAGGGAGGGAGGGAGGGAGGAGAGAGAAGGAAGGAAGGAGAGAGAAGGTAGGAAGAAAGGAAGGAAGGAAGGAAAGATAACAGGAAGGAAGGAAGGAAGGAAGGAAGGAAGGAAGGAAGGAAGGAAGGAAGGAAGGAAGGAAAGATAAGAGGGAGGGAGGGAGGGAGGGAGGAAGGAAGGAAGGAAGGACATCCCAAAGTTGTCTTTTCAACCATGACCTGAGAACTCCATAGAGGGAGGGAGGGAGGGAGGAAGGATAAGAAAGGAAGGAAGGAAAGAGAGATAAGGAAGGGAGGGAGGGAGGAAGAGAAGGGAGGGAGGGAGGAAAGGAAGGAAGGAAGGAGAGATAAGGGAGGGAGGGAGGAGAGAGAAGGAAGGAAGGAGAGAGAAGGAAGGAAAAAAGGAAAGAAAGATAACAGACAGGAAGGAAGGAAGGAAGGAAGGAAGGAAGGAAGGAAGGAAGGAAGGAAGGAAGGAAGGAAGGAAGGTCTCCACCTTTTCCAGATCTTGGATGGAAGTACCGATCTCAGTCCAAGCATTCCTTAATGGATTAAATTCTGGGTCTCCCTCTTCTGCAGGGCAAGTCCAGACAGGACCGTAAACCAAGCCATGCATCTGTTCTCTAGCAACAGCAGGCTTGGCTTGGAGCAAACATTGTCCTCCTGAACACAGGAAGATGGTGGCTGAGTTGGGACTTTCTTTGGACTTCCCTGCACCAGGAGAAAGTCTAAGGTCTTTCTGCCGGGCACTCTCCTTTCCGTCGTGTTCACCTTCCGCAACTTGGCGTGGAGATGGGCATCTCCAAGAGATGGGGAAGCAAGAGTGCGATGGCCTAGATTGCCACCTGGTTTGGGAAGGAAGATGAGAGAAGAGCCGATGGTCCTTTGGGGCAGGTAAGATGGGCAGCAGGAGGAGAGGCAGGTAGGATCTCGGAGGTTTAATCTGTAAGTCAATGGCTCTTTTCATCTTCGGCGCAGTTCATAAATAGGCAACTTTTAAGTATTTTTTTTTTCTTTATTTGTACACTGCCCAAAGTCTCTCTGTGAGGGAGGTGGGCAGTTCTTAAATTTGATAAATAGATAAATTGTTCTGCCTGGATTTGCCGTTCAGGGACAATTTTTGATGGTAGCATTGGAGCATTAATGATAGACCATATCCAGTGGTGAAATCCAAATTTATTTTACTACCGGTTCTGTGGCCGTGGCTTGGTGGACGTGGTGTGGCTTGGTGGGCGTGGCAGGGGAAGGATACTGTAAAATCTCCATTCCCACCCCACTCCAGGGGAAGAATATTGCAAAATTCCCATTCCCACCCAATTCCTGGGGGAAGGATACTGCAAAATCCCCATTCCCTCCCCACTCCAGGGGAAGGATATTGCAAAATCCCCATTCCCTCCTCACTCCAGGGGAAGGATACTGCAAAATCCCCATTCCCTCCCCACTCCTGGGGGAAGGATATTGCAAAATCTCACCTGTATGACAAGCCAGAGACTTACCTGGCTGTGAAGTTTTTGCACTTGGATATTCTGTAAAACTGCACTGAATTGGTCAACCTGATTTATTTCTACCTCAGGGTTTCTCAACCTCCGCCATTTTAAGATGGGTGGACTTTGACTCCCAGAATTCCCCAGCTTTAAGAGGGAGGGACTTTCAATTCCCAGAATCCCCCAGCCAGCAGTAACAGCCTGGGGAATTCTGGGAGTTGAAGTCCACACGTCTCAAAATGGCGGAGGCCGAGAAACACTGTTCTAACCTCCTCTCCTTTCGCTAAATCTCTCCCTGGCATTTTGCCTCGTGCCGGGTGAAATATACATGAACTCCTGGAGTTAAGGGAGACTTGCATGTGCTGCTTTCAGCTCTTTGGAAAAAAAGATAGACTCTAAATGCAATTCCATCCATCAGTCTGAATCCCCCAGGTTCAATGTTAAATCCTTTAGCTTTCAGCACTGCCAAACCATCATTCTTCATTTAATGATGGTCTAGACAGTAGTCTAAGTGGACGTCATCTAAGAGATACGGTCAACCTCTTCTCTGCTGGCATTGTATCTTCACTCAACTAATACCCTGTTTCCCCAAAAATAAGACCTCCCTGGATAATAAGCCCAATCGGGCTTTTAAGCGCATGCGCTAAAATAAGCCCTCCCGGAAAATAAGCCCTCCCAAAAAATATTTAAACACATGCACAGCTGGTCCCCGCCATTTCCTCTGGTTAGGATTAGGGAGACAGGTGGAAATCTGGTAAGACGGCAAGAGGAGCCCCGTCTTACTCCATGTGACCCAAAATAATAAGACCTCCCCCCAAAATAAGGCCAAGCACTTATTTCGGGGTTCAAAAAAATATAAGACAGGGTCTTATTTTCGGGGAAACATGGTACCAGTTCTTGACTTATGAACACAATGGGGACCAGACTTTCCATTGCTAAGCGAGACAGTTGTTAAGCGAGCCGCACCTAATTTTGCAACCTTTTTTTTTTGCCAGCGTTGTTAAGCAAATCACGGCAGTTGTAAAGTGAGTCACGTGGTTGTTAAGCAAATCCAGCATTCCCCTCCCCCCATGGACTGCTGGTTGGAAGCCAGCTGGGAAGATTGCAAATGGCAATCGTGTAACCTTGGAATGCGACCACCGTGGTAAATTCAGGCTGGTTGCCAAGGGCTTGTATTGTGGCCATAGGGATTCTGGAACCGTCATAAGTAAGAGGACTGGTCAGAAGTCACTTTTCTGAGGGCCGTCTTTCAACCAGTCAGTAAATGAATAGCGGTAAGTCCACCTGTAATAGCATCAGGTTGACTTCAAAAGTCCTGAAATTCTTCTTCCTCCTCCTGGTGTGTTTGAGAAGTCCATGGAAACGTTGCATCATTCGGTCGCCGGAGGGAGAAGTCAACCTGCCTCCTTTCAAGAGAGCTGAGCTGGGCTTGGTTTGGTTTGTAAGCCACACCTGATCATCCATGGTTACAGAGTGAACACAAATCCTAGGATTGGGGCTTTGGGGCCCACCTCAAGACCGGAGACACAAGAGGTGAGATCGCTTGGATCTGCCTGTGATCTCGAGTCTTTCTCTGAACCAGGTTTAGGATCCATGGCTGAAGTGATCAAGGATGCTGGTTTAGAGACCCATCCTAGAAGTCCCTCATAGAAGTCCTGGGATATCTCTGCTGCTTTCAGAAGCTGAGAGGATGTGAAGATTATCCATTTGAGAAGAAAATGGAAAAGCACCACTGATTTTTATATTATTATTATTATTATTATTATTATTATTATTATTATTATTATTATTATTATTATTATTGAATCTTTAGGGAGATTTACAGCCTTTGAGGCTGGTTAATAGCTCAGCAGCTCGAGTCCTAACCCAGGACCTAGGAACTGTTAAGGTATCGTCGGAGGATGTAAAAAGCTGTTCCGAGTAAGGTGGTTTTTTGTAGAGTCAAAATGTTCAAGTCCGGCAAATTTAGAATTTCTAAATAGCGGGGCAGCCCTTTGGGTATTGCTCCGAGGGCTCCAATTACAATCGGGACAACACACGATTTCTTTTTCCACAGTCGCTCAACTTCAATTTGCAAGTCCCGGTACTTTGTGATTTTTTTCTTGCTCCTTATCTTCAATCCGTGCATCACCAGGTATTGCAATGTCAATGAACCATACTTTTTTCTTTTCAACTCTTGTTATGTCAGGTGTGTTGTGGACCAAGTGCCTGTCAGTCTGAATCCTAAAGTCCCACAAGATCTTGAGTTTCTCATTCTCTAAAACTTTCTCAACCTGATGTTCCCAGTGGTTTTTGCTGTACTCAAATCCAAACTTCTGGCACAATTTCCAGTGAATGATTTTAGCAACGCGGTCATGGCGTTGTAGGTAGTCAGTTTGTGAAATTTTGCTGCAATTATTATTATTATTATTATTATTATTATTATTATTATTATTATTATTATTATTATTATTATTATTATTATTATTCCTTCCCAGCTCAGCCTTTGAAACCAAGCCAGTCTTCTTTCATATTTAATTACCCAGGCGGCTGATACCACCAGCATTATATCAAGGTAAGCTTCTTATGGGCAAATTCTAAATTTCCTTTTATGGTCTTGTTCCAGAAGCTTGTGTTTGAAGGAATCGCCTCAATCTGTAAACCAGAAGTGTATGTTGCATTTTTTTTCAAGCTCCCTTCTAAATGCCGGTGCTGTTTTCTGTAGCTTCAGAAGCATTGGACTAAGGACTAAGGAACGAAGGTGGCCTGGCACAGGAAGGCAAGCTGGGGAGAGGGGAGATGGTGAAGGACCTGGAATCCTGAATTCCCCGTGTTGAGAGGCACAAGGTGGGCTTGGAGAATGGACACCGCTCTCCCTGAGCCCTTGGACTGCTTGGAGGATAAGCCGAGTTTAAATTTGGGGTGAAGCTTAGCTAGATGAAAATGGTTCAGGGACAGAGCAATTGCAGATTAGTTTCGTTTCATTTTTTTTTTTTTAATTTGATTTATATGCCGCCCTTCTCCGGAGACTCAGGGCAGCTTACAATGCGCTAAGCAATAGCCTTCATCCTTTTGTATATTTATACAAAGTCAGCTTATTGCCCCCACAAACTGGGTCCTCATTTCACCTCCCTTAGAAAGGATGGAAGGCTGAGTCAACTTTGAGCCTGGTGAGATTCGAACCTGCAGTAATTGCAGGCAGCTGTGTTAATAACAGGGTGCTTTAGACCACTGTACTATCATTGTCTGGTTTAATGAAAAGAAAGCTTGGGGGTGACACAATAGCAGTGTTCCAATATCTCAGGGGCTGCCACAAAGAAGAGGGGGGGTCAACCTATTCTCGAAGTAACAGTAACAGAGTTGGAAGGGACCTTAGAGGTCATCTAATCCAACCCCCCGCCCCTCTGTTCATGCAGGAGACCTATACTAGGGATTCGAACCGCCGACCTTTCTGATCGACAAGCTCAGCATCTTAGCCACTGAGCTCCAAAGCACCTGAGGGCAGGACAAGAAGCAACGGGTGGAAACTAATCAAGGAAAGAAGCAACTTAGAAATAAGGAGAAATTTCCTGACAGTGAGAACAATTAACCAGTGGAACTACTTGCCTCCAGAAGTTGTGAATGCTCCAACACTGGAAGTTTTTAAGAAGATGTTGGATAACCATTTGTCTGGTGTAGGGTTTCCTGTCTAAGCAGGGGGTTGGACTAGAAGACCTCCAAGGTCCCTTCCAACTCTGTTATTTGATTCTAGTCCAATCTAATCAGTAACCCTGCCAACTTGAAGGAAGGACTTGCTAGCTGCAGATTTGGGGTGCAACAGATTGTTTAACTCTCTGTAGAAAAGCACTGTAATTTTTACAGGTGGAGTCGCTTCCTCCTTCCTTAAGTCTATACTTAGTCCCTGGCATTGTTCCTTTACAGAGGACCAAATATAAGAAAGAGAAACTTAATTCAAAGGCAACATTAGACTGGGATTAGATTGGTCTTTGGTTTCGGGAGGGAGGGGTGTCTCGAGAACCGTAGAGAAGTGGTTTTATGTATCATGCTTAGCAAAACTAGAATGCTTGATTAGTGGGTATTTAGTGGGTATTAGTAGGAGCCTGGATAGCTCTGCAGACAAGGCACTGCAATTTAACACCAGCTGCCTGCAATTACTGTAAGTTCGAATCTCGCCAGGCTCAAGGTTGACTCAGCCTTCCATCCTTTCTAAGGTAGGTAAATTGAGGACCCAGTTTGTGGGGGCAATAAGCTGACTTTGTATAAATATACAAAAGGATGAAGGCTATTGCTTAACGCATTGTAAGCCGCCCTGAGTCTCCGGAGAAGGGCGGCATATAAATCAAATTTTAAAAAAATTAAAAAAATAAAATTCATATTAGACATACATATTTCTAATGACTGTTTCAGAATTGAGTAAAGAGTTGGGGTATTCCACCATCTCCCACTTCTTAGACTCGGGAGATAGGGAGTTGCAAGTCTACTTTGGCCAATCATGAGGTTCTTAGAAACTTCAGAATAGTGAAAAACAAAAGGGATCAGCAGGCCAGGGTTTTGTCACAAGATGTTGTGGTCTGGGGATTGTGACATTTTTATGGTCGTGAATTGCAAAGGAACAACTGCTGAACTCTCGGTGTGTGTGTTTTTTTGTGTTTTTTCCAGGTTGGCGCCTCTAACTCAGCTTTGGTTTGTAGGCAGTGTAGTTAGCTGATTGTGTATCTCCCCAGCAATCACTAGCTTCACTGTCAACAAAACAATCCGCAGAATTCTTCAATCTCCAGGAAGCTTCCTAGCTGGAACCCAAGGAATTACACCCATTATTCAGATCTCCTGATCCGTGTTAAGAGGTTACCAACTCAACAGCGAGGAAGACAACCAACCAGTCGTAAGAAAACGCTGGAGCAAAGAAGTAGTGGAGACACTCCCAGCTTCTGCATAGTTTTGTGATGGCCACACAGTGAGGACAGTTGGACAAATTCCAGGGTTCTCTTGTGGCAGATTGGTGGCAGAACCTATCATGGAAAGCTGGTATGAAGAGCAGCTGTTGACTTCAAGGCCCTACATGAAGTGAAATGAAGAACAGGTCCCAAGCCAACAAGAACTTCCAAAAGCCCATGGGTGGGACTCCTGCCCTGATGGGGAATTGGGTGATGGTCCCGCTAATGGGTACCAGATGGTGAAGTTCAGAAAGCAGAATCTAGAGGAGCTTTGGCTAGTCTCTTGCCCTCTGCAATTTTGTCTGGGTAGCATGAAATGAGTATCTTAAAGACAGAAAATCCAGATTTCATCCATTTGGAAACCACTGAGGGAGCCTGGATGATCTCTAAAGACAAAGAATTGGGTGGGGGGAGAGAAATTAGGCCCTGAGCTTAAACATCAGCCTTGTCACCAGGCAGTGTAGTTAGCTGATTGACCAAGGTAACAGTCGCTAACAACACAGCCAAGTGAAAAGGTGGCCTCTCCCTGCAGTTTTTTGCAAATTTGCTGGATGGATTAGTCAACGTCTACAGGTTGAAGGGTTGAAGGCACCCTGTGTAGGACTGTAAAGGAGAGTTCTTCAACCCCAGCGGCTTTAAGAGGGTGGGGGGACTTCAGCATAGCTGGCTGGGGAATTCTGGGAATTGAAGTCCACCCATCTTCAAGTCTCTAAAGTTGAGAAACATTGTACAGCGCCGATCAGCTGATCCCACCTTGATGTTCTCCAAAGCAAGGATCTCCAACCTTGGCAACTTTAAGACTTGTGGACTTCAACTCCTAGAATTCCTCAGCCAGCTTTGCTTCTAAGAGTTGTGCAAGAAAATCACCAAGCTCAGAGAGCGCTAAGGACCCCCACAGTTGCTCTCTCTTCCTCCTCCTCCTCCTCCTCCTCCTCCTCCTCCTCCTCCTCCTTCCTCTTGTTGAGTTGAAGTCCACAAGTCTTAAAGTTGCCAAGGTTGGAGACCCCTGCCCTGCTCCAAAGCTTTTGAGGCTGCTCTTCTCAACATTGCCTAACCAACATAGCTACTATAGGGATAAATTCCAGAGAGTAAGTTTTATCTCAGCCCTCATCAACAATCACTTTACATAATAGGAAATCCCTGTTCTGATTTATTAACTTTTCATTCGTTTAGACAGCAGTTCCCTGTCCAGATGGGTGGTAATTAAATTCCTGGTTGATCAATGTGGGTCATTTACCGGCAACTGCTGTGGCTTGATAAGAGTGCTGACAGCCCATAATATTCAGCTGACGGTCAGTTCCTAAAGGGATTTGATATGAACGGAAAAGACAGAAGACAAATGAAAGAGATGAGTAATTCTGCTTTCCTTCCCCCGTTAGCCAGCAAAGCAGCGAAAATTAAGGCTATGCGAATGGAAAGAACGAAGGATTTTTTAAAAATGTTTTGGAAAAAAGGGTTTTAGTTTAAGAAGACTTCTCTTCAAGACCTCCTCTGTTGTTCATTTGAGATCTCTCTCCAATAAATGCCAACATTAAAAGTCTTTCATTTATTTATTTATTTATTTATTTATTTATTTATTTATTTATTTATTTTATTTATTTATTTAAATTTGTATACCGCCCTTCTCCTAGTGGACTCAGGGCGGTGCACAGCCAGAACTAAAACACATGCCAATACAAAATTTAAAATTATTAAAAGAATTACATAACTGGCCCAATTTAAAACAATTCAGTTAAAACCCAATGACAATTTAAAAACTAAAAAAAAACTAAAAATGACTCTTTTTCTAAGAAACTTTTATCATATTGTTTCCCAGAGCTTGTGAGGACAGGTCAAAGGGAAACAATGGTTTACAGAGTCCTTAAATTATGACTGCTCACTTAGTAACGGTTTGAGGTTAAGATGGACCCCCCCCAAAAAAAGGAACCTGCCACCTGTATTTGAGATTCTGATTGGTCACCCCTGCCCCAACCTGCTGTCGCATGATTGCAATTTGGGCAAGCAGGCAACCAGCCAGGGGTGAAATCCAGCAGGTTTCTGACAGGTTCTGCAGAACCGGTAGCGGAAATTTTGAGTAGTTCGGAGAACCGGCAAATACCACCTCTCGCTGGCCCCAGAGTGGGGTGGGAGTGGAGATTTTGCAGTATCCTTCCCCCAGGAGTGGGGAGGGAATGGGGCATTTGCAGTATCCTTCCCCCAGGGGTGGGGAGGGAATGGGGATTTTGCAGTATCCTTCCCCCAGGGGTGGGGAGAGAATGGGGATTTTGCAGTATCCTTCCCCCAGGGTGGGGAGGGAATAGGGATTTTGCAGTATCCTTCCCCTGCCAAGCCTACCAAGCCACGCCCATCAAGCCACGCCCACAGAATCAGTAGTAAAAACATTTGAATTCCACCACTGCAAGCAGCCCATATTTACAGCTACTTGGAGGGCCCCAAAGTCACCTGATCGCAATTTATGACGTGTTTGGTCAAAAAGCGATGGTTTCTGGCCACAAAATGTCCCATGGCAGACGGTGGGTTCGCTTCGGACTGCTGTATTCATTTAACCACCGCGGCAAAAAAAAAAAAATTGTAAAATCAGGCAGGATCCTATGATGAGCTACATAACGACAGGCAGAACTCAAAACCGTAATTCTGGCCTCGATTATCGTTGTAAGTAGAGGACTACCTAGGGATCCATATCCCCAATGGGGCACTCCCGTGCTTGGATGGGGGCGGGGGGGGGGGTGTCTGGGATTCTGCCTAGATCTCACATAGCAGCTTTTTGCTCTCTGATGAACCAGACTGCAGGTATCCCATTTTGCTGGAGTCCGAAGATTACTGAAATTTAAGGTCAATTGCAATTCAGTCCACGGCAGGATAAAAATACACACACTCTGGAAATATAAAAGAAGGCACTCTGCATTTGCATTAATAGGAAGCATAAGTACACCAATTTTCATTCAGCAGATACGGAGATCGTGATTTTCCAAATTGGCTTCTGCAGGACGACTCACGCTGTTTCATATAGACTTCAGTGGCTTCTGCTGGATTGGGAGGCGGGGAGGGTGAATTCCCTTCAAAGCGCTAAGCCTTAAATTCCCCCCAAATATTAAGGGGAGGAGGAGGAGGAGGAGGAGGAGGAGGAGGAGGAGGAGGAGGAGGAGGAGGAGGAAGAAGAAGAAGAAGAAAGAAGAAGAAGAAGAAGAAGAGAAGAAGAAGAAGAAGAAGAAGAAGAAGAAGAAGAAGAAGAAGAAGAAGAAGAAGAAGAAGAGGAAGAAGAAGAGGAAGAAGAAGAAGAAGAATGGACTCGACCAAATTGCTAAATTAATCCACCGGTCCTTATGTAAAAAATACAATTACCTGTATCCAAAAAGTCATGGGAACATAAAGTGGAAAAAGTTATAGAAAATGAGAAGGTGAAGATCTTGTGGGACTTTTGAATACAGACGGATCATCACTTGGAACACAACATGCCAGATATCACAGTTGTCGAAAACCAAAACGTACAATTTATTGACATCGCGGTACCAGGAGATGCCAGAATCGAAGAAAAAGAACAGGAAAAAAATTACAAAATATCGCGACCTGGCCATTGAAACTACACAGCTATGGATGAAACATGTAACAGTGATGCCCATTGTCATCGGGGCACGTGGTACCATGTCCAAGAATTTTATAAGATACATCAACAAATTGCAGCTTCCTGCAATAACACCAGTGGAACTGCAAAAAAAAAACTGTGCTACTTGGAACATCGTACATCTTAAGAAGGTCCTTGGTTGATACCTAGGATGCTGGCAGCAACCCGTATCAACCATCAGCACCAGTCACTGGTATTTGTGGTGCATTTTCGAATGTTCAGTTGACTGAGTTTCATATTTAATGAATAAAGATAATAATAATAATATAATGTCTGAATACATTCAGCCACCCACTCTACATTGCTATGGAGGCAATAAACTAGAGTGATGATTCTCAACCTTAGCAATTTGAAGACAGGTGGAACCTCAATTCCCAGAATTCCCCAGCCGGCAGTGTTTCTCTACCGTGGTAGCTTCCATGCTGGGCTGGGGAATTCTGGGAGTTGAAGTCCACTCAGCTTAGTTGCCAAGGCTGTGAAAGACTCATCTTGGCTTCTTAGTTGACAAGTGAGAGAAGGCTGCCAACCTGGGCCGTGGGGTGAAAGAGATCATGGACCAACCCCGCCAAGCAAAAGCTCACAATATTAAAAAAAAGATGCTGAGACTCTCGAAAGAGTGAAGAGAAGCGCAACAAAGGTGATTAGGGGACTGGAGGCTAAAACATATGAAGAACGGTTGAAGGAACTGGATATGTCTAGTTTAATGAACAGAAGGACCAAGGGAGACATGATAGCAGTCTTCCAATATCTCAGGGGCTGCCCCAAAGAAGAGGGAGTCAAGCTATTCTCCAAAGCACCTGAAGGCAGGAGAAGAAGCAATGGATGGAAACTCATCAAGGAGAGAAGCAACCTAGAACTAAGGAGGAATTTCCTGACAGTGAGAACAATTAATCCGTGGACAACTTGCCTCCAGAAGTTCTGGATTCTCCATCACTGGAGGCTTTCAAGAGATAGGCTAGAAGAAGAGACAAGACAACCATTAGTACAGGAGAACCTCTACTAATGGCACAGGTTCTCCTGCTCCAAGGTCTTCTAGTCAAGCTGGTATCGACTAACAGTTGGAAGGGACTTTAGAGGTCTTCTAGTCCCAACCCCATGCTGAAGTAGGAAACTCTTTACCATTTCAGACAAACGGTTGCCTGATCTCTTCTTAAAAGGCTCCAGTGATGGAGAAGGAAGAAGAAGGAAGGAAGGAAGGAAGGAAGGAAGGAAGGAAGGAAGGAAGGAAGGAAGGAAGGAAGGACGGAAGGAAGGAAGGAAGGAAGGAAGGAAGGAAGGAAGGAAGGAAGGAAGGATAACAGAGTTGGAAGAGACTTTGGAGGTTCTTCTACCATTTCAGACAAATGGTTATCCGATCCGATCTTCTTAAAAAGCTCCAGTGATGGAGAAGGAAGGAAGGAAGGAAGGAAGGAAGGAAGGAAGGAAGGAAGGAAGGAAGGAAGGAAGGAAGGATAACAGAGTTGGAAGAGACTTTGGAGGTTCTTCTACCATTTCAGACAAATGGTTATCCGATCCGATCTTCTTAAAAAGCTCCAGTGATGGAGAAGGAAGGAAGGAAGGAAGGAAGGAAGGAAGGAAGGAAGGAAGGAAGGAAGGAAGGAAGGAAGGAAGGATAACAGAGTTGGAAGAGACTTTGGAGGTTCTTCTACCATTTCAGACAAATGGTTATCCGATCCGATCTTCTTAAAAAGCTCCAGTGATGGAGAAGGAAGGAAGGAAGGAAGGAAGGAAGGAAGGAAGGAAGGAAGGAAGGATAACAGAGTTGGAAGAGACTTTGAGGTTCTTCTACCATTTCAGACAAATGGTTATCCGATCCGATCTTCTTAAAAAGCTCCAGTGATGGAGAAGGAAGGAAGGAAGGAAGGAAGGAAGGAAGGATAACAGAGTTGGAAGAGACTTTGGAGGTCTTCTACCATTTCAGACAAATGGTTATCCGATCTCTTCCTAAAGGCTCCAGTGATGGAGAAAGAAGGAAGGAAGAAAGAAAGGATAACAGAGTTGGCGGGGGCCTTGGAGGTCTTCTAGTCCACCCCTCTTGTGAAGGAGGAGACCCTCGACCGTTTCAGCCAGGTGGCCGTCCAAGCTGTCGGAACCGCTCCGGCGCCTGAGTCCGGGATTCCGCCCCTGCCCTCCCCGCGGGCCAACGGCAGGAGCGGCTTCTGGCGGAGCCATGGAGACCCAGCGGCCGCGCTCGCCCACGCCGTCGGCCATGGCCAGCTCCCCGCCCGCGCCCGCGCCCTCGCCCGCCGCCGCCCCGCTGGCCTTCGCGGGCTCCAGCGAGCAGGACGTGGCGCTGGCCAAGTCCTTCTGGAACTCCGTCACCCTCCAGCCGCCGCTCGAGTCCCGGCTGGGCGTCCGGGGCGGCTCGCTTTGCGACGGCGCCTCCTGCCCGCGACGGAGCTCGGCCGGTAGCCTCGGCGGAGGGAGGGACGGGCACGGGGGGGGCTCCGAGCCCGCAGAAGGGAGACGGAGGGGACCCTAGAGGTCTTCCAGCCCGGCCCCCCTGGAAACCCTCGGACAAAGGGTCGGCCCAGTCTTCGGTGATGGGGGAAGAAAGGAAAGGAAGGAAGGAAGGGAGAGAGAAGGCAGGCAAGGAAGGAAGGAATAAGAGAGAAAAGGAATGAAGGAGAGAGAAAGAAGGGAGAGGGGAAGGAAGGAAGGAAGGAAGAGAGAGAAGGCAGGCAAGGAAGGAAGGAATAAGAGAGAAAGGAATGAAGGAGAGAAAGAAGAGAGGGGAAGGAAGGAAGGAAGGAAGGAGGGAAGAAGGAGGAAGGAAGAAGAGAGAGAAGAAGGAAGGAAGAAGGCAGGCAAGGAAAGGAATAAGAGAAAAGGAATGAAGGAGAGAGAAAGAAGGGAGAGAAGAGGGGAAGGAAGGAAGGAAGAGAGAAGGCAGGCAAGGAAGGAAGGAATAAGAGAAAAGGAATGAAGGAGAGAGAAAGAAGGGAGAGGGGAAGGAAGGAAGGAAGGAAGAGAGAGAGAAGGCAGGCAAGAAGGAAGGAATAAGAGAGAAAAGGAATGAAGGAGAGAGAAAGAAGGGAGAGGGAAGGAAGGAAGAGAGAAGGCAGGCAAGGAAGGAAGGAATAAGAGAGAAAAGGATTGAAGGAATAAAGAGAGAGAAGGAAGGAAGGAGAGAGAAAGAAGGGAGAGGGAAGGAAGGAAAGAAGGAAGGAAGGAAGGGATAAGGCAGGCAAGGAAGGAAGGAATAAGAGAGAAAAGGAATGAAGGAGAGAGAAAGAAGGGAGAGAAGAGGGGAAGGAAGGAAGGAAGGAAGAGAGAAGGCAGGCAAGGAAGGAAGGAATAAGAGAAAAGGAATGAAGGAGAGAGAAAGAAGGGAGAGGGAAGGAAGGAAGGAAGGAAGAGAGAGAGAAGGCAGGCAAGGAAGGAAGGAATAAGAGAGAAAAGAATGAAGGAGAGAGAAAGAAGGGAGAGGGAAGGAAGGAAAGAGAAGGCAGGCAAGGAAGGAAGGAATAAGAGAGAAAAGGATTGAAGGAATAAAGAGAGAGAAGGAAGGAAGGAGAGAGAAAGAAGGGAGAGGGGAAGGAAGGAAAGAAGGAAGGAAGGAAGAGAGAAGGCAGGCAAGGAAGGAAGGAATAAGAGAGAAAAGGAATGAAGGAGAGAGAAAGAAGGGAGAGAAGAGGGAAGGAAGGAAGGAAGGAAGAGAGAAGGCAGGCAAGGAAGGAAGGAATAAGAGAGAAAAGGAATGAAGGAGAGAGAAAGAAGGGAGAGAAGAGGGGAAGGAAGGAAGGAAGGAAGAGAGAAGGCAGGCAAGGAAGGAAGAATAAGAGAAAAGGAATGAAGGAGAGAGAAAGAAGGGAGAGGGGAAGGAAGGAAGGAAGGAAGAGAGAGAAAGGCAGGCAAGGAAGGAAGGAATAAGAGAAAAGGAATGAAGGAGAGAGAAAGAAGGGAGAGGGGAAGGAAGGAAGGAAGGAAGGAAGAGAGAAGGCAGGCAAGGAAGGAAGGAATAAGAGAGAAAAGGATTGAAGGAATAAAGAGAGAGAAGGAAGGAAGGAGAGAGAAAGAAGGGAGAGGGGAAGGAAGGAAAGAAGGAAGGAAGGAAGGGATAAGGCAGGCAAGGAAGGAAGGAATAAGAGAGAAAAGGAATGAAGGAGAGAGAAAGAAGGGAGAGGGGAAGGAAGGAAGGAAGGAAGGAAGGAAGGAGAGAGAAGACAGGCAAGGAAGGAAGGAATAAGAGAGAAAAGGAATGAAGGAGAGAGAAAGAAGGGAGAGGGAGGAAGGAAGGAAGAGAGAGAAGGCAGGCAAGGAAGGAAGGAATAAGAGAGAAAAGGATTGAAGGAATAAAGAGAGAGAAGGAAGGAAGGAGAGAGAAAGAAGGGAGAGGGGAAGGAAGGAAAGAAGGAAGGAAGGAAGGGATAAGGCAGGCAAGGAAGGAAGGAATAAGAGAGAAAAGGAATGAAGGAGAAGAAAGAAGGAGAGGGGAAGGAAGGAGGGAGGGAAGGAATGAAGGAGAGAAAAGAAGAGAGAGGGGAAGGAAGGAAGGAAGGAAGGAAGGAAGAAAGACAGGCAAGGAAGAAGGAATAAGAGAGAAAAGGATTGAAGGAATAAAGAGAGAAGGAGGAAGGAAGGAGAGAGAAAGAAGGAGAGGAGAGGGGAAGGAAGGAAGGAAGAGAGAAGGCAGGCAAGGAAGGAAGGAATAAGAGAAAAGGATTGAAGGAATAAAGAGAGGGAAGGAATGAAGGAGAGAGAAAGAAGGGAGAGGGAAAGGAAGAGAGAAGGCAGGCAAGGAAGGAAGGAATAAGAGAGAAAAGGATTGAAGGAATAAAGAGAGAAGGAAGGAAGGAGAGAGAAAGAAGGGAGAGGGAAGGAAGGAAGGAAGAGAAGGCAGGCAAGGAAGGAAGGAATAAGAGAGAAAAGGATTGAAAGAATAAAGAGAGGGAAGGAATGAAGGAGAGAGAAAGAAGGGAGGGAAAGGAAGGGAGAAGGCAGGCAGGAAGGAAGGAATAAGAGAAAAGGATTGAAGGAATAAAGAGAGAGAAGGAAGGAAGGAAGAGAAAGAAGGGAGAGGGAAGGAAGGAAGGAATAAGATAGAAAAGGATTGAGGAATAAAGAGAGGGAAGGAAGAAGGAGAGAGAATGGAAGGAAAGGAAGGGAGGGAGGAGAAAGAGGGAGGGAGAATAGCAGAATAAGAGTTGGAGGGGACCTTGGAGGTCTTCTAGTCCAACCCCTTGCTCAAGCAGGAAATCCTATGCTGTTCCAGACAAATGGTTGTCCAATCTCTTCTTAAAAGGGATGGAGGAGGGAGGGTGGGAGGAAGGAAGGAATAAGAGAGAAAAGGAACGAAGGAATAAAGAGAGAGAAGGAATGAAGGAGAGAGAAGGGAAGGAAGGAAGGAAGAAAAAAGAGGGAGGAAGGAAGGAAGGCAAATAACAGAGTTGGAAGGGACCTTGGAGGTCTTCTAGTCCAACCCCCTACTCAAACAGGAAACCCTCGACCATTTCAGACAAGTGGCTGTCCAACCTTCCTTGGCATTGTGGGAGCTTCTTCTGCTTGGCCTCCATTCTCCTTCGGAGGAGTCCCTTTTCCTTGGTCGCCCCTTCAACACCACCTCCAGGATTTAATTTATTTATTTTTTTAAATTTGATTTATATGCCGCCCTTCTCCGAAGACTCAGGGCGGCTTACAATGTGCTCAGCAATAGCCTTCATCCTTTTGTATATTTATACAAAGTCAGCTTATTGCCCCCACAAACTGGGTCCTCATTTCACCTACCTTAGAAAGGATGGAAGGCTGAGTCAACCTTGAGCCTTGGCGAGATTCGAACCCTGCAGTAATTGCAGGCAGCTGGTCTTAATAACCAGCTTAATAACAGGATGCCTTAAACCCCTGTACTACCAAGGCTCTTTTCCCTCTAGGAATTGGCCTGCATTGCAGGGGTGGGGGTTAGCATCCCACGATCGAAATGTCTATGGAGGTTGTCAATTAATGTGGATTTTTCTTCTGCTAAAGTGGGAAAAAAACGATCCCACAAATGTTCAAAGGAGAATCTCAATCAGTGATTTCAATCTGTTGCAATATTTTTATTTTTTTTAGCGAAAAGCAGCTATTTGTCTGTTTCATCCTCAGTGAGTGACAGTAAGTATACGGTTTTACCAAAATGGAAATTTTGGAGGGCACCCTCATATTTATCGTAATAGAACCTTTAAGCCAAACCACTTACCACCCCAAAATCCTTGTAAAAGGCACTCCTTGAATGCCAATCAATGGATGTGTCAGCGTTTCAACGCTGGCATGGAGAGCAGAGGAGAGCAAGAGATAAACTCTTGAAACTTTTGCCTGCTAAATACCTTTGAAGTCGGGTTGTCGTGGAAATGAGGGGAGGGGGCACATTCCTGGGAAATGACGAGAAAAAGAAGTCTGAAGAATGACTTGGAAGATATCCAATGAGAAGCAGAGATTTGGGGATCGGAAAGGGAGGGATTGGGGGGCAAAAGGTCAGTCTTGTCCGCGTGGAGTCATGATCCGGTGGCTGTGCTCAATTAAAGAAAGATTTCCTTAAAGATTGGCAGTTTGGAAATTCATTTAATTTTGAGATAGCATCGCAGTCTGACAGGATGCCTATCACATCCGGTGCCAATCAATTGATTCAGTCCTATGCGTGACCTGATAGGTGATCTTGCCCCAGAGAGCAGATGGAAAGGACAGCATTTTTAATTGGCATTATTTGAAAAAAATATTTTTATTGCAAGAACACAGAGCGGGGAGACACCATCTCTCTGGTATCTTTCTGCAACTGAGTTTCCGATATGTTGTAACCTGGGTGAACAAGCATGGCCCCTTTAAGGACCTGTGGATTTCAACTCCCAGAATTCCCGAGCTCAAGAATTCTGGGAGTTGAAGTCCACAGGTCCTTAAAGGAGCTATAGCTGCCCACCTCCGCTCTAACACAAAATACAATTTGTTCTTTTTGACTAAGCTTGATATGTAAATCCAGAAAACAGCACAATCTTTCATGCATACGCCAGGATTTATATGGTGTGTAAAATTTCCAAACACGACTGTGAATTGTTTTGTTGTTTAAACTTAATTGTTGCAGGTCACTTTGTTGACTTAAAATAACTTTTTTTTATAATTTTAAAATATTTTTTTTTTTATTTTTTATTATATTTTTATTGTTAAAGAATAACAAAAAGGAAAGAAAAAAAATCAATACAAAATATTTTTTTTAAAAAAAAAAAGGATTTGAGGATGAGATCAAGAGGACCAAAAAAGGAAAACTTAACTTTTTGCAGGATTTTTAGCAAGAAAACCGTGTTCTTCCTTTTAACTGCTCTTCTTGTTCTTCCTTTGGGCTAACTTGTGCATCCAATGTCCTTCAATAACTTTGTTTACTGTAGTTAAAATCAAAACAATTGTTACTCCAGAAAATCGGGAATCTGGTAGTATCTTTTCGGACTAACCAACAACTCACAAAAAATGGTGCCTATTTCTTTTCTTTTAAAAAAAACAACAACAGGACAATGACAAACACAAACACAAATATAAACTCTCTCCGGCTACAAATATCGCATCCAGGGTCGGAGACAATTCTGCTTGAAAAATGATGAGAAGATGATTGATTTTTAAACTGAATTTTAAACCATTTCTTTGAAAATGATTTCTTTAGAACGAGAAGAAGAGAGATACTCGGAAACGGAGAAGGACGTGTGGAAAGAACACTGCCTGGAGAAGGTGAGCGGATTCTGCTGCTTTTCAGAACTAGCTCCCTTCTAAACTTTTATTTTTGTAAGTCCTTAACTTACAACCAGGGATGAAATGCTCCCGATTCGGCCCAGTTCAGCCAAACTGGTAGCGATGACAGTCGGTGGTTCGGAGAACCGGTAGTGATGGCAGCTTGAGGCTGGTAACCTGTTTTTTACCCTTTGTGCATGCGCAGAACGGTTTGTGCATTCACAGAGGGTCGGCCCGCGCATGTAGCGCGCAGTGGTGAAATACTAAATTTTTTACTACCGGTTCTATCGGCGTGGCTTGGTGGGCGTGGTGTGGCTTGGTGGGCGTGGCTTGGTGGGTGTGGTAGGGGAAGAATACTGCAAAATCCCCATTCCCTCCCAACTCCTGGGGGAAGGATATTGCAAAATCTCCATTCCCACCCCACTCTGGGACCAGCCAGAGGTGGTATTTGCCAGTTCTCCGAACTACTCAAAATTTCCGCTACGGGTTCTCCAGAACCTTTTCAGAACTTCCTGGATTTCACCCCTGGTGGAGCAACGCATACGAGTAACGCATACATTTCTGAACTGGTAGGGAAGGTAAGTAGATTTCACCCCGGCTTACAACCCTTCGTTTACTGACCGTTCCAAGTTACAACAGCACTGAAAAAAAGTGACTTATGACCGTTTTTCACGCTTACAATGTTTCCAGCCTCCCTATGCTCACGCAATCAAAATTCGGTCCTTTTGGCAACTGATTCAGATTTATGACGGTTGCAATGTCTTGAGGTCATGTGATATCCGCTTTTTGCGACCTTTTTTGTGACAAGCAAAGGTCAACGGGGGAAGGCGGATTCACTTAACAACTGGGTTAGTAACTCAAGAACTGCAGAGGTTCCCTTAACAACTGTGGCAAGGAAGGTCGTAAAACGGAGCAAAACTCACTTAATAGCTGCTTCGCTCAGCAATGGACATTTTGGGCTCAGTTTTGGTCATATTCCTTTGACCTTTTCGGGAAGAGGGTTAGAATTCAGAGCATTGCATGCAAGTCGATATTTCTTTTCCTTTTTTTGAAAAGTTTTAATTTTTATTTCTCATAAACAAACTTATCCATCTTTAATCATTCATCTCGTAACTATTTTTGATAGTTAATTATTAATTGTTCGGGGCTGCCCTTTTACCATTTCCTTCCTTTTATTTTGCCACAACTTTCCCTCTTCTTCTCCCCTTCTCTTCCTTCTTCTAACCCTTTCTACTTTCTTCATTCCTCCTCTCCTTCCCTTTCCTACTATCCCTTTCCCTTCCCCCACTCCTCTCTTCTTCTTCTTCTTTTTCTAATCCTCTCTCCTACTCTTCTTTCCCCCTCCCTCAAGTCGATGTTTCTAAAGAGGGGAGAAAGCTGCCGGGGCTATTCCGTGCTCTGAAAATCAGCAAAAGATTTTCCCATCTTTGTGGAACAGAGCAGTCCGGCTGATTATCTCCTTCAGAAAGGAGCCGAGATGATTAGATTGCGCTGTAAATCCGAGAGAAAAGAAGATTTGTCAGTCATTCAGACCAGGAACATTAAAGGGCAGAAGAATTCTCATGGCTTCCACGGGGCTGGTGCCAGCAATGCCCTGGGAGAAAAAGAACAAAAAATTGTTTTTACAGTGCTGGATCATAGGCTGGTAGCGATAGAGCCTTCGACGTACGACTGCCATTGAGCTCAACGTTTCTGTTGCTGAGCGAGACATTTGTTAAGTGAGTTAAAAGCCTCTGACGATCAGGCAACTCAGCTGGGATCGTCAGAGGCTTTTAAAAGCATTTTTTTTCCTACAACCTCTTCAGGCGAAGAGGTTGTAGAAAAAAGGGTTTTAAAAGTTTTTTAAAAAAAAAGTTGGCCACGCCCACTCAGTCACATTACCCCCCCCACACCAAGCCACGCCCACAGAACCGGTAGTAACAAATTTTACATTTCGCCACTGCTCCCAAGGAATGGGAAGGACCAAAGGGAGCATCTCTTCCAGAAACAGCCATTGTCTCATTTCTAGATTCGTTGGACTTTCATCCTTGATAAAGGATGCTGCAGACTTATGACGGGAAACCAACCCCGGATCTATGGATCGTCACGGAAAACAAACCCATTAGCTCTTGGTTAATTAACTCCTGAGGTCCAGCGTGGAACCCAACATCTTTGGCCTCTTGGCTCGCCAACGCATAAATAAATCATTTACCCCGATCGATAGGAATAAATAGCGCGGTTCTCCACATCTAATCCACGTCATGTTACAGCAGTTCTGCGAAAGTTAAGAGCTACATTAATACAGTCCTTAAAGGACTTTTCTTTTCTTTTTTTTCTCCCCCTCCACGCTCTCTTGTTAAAAAAGGAGAAGCTTTGCCGAGTAAGCATGGGAACGGAGCCAGAGGCAGCCAGTCCCTAGGAAAAGAATGAAATGTGCTGAGCTTGGCAATGGCTGCCGGCAAAACGGCATTCGTATTCGTGGCAATTAATAACCCCCCTAATGGATTTGATCCAGGGGCTTCCATTAGACCTGGCTCAGAGAAATGGGATTATCAGGAGAAGCGAGTCTCGTCTCCAAACTCTGCCGTGATTTCTCTTAAATAATTCTGCTCAAAGAAACGAGTGCAAGATGGTTCGTGTCATCAGCCGGTTGAAAAGTCAAGTTTGCTAGCTTGCAGTCTTGGATGTTTGGGCTGGGCACCCCACCGAATTCCTAAATTCATCCCTCTTTCCTAGGATTTAAGCCCTAGGCCTAGTCAGTTGGCACGGATCTCCCTGTTGTGACCCAGGCCCAAGTAGGTATTATCAGACGCAATCAGTTCTAAACAAACAGATTTTATTAGTACAGCTGAGAATTAACTCATTCTCAGCGTAGTCCAAGCTAATTCAAAACAAATTGTTCATAACACAATTCTTCAGCCTTATCACCAACCTTGGGTCTAATTAGGCAACCTGCCAAAGGCTTTTCTTGGCAAATGTTCAGAAGCAGAAGACACCGACAAGAAATAAATGCAGCAAGACAAGAAACAAATCTATCAACGTTGTTTTCCGACAAAGAGCCCAAGAGCCGTTGCTGGTCTGTTTTAAGCCTTATGGGAGGGGCCAATCATCTCTTGGCCTTACTCCTGAGTCGTCCTTTTTGCTTTAGCTGCTCTTGCCTTCTCATACGTGCACTAGGAACAGGCTCCCTCTGTTCCTCTGCCTCTCTGCTGTCAGCCTCTGGAGGTTCCTGAGTCCGCACATCACTCCCCGATCGCCCTGGCCCCATCTCTGCCTCCGATGCAGAGCCCTCATCCAGGCCTTCCCCAGCCTCCAGGACTGGCCCATGTTCTTCCTCAGCCTCCTCACTGTCCAACTCTGCAGGCTGCTGGTGGACCACAACACTCAACACTCCCCTCACCTAAATATGAATCCAGATTGTTATCCTATAACCAGCTGATAAATTCAGAATCTATAGGAGGTTATTCACCTTTGAAGGACGTGGATGGTCTTTGGAGTCTGATGGGGTAAAAACCCCACTTGTTGGTTATACTAGGGTACAAGAAGTGGTTATATTTGACTGGTTGGTTGTGCAAATCTCAGCTCTGCTTCTCAGCTTAGGCCACCTGAAGATGTGTGTACTTCAATTCCTAGAATTCCCCAGCCAGCCACTCTCTTGGGGCTCTAGATCAGTATGTCAGAACTGCCATCCTGAGCTTCAGCCTTGATTGCTAGATGTCAGCCTGCTGTAGACGGGGGGGAGGGGGGATGCTGGGAAAGGGGAAACCGAAACTACTCATCGTTCCTTCCTGAGATGTCGCCTCATCGCCCCAAGGCCAGAGAACTGGGAGAGGAATGCAACGGTTTACCATCCAGCCCGCCGATGCAGGGAACGATACCAAAACAATTCCTTTGAATGTAACTGGACAATAGGGAGATAACGGAGAGCAGGAACAGAAAGGGAAAGTAAACTGGGGAAACTTCGTGCACAAACTTTTAGTTCTGGCTTTGCTGTACTGTCACCACTTGACTTCTAGTAGAAGTATAGCTTTCGCACACATGGAATCGAGGGTCTCTCTTTCCTAAGAACCCAAGTCAGGGCAGGTGTGACACGGTATTTCTCAACCTTGTTCGCTTGAAGATGTGGGAACGCCCAGAATTCCCCAGCCAGCATGCCCACACCTCTTCAAGGAGCCAAGGTGGAGAAACACTGAGTCTCTGGAAATGACCAATCTACTTCCCTCCTTCTCACCCTTGCAAACATCTTTCTTCACAGGCTAAAAAAAGAGAAGACATCATTGCATTGCTGAAAAGACAAAGGGAAGAGAGGATATCGGTAAGGTGGCTTTATGATTGTCTGAACCTCCCTCTCTCTTGAGCAGGGGTCACCAACCTTTCAAACCTCAAGGGACCGCTAAATCCATAATTTTAAATCCCACGGACCACTAATATAATCTGCCTAATGACCAGCTGGGTGGGCGTGGCAAGGTAGTCATGTGACTGGATGGGTGTGGCCAACTCGATGTCACTCACGTTGAGGGGCACCTTGCCAGCCTCTACTCGCTACTCCTCGCCTGCCCGCCCGGGCTCCTTAGGACCCCTACAGGAAGCAGTTGCTGGAGCTAAGCAGCCACCACGAGAAAGAGTTGGCAAAAGAGCTCAGTTCAAATTGGATCTGGCTGAGAAGGAGGCTCAGCAGAAGAACCTCACTGAGGACTAGGAGCATAGGCTTTCCAAGCAGAGGGAAGACCTACGGGAGTACAAGGCCAGTTACCGGCGCCTGGAGGCTCAGTGGGCTGAGATGGTCAGCCAGTTCCAGACCATGATGCAGTCCCACTGGAACGAGGCCCTCCGGCTCTTCGCCACCAGCGTCTCTTCCCTCCAGCCTTCGCCCAAAGCCCCACACCAGGAGGCCGAAACAGACCCTGAGTTGGAATTTCTGCCCCCCTCCGACCCACACAAAAAGGGGGAAACTCTCGGCAGCAACACAAATGTTCATTGCACATATCCGGCCCAGGGGCCGTAGTTTGAGGACCCCTGATTTAGTGCAATATAAAAAATGCAAATAATTTTTCTGGGGACCACCAAAATTTTCTCATGGACCACCAGTTGGTTAACTGCTGCTCTTGAGAACCGAGCATTGCTTCCTTGCTTAACTTTCCTTTCTCGTTTCTTCCCTCCTGCCAGCTGCAGCATGTAACACAAAAGAAGGAATAAAGCCAGGAACGCTATTGAAATTTGGCTGGGGTAGAAGCCAGCCTGCAATTCGGTCCTCCATGAAGCTGGAAAGGGTGCCAGAAGCCTGGCATGAGTTTAGAAGGATGGTTCAGCTCCGCGGAGAGCTTTGCGGAAAGAGGGGGCTGGATAGAGTTATTTAAAAGGGATGATTGGTGGGGAGAAACTGCCTTAATTATATGGAGCAGGGGGGAAAAAAAGAGATTTAGTACATATTTAGCTCAATTGGCTTGAATCTGTCAAGGAGCGTTTCGTCCCGTTTCTCATTCTTCCAGTTTTGAATCTGTGTCATCAGGGGTTCTTCCTGCATTTCTGACTTTTCTTTCTTTCTTTTTTAGCTGATGGGACTTTTTACTTTACTTTTACTTTTATTTGATTTATATACCGCCCTACTCCCGAAGGACTCAGGGCGGTGAACAGCCAACAATAAAATACATATATATACAAAATTTAAAAAGCAGAAATAAAAATCGAATTAAATAAGTTTGGCCCAGACAATTCCTCAGCATTTATTTATTTATTTATTTGGGAATGTTTTTGCTTCGTGTGTTCTTCTTTTCTAATCCGTTAACGGTGTCGAGTATTTAAAGCTGTCGATCCTGCTGCAAAGTTCAAATCCATGGGAATACCCACGAGAGAATACATGTAGCTCGGGGCTGAATTGTGGGGTGCTCGGTGCTCCCTGAGCTTGGTGGTTTTCTTGCAGATGTTTCATGACCCAACTAGGGAACAAAATCAGTGCAGAAAGGAGTGGGGTTTGCATCAAGGACCCCACAGAACACCCCATAAACTTTGCACTGTTCTCTCCCACCCTGCAAAAGAACAGTTTAAAACGGGCGAAGTTTTTAACCGCAATTATTTTCTCCCTTTCTCAGAAAGAGTCCTTATCTCGGCCACACAAGCCAAAATCCAAAGCGCCAGAAAGGTAATATCAAGAAGACAAGTTTTTCCTCCTATTCGCCTTAAATTTTCGGTGATCCCGATTAGTAAATAAACGCTTGTATCATTTTGAAAAGTGTAACTTTTTCCCCCTCTTCTTTCCATCTCTCTTTTTTTTTTTTTAATTCCAGGGACCAGGAAGACGAGAGGTAAAATCTCCTGCCCGATTTGGAATTATTTCACGCATACCAGAGAAAGGACCGCGTGCTAAAGAATTCCTGGAATTGAAGGCCAGCCAAATTGTCCTGGTTTTTTTTTTTTTAGCCAAGAAATCAACCTGGGCTCTCCATATATCTTCTAAAGGTTCAAAGGAAGCTTAGCCTGTCCACTTTTAAAATTACTCGCCCCTTCCATTTCTCCTCTCAGCAGTTTCTGCCTTTTAATTTGTTAATGGCTGGCATTTTTCTCACGTATGTCAACTTCCAGCTCTTGGGAAAATGCCATTTGAAACCCATTTTTTACAGTAGTTAAGGTACTGATTCAAACCTGGGAGTCTTATTTTTGGGGAAACAGGGTAGTTCCCTGAGTCACTGGGGACAACCCCGATTTATCCAGTCGGTTAGACTGACAAATACGTAAGTGAGTCTTGTTGAAATTACTTGCTTAAGGATGATTTGCCAGCTGAGCGGTTCTCAAGAGCCTGCAAGTTCCCCACCACCAGGGATGAAATGCTCCCAGTTCGGTCTGGTTCGCCCGAACCGCTAGTAATAAAGGCTACCGGTTCGCCGAAACGGTAGTAAAAAAAAAAAAAAGTTCCAACATTCAGTTGAGTGACACGCGATCGTCAGAACTGGTTTTTTTTTACTTTTTTAGCATTTTTTTACTACCGGTTCTCCGGTTGTTTTTCTTGCAGACGTTTCATGACCCAACTGGATAATGTCATCAGTGCTAGGAGGGAGTGGGGTTTCTGGAGAGGAGGAGGAGGACTGTGGGGTGCTTGGTGCTGTCTCAGCTTGGTGGTTTAGTTGCAGATGTTTCATTACCCAACTGGGTAACATCATTAGTGCTAGAAGGGAGTGGGGTTAGCAGAGAGGAAGAGGAAGAGGAGGACGACTGTGGATCCTTGTTGCTCTCTCAGCTTGGTAGTTTTCTTGCAGACGTCTCATGACCGAACTGGGTAACATCATCAGTGCTAAAAGGGAGTGGGGTTTACTTTCTTTTTCTATACAGTAGCTTGCCTCCTGACTGTGTTGGTGAGAGTGTTCAGCAGCCAAATAAACAGAGATTACCAAGATTAACTAGACCAGGGGCCTAGAGACTGGAGAAGCTGTCCATCCATCCATCCAAGCATCCATCCAAGCATCCACCTGTCTTTAACTATCTATTGAGCCATTGAGTCATCCTTTCTAGCTGTCCATTCATCTACTCATCTCTCCTTCCCTCCTTACATCCCTCTCTCTCTATATTAGTCCATCTGTCTGTCTATTTGTCCATCTATCTGTCCATCCATCCATCCAAGCATCCATCTCTCTGTAGCTATCTATTGAGCCATCGATCCAGCCGTCATCTGTCTACCTCTCTAGCCATCCATTCATGCACTCTTCTCCCCCTCCCTCCTTACATCCCTCCCTCCTTCCCTCAATATCTGTCCTCCGTCTACCTTTCTGTCTCCATCCATCTCTCCCTCCAGCCATGCTTAACACACAGCTGTGTACCCAAGCTAGGTCATTCTTTTCCTTTCCTTCTAAACCAGGGGTTGGCAACCTGCTGCTCTGGAGCCGCATGTGGCTCTTTCACCCCTCTGCTGCAGCTCCCTGTCACTCAAAATACGCGTCACAACCACCAATGTGCAACACCCGATGGCACACGATTTATTGAGCTATTCAGTCCCTGGTAGGCCAACCATGGATAAATCCAAGAAAAGAAAAGTTTCAGAAGAAAACAGAACGTTTAATTCAACTACATATGCCGCTCAAGAAATAGGCACTGGAAGGGTTTTGTGGCTCCCGGTGTTTTCTTTTCTGTGGGAAACAGGTCCAAATGGCTCTTTGAGTGTTTAAGGTTGCAGACCTTCACTAGACCAATAATCAAGCAACAGACAATACCCAAATCCAGAAATCAGCAATCCAGACAATCCATCAAACAGTAAACAACAGCCTAATCAACGAACCACCAGGGATATTTCCACTCACACTGACAGGGCAAACCAGCAGTGTCTTAAGAATAAGCGCAAACTCCACTCTCATCTAAGCCCTGATGACGTTATCTAGTTGGGTCACGAAAACGTCTTGAAGGAAACAACCCAGCTCGGAGAGCATCAGGGACGCCACAATTTTCCAAGCTTTGAGATTGGAGATTTTCCTGCTGGCGTTTGGGGAGAAGGAGGCGGGGAGTGTCTCTAAATGACCTCAGGGTGTCCTTCATTCTTTTTCTTTAGTTCCAAAAAGGAGAAGGAAGAACAGTCTGAGGATGAAGAGAGCGTCAAGGCGTTACCTTGAGAATTCCGACCGGAGACACTAACCGACAAGGCTTATTTGTATTTTCAGCCAGCCTGTCCTTGGTGTCTGACAACGGCTGTGGCTCATTGTTGATATAGTCCGCCCCCTTCCCACTCCCCTTGGACTTCTCTGCATGTTTGACAGACTAGCTCTCTGCGGGGCTGAGATGGATGACCTTTCTGGCACCCATTGCCCCATGGGACTTAACTCCTGCGCAAGAAATCTCTGAAGAAATACCCAAAGCGTTAAAACAAGCTTTTGATCCACCAGCTTTGCAAGCCGAGATGTGAATCTCCGTTTGCTCTGAACGGTGACGTTTCTTTTTTGTAAAAAAAAAATAATAATAATTTTTATTGGGTATTTTACATTTTAAAACCAAACACACAATAGCAAAAGGAGTCAAGAGACAAAAACACGCACATCAGATGTTAAAATACAATCCTAACAACAGATATATACAATTTTACAGCTTTTCTGCAACGACTTTTGTCTCTACTCTTAGCTTTCATTCCTCCCTCTCCTTCTTTTTATTTTTAAATATTCATAATTAACTGTTTCATTAGCAGGATCGTTATTTACATTTATATCCTGTATGTTGATATCAAATTTCACTTTATATTCTTAATTTGATTTCTGTTTTCCAGTTTTACCACCGTTCCTAGCAACATTGATATTATTTATTCGTTTTTGTCTTTTTTTGAGCCCCATTTTGGGACTTGGAAGCTCCAAGATACCCAGCCAGCAGCAGAAAGAATTCCAGAGCTCCCAAATCCTTGGCAGGCGCACCAGGCGGGGGGGAGGAAAGCTGGTTTCCATCTTAGTACAGCATGTCACGTTTTGTGGAATAAGCCCCCCCCCTTGTTTCGCTGTCTTCTGAATAAACGGAATAGCTTGCTAAAACAGCTGGCTCTTTTCCAGTGCCCGACATTGCCCTGTGAATTTCTGCCTTGTTGTTTTCTGCTTTTGCCTCCCAGTTTCCCTTCTGGCCCTTTGACAGAAATGTGCCGAGATGAATTTTGCCCGAGCTGAATCCCTTCCCTTTGTTTCCTCGGCATGCAGGAAACGGTACCGTCCGTTGCCAAAAAAAGGGTTTTTGGTGGTGGTTGTTTTTCTCTTCCAACTTTCAAAAATTGGCCAGCCTTCAAGAGGTTTTTTGGGGGGTTTTTTTGCACTTGGAGTTGCGGGGAGGGAAATGCCACTCGGCTCTCACTGTGTCAATAAAAGGAAATTTGCTGCTGTAATTCAGCTTGTTTTGACCGGAGTGTTCAACCCAAGTTCAGAGCTCTCGGTTAACCAAATGCCTTCCCCGTAAGCCAAGGGTTTTCTGGCTGGGTGATGGATTGTCCTGGGATGGCCGGTAGATGCCACGGACCAAGTAGCTGAAGCAGCGGTCGGTTTCATGTTTTGTTGCTACCGGTTCGCCTTCCGTGCATTCACTTTGCTTGCGCCCAGCCCAGTGCTGAAATCCAATTTTTTTTACTACCGGTTCTGTGGGCGTGGCTTGGTGGGCAGGGCAGGGCAAGAATACTGCAAAATCTCCATTCCCTCCCACTCCAGGGGAAGCATACTGCAAAATCTCCATTCCCACCCTGCTCCTGGGGGAAGGATATTGCGAAATCCCCATTCCTTCCCTACTCCTGGGGGAAGGATAATGCAAAATCTCCATTCCCTCCCAACTCCTGGGGGAAGGATATTGCAAAATCTCCATTCCCTCCCAACTCCTGGGGGAAGGATGTTGCAAAATCTCCATTCCCTCCCAACTCCTGGGGGAAGGATATTGCAAAATCTCCATCCCCCCTCCAGGGGGAAGGATACTGTAAAATCTCCATTCCCACCCTGCTCCTGGGGGAAGGATATTGCAAAATCTCCTTTCCCACTCCAGAGGAAGGATACTGCAAAATCTCCATTCCCACCCCGATCTTGGGGGAAGGATATTGCAAAATCCCCCATTCCCTCCCCACTCCTGAAGGAAGGCTATTGCAAAATCTCCATTCCCACCCCATTCTGGGGCCAGCCAGAGGTGGTATTTGCTGGTTCTCTGAACTACTCAAAATTTCTGCTACCGGTTCTCCAGAACCTGCTGGATTTCACCCCTGGCCCTACCCCTGTATCCCTCTGTTAATGCAATTTAGGATTGCATTGGCTTTTTTGGCTGCCGCTGCACACTCTTGGCTCATATTTAATTGTCTGATCTACTACAGTACCCAGCTCCTCTTTTCCTGACAGCGGGCGTAACTTGAAGGCAGGTTTCTGCTAGTCAGCATGAACTGGAGGCAGATTTTGTGTGTGGCTCGGGAAGGAATGAGTGTGCGTGCGTGATTGCGCACATGCGCATATACTGTAGATAACCCCTCTTTCCCCCACCCCCTCACCCCCGGCTTCATAAATCAGAAAGCCACTTAGAAAATTGCTGATGCAGCTTCCAAGGAACACAAGCCAGGTTGGAATAAGGAGTTGGAATCGTTCAAGTCCAGCCTTCCAAGAAATTCCTCCACCCTTAATAGGGAGACGAGATGAAGAAAAACATTCACCACGGCTTCCTCCGCGGCATCACAAGATCACAACGCCACAGCCAGGATTTCAATAATACGGGATTAGCAGCTGAATCCCGATCTGCTTTTGAGTGGCTGTGTTCAGGCCTTGTTTCTAAGCCGTTTGTTTGTTGGAACCATGGTTTGTTGAAACCGTCCATGAGAGAAGCATTGGGGTTGGACTAGAAGACCTCCAAGGCCCCTTCTAACTCTGTTATTCTGTTAACATCCTAATTGCCTGGCTCCATACGATACCGTGGAACGCAAGCCACGATGGATGCGATTCACACAAGGTACAAAGACACTGCCATGTAAAGCTGCTGTAGTATGGAAGGGAAGGGAAGGGAAGGGAAGGGAAGGGAAGGGAAGGGAAGAGAAGAGAAGAGAAGAGAAGAGAAGAGAAGAGAAGAGAAGAGAAGAGAAGAGAAGAGAAGAGGGGATGGGATGGGATGGGATGGGATAGAATAAAAGAGAATGAGAAGAGAAGAAGAGAGAGAGAGGAAGAGAAGAGAAGAGAAGAGAAGAGAAGAGAAGAGAAGAGAATAACAGAGTTGGAAGGGACCTTGGAGGTCTTCTAGTCTAACCCGCTGCCTAGGCAGGAAACCCTACACCACTTCAGACAAATGGTTATCCAACTTCTTAAAAACGTCCAGTGTTGGAGCATTCACAACTTCTGGTGGCAAGTTGTTCCACTGATTAATTGTTCTAACTGTCAGGAAATTCCTCCTTAGTTGTAAATTGCCTATTTTCACCCTTCAGCATTGCCACTGCAAAGATCCTAGGTGCCGTGGACTACAACTCCCATCATCCAGGGGCTGGGAGGTTGTCATCCATTCCGGAGGGTACCAAATTGAAAAGGGTTGCTGCCAAGGTCCCTTCTACGTCCTGCGTTTTATATGTTTCAGAAGTTGTGGGAGCTTCACCACTGGAAGCTTTCAAGAAGAGACTGGACTGCCATCTTTCAGAAATGGTGTAGGGTCTCCTGCTTAGGCGGGGGAGAGGGTTGGACTAGATGACCTCCAAGGTCCCTTCCAACTCTTGTTATACTGTTTTATGAACCACGGTGGCGCAGTGGTTAGAATGCAGGACTGCAGGCTCCTTCTGCTGACTGCCGGCTGCCTGCAATTTGTCAGTTCGAATCTCACCAGGCTCAAGGTTGACTCAGCCTTCCGTCCTTCCGAGGTGGGAAAAATGAGGACCCAGATTGTTTTGGGCAAGAGGTTGACTCTCAACCCCTTAGAGAGGGCTGTAACAGCACTGCGAAGCAGTATGTAAATGCTATTGCTACTGCTATCTCTGTTACATAGATATATGCACATGCAGACTCACACAAACTCACAAAGGGGGGGCCATGGGTTGGAGAACCTCTACATTTTTGGCTGCTCCGTCTCAACCCCAAAGCCACAATAGCACGTTTGCAGCTGGACTCCTTTCCTTCCTCACCCCGGCTGGGCATCTGGAAGCTGTTTCCAAACCAGGATGAGTGGAAAGTTGGCTCGGGATCCCGGAAGCTCAGCCCGGTCCAGATTCCCAGCGCTCAGGAAACCAGCAGACAAATGTGTCCCGTCAGCATCTGGGCAGGAGCCGATCCTGCGACGGGAGCAACTTTCCATCTGCATTTCCCTCTCTTTTCCCAAGCAGGATCTGGCCCAAGGCCTCGGCCTGTTCTCAGGAGCTCTTGAAAAGATGCAGAGTTAAGGTTGCTGGGATGATGGTTTTTCCTCGACGAAGTTTTCTGGATTCAGACAAGATGACGACCCGCGATTTAGCCAGACCGATTTGTTTTCAGAGCAAAGCATAAATGTGATTTGATTGTACCGTGCCACTAAAACAGACTGTTTTTGTTTTTTTTTAATTTGATTTATATGCCGCCCTTCTCCGGAGACTCAGGGCGGCTTACAATGCGTTAAGCAATAGCCTTCATCCTTTTGTATATTTTATACAAAGTCATCTTATTGCCCCCACAATCTGGGTCCTCAATTTACCCGCCTTAGAAAGGATGGAAGGCTGAGTCAACCTTGAGCCTTGGCGAGATTCGAACCTGCAGAAATTGCAGGCAGCTGTGTTAATAACAGGGTGCTTTAGACCACTGTACTACCAAGGCTCCTATACAAGACTGTACACGGCTTTGTTGGATACACGGCACTCTTTAGACCAGAGGTCACCAACTGGTGGTCCGTGAGAAAATTTTGGTGGTGCCCAGAAAAATTATTTGCATTTTTTATATTGCACTAAATCAGGAGTCCTCAAACTATGGTCCCTGGGCCGGATATGTGCAATGAACGTTTGTGTTGCTGCAGAGAGTCTCCCCCTTTGGGGTCTTTTTGTGTGGGTCGGAGGGGGGCAGAAATTCAGACTCGGGGTCTGCTTCGGCCTCCTGGTGTGGGGCTTTGGGCGAAGGCTGGAGGGAAGCACCGCTGGTGGCGAAGAGCCGGAGGGCCTCGTTCCAGTGGGACTGCATCATGGCCTGGAACTGGCTGACCATCTCAGCCCGCTGAGCCTCCAGGTGCCGGTACCTGGCCTTGCACTCCCACAGGTCTTCCCTCTGCTTGGAAAGCCTGTGCTCCTAGTCCTCAGTGAGGTCAAACCATCCTTCTTTATCAGACAGATCAAAACAAGTTCTTCATAAAACATACGAAGAACGGTTGCAGGAACTGGGTATGTCTAATTTAATGAACAGAAGGACTAGGGGAGACATGATAGCAGCCTTCCAGTATCTCAGGGGCTGCCACAAAGAAGAGGGAGTCCAGCTATTCTCCAAAGCACCTGAGGGCAGGACAAGAAGCAACGGGTGGAAACCAATCAAGGAGAGAAACAACTTAGAACCAAGGAGAAATTTCCTGACAGTCAGAACAGTTAACCAGTGGAACCACTTGCCACCAGAAGTTGTGAACACTGGACGTTTTTTTTTTAAATTTATTTATTTATATGCCGCCCTTCTCCGGAGACTCAGGGCGGCTTACAATGCGCTAAGCAATAGCCTTCACCCTTTTGTATATTTATACAAAGTCAGCTTATTGCCCCCACAACTGGGTCCTCAATTTACCTACCTTAGAAAGGATGGAAGGCTGAGTCAACCTTGAACCTTGGCGAGATTCGAACCTGCAGTAATTGCAGGCAGCTGGTCTTAATAACCAGCTTAATAACAGGGTGCCTTAGACCACTGTACTACCAAGGTTTTTAAGAAGAGATTGGGCTTCTTTAATTTGTCTGAAACGGTATTGAGTTTAAGCAGGGGGTCAGACTAGAGGACCTCCAACTTCCCTCCCAACTCTTCTTCTTTTATACTTGGAATCCATCCTACTTTCCCTCCTTTCCCTGCGGGGATCCCCTCGGGGGTCCCCCAGCCTCGCCGGCTGCCAGCCAAGGCGCGCCCTCCGCCCCCGGGAGCCCCTCCAGCGGCCTCCCTCCCCCCCCTTTCCCTCCCCTCCCCTCCGGGCTGGCCCCCGGCCCGGAGGCGGAGCCGCTTCGCCTTGCCTCGCCCGGGCCAGACGCTCGGGCGGCTGCAGTGGCTCCGGCGGCGGCGTCGGCCATGTGGCTCCCGGGTTGCGACGGGGGAGCGGCCGGTGGGCTCTGGCAGCTCCCGCTGCTGCTGCTGCGGCTGGGCGCTTTCTGCGAGCCGGCGGCCGGCCGGGAGACGCGGCTGCCCAGCGGTGAGTCGGGCAGAGGCTGGCCGGGGCAAAGGGAAGGATGATGGGGAAGAAACTTGCAAAAGTCCGGGGAAGTCTAGCATCGCGTCCCGACTTACGACCGCGCGTGGGTGGGGGGGGGGACGGGGGTCTGCGGGCAGGAGGGGGGATGCTAAGTAAAGGCTGAGACCCCCCCCCCTTGTCCAGCCGGGAAAAGTGGGGTACAGGGGTGGAGAAGGGGTTCAGCTGCTCTCCGAGGTGCCGGGAGGGGGGGAGGCTGCGGGTATCGGGGTGCAGACGTCGCGACCCCCCCCCAAAAAAAACCAAGCAAGCAACCGTCTCCATCCAAACCACGCTTCGTGGATCGCGAGTGGATTCTTCGCGCGTGGAAAGGCGGCCGCGCAAGGAGGGGAGGGAAGCCCTCCCGAGTGGGCTGGGGAGGGGCTACAGCCAGAAGGTGGGGGGGTGGGGGCGAGGAAGGACTCCTCTACTTTGCTTGCAAAGCTGCGTCCGGACCGGACTCAGCTTCTTTAAAGGCGTGGGGAGGGGGGGTCGTCTCGGTTGTTGGGTGATGGGCGCGTTTCCAAGTCCGGGGTGGGGATGGGGTGGGGTGGGGGTCTCAGTTGCCGGAGTCTGGCCCTGAGCCAACGCGGGGGGGGGCTTCAGCCTCCCGTCGGGCCGCTCAGATGTTTGGGGGGGGCAGCCAAATGGGGAGGGGGGCGCTGAAGACATGGCTTTTTCAGCAAACTTCCTGATCTGTTGCGAGACTTTTTCATCGTTTGGGGATTTTTAAATTGAGTAATTTTAGTATTGCATTGTTGCATTTTTTATCTTGTGAGCCGCCCCGGGTCCTACGGGAGAAGGGCGGCATATAAATTTTGAAAAATAAAATAAAATAAAAATAAATAGAAGCCCCCGTGGCCTTTGAAATCCCGACGTGCTGCGGATCTCCGAGGCATCCCTGGATTCGGGCAGGGCTGGCTCCGCTCCGTCGGAACCTGAACCCGCTTCAGCCAAAGGGCTAAACCGGATTCGGGGAGGGGGGCGTCGTAGCTGGGGATTCCCGCGGCTCCCTAAGCGTCTTGGTGCATTGGGATGCAGTCCGGGCAATGGAGCTGGACCATAGTGGGACCTATTTCCACTCTGGTCTCCGTCCTGGATCAGAGAGGCCCCTTTTAACCTCATCCTCTGCAGTCTGCTCCGGGCTGGGGGGTAGGTGGGTGGGTGGGCAGCAAAACCCCAGTAGGCCCCAGTTGTCCACAGAACTTACTTTAAGTTGGCACCTCCTGGCTTTAAGGCTTGCAACGAATTAAGAACAAATGGCACGCTGGCACTTTTGGACTGCAGGTAGAGTTCCCAAGTATTTGTGGAGAATAAAGAGGCGGAGGAGACCCACCACCCTGAAAAAAGGACCACGGGCTGAGTTTTATGGCAGAGAGTCTTCAAGAAAGGGGCTGATAGACAGCCCCACCCCCACAAGCTCCTTCTCTATCAGCCTTCTTCTTGAAGGCTCTCTGCCATAAAACTCAGCCCGTGGTCCTTTTTTCAGGGTGGTGGGCCTCCTCCGCCCTCTTTACACCCAGGGATTTACACCCAGGGCAGCTGTTTGATTAGGGCACCCAGAAAGGCCAAGGATGGTCTTCGGGTAGGGGTTCCAGCAGTGGGCCTTTCTGAAGTTTTCTGCTCAGAGTTGGACCCCAAACGCTTCACTGGCAAACAAGCAATTCCTAATGTAATGAGATCAAGGTAAAATAGCACCAACCTCCTGGAATGACTTGTAGAATAGAACAGAGTAGAGTAGAGTAGAGTAGAGTAGAGTAGAGTAGAGTAGAGTAGGAGTAGTGGAGGAGTAGAGTAGAGTAGAGTAGAGTAGAGTAGAGTAGAGTAGAGTAGAATAGAATAGAATAGAATAGAATAGAATAGAATAGAATAGAATAGAATAGAATAGAATAGAATAGAATAGAATAGAATTCATTATTGGCCAAGTGTGATTGGACACACAAGGAATTTGTCTTTGGTGCATACGCTCTCGGTGTACATAAAAAGAAAAGATACGTTCATCAAGAATCATAAGGTACCACACTTAATGATAGTCATAAGGTACAAATAAGCAATCAGGAAACAATATCAATATAAATTGTAAGGATACCAGCAACAAAGTGACAGTCATACAGTCGTAAGTGGAAGGAGATAGGGAATAGGGAAGATGAGAAGATCAATAGTAATGCAGACTTAGTAAATCGTTTGACAGTGTTGAGGGAATTATTTGTTTAGCAGAGTGATGGCGTTCGGGAAAAAAACTGTCCTTGTGTCTAGTTGTTCTGGTGTGCAGTGCTCTATAGCGTTGTTTTGAGGGTAGCAGTTGAAACAGTTTTTGTCCAGGATGTGAGGGGTCTGTAAATATTTTCCCAGCCCTCTTTTTGACTCGTGCAGTATACAGGTCCTCCATGGAAGGCAGGTTGGTAGCCATTGTTTTTTCTGCAGTTCCAATTATCCTCTGAAGTCGGAGTCTGTCTTGTTGGGTTGCAGAACCAAATCAGACAGTTATGGAGGTGCAGTTATTTTATTTCATTTTATGCCTTTCAGAAATTGCTGAAAACAAAGCTCTTCCCAATGGCCTTTGGAACTTGATGTTTCAATGGTGTGTATGTATGTGTGTGTGTGTACCAGATTAGATAGATAGATAGATAGATAGATAGATAGATAGATAGATAGATAGATAGATAGATAGATAGATAGATAGATAGATAGATGATGGAGGGAGGGAAGGAGGGAAGGTGTGTATATGTGTGTATGATAGATATATGTGTGTATGTATTATATATAATCAAAAAAATTGTTTTACCTTCAACCAGAGATGTTTTAATGGCTGTTATATTCCCATAAACCAGCGAGAGACTCCAGGGACTCTAGTGAGGTATAAATACAATAAATAAATAAACCAACCAACCAACAAACAAACTTGGTCTGAGAAAACCTTCATGCAGTTGTGTTTGTCAGGACAGACTTTGCCCCTTCCTCAACAGCTGTGGCTCTGTGGTGAAACCACCCAAAAAGTGGGGAGGGGGCGTCGGGGAGGGGGAAGGAGGTTAGCTGGCCAATGGTTCTGCTGTGAGCACTTATTATATTTAGCATTCTTTTGCCATTCCGTTCCTGGAAGTTCAGCCTCCTGCAGTACAGTGGACTCTGGATGGCTTGGATCGCAGCTCCCACAATCCCCAGCCCTGACCATGCGGGTTGGAAATGATGGGAAACGTAGTCCAACATATCTGAAGGGCCTGGGAGTACTTCACTTAGGGGTACGTGGCATAATAAATGAATTTGCTCGGGAAATCAATGCGCTTTCCCAGAATGATCTCCAGAAAGTGACCTGGTGAGATCACAGAGTGGACAGCGGAGGGGAGGAGGGGGTACCATCCTGCCATCCGCTGCCTCATTTTGCTGATAAGACACAAATGATTTGGCAAGGGGGTCGCAAAAACCTGGCTGAACCAACTCCAAAGGAGCTCTCTCTCTTTATCTGACGTGGCTGAGGATGATTTGATTAAAAGTATTACATTCCTTCTGTTGGCCTTCCTTCTTTGAAGCTGCCAGAATCCGATTCTCAGTAAGGGGGAAGGTCTTTGGAGCTCTTTTATGTGATAGCTTTGGGGTTTCCAAACCAGCCCTGGAAGTTCTCAATTCCATAACTTAGGCATCGTTGAAAAGCTGTTTTAAACTGGAGCAAAATTAGTCTTTTGCCTGAAAACTTGGACTCCATTATAGAACTTGTAGGCAATCCGTTTCCTCCTCTATAGGAGGAAGATTTAATTAATCTTCCTCCTATAGGAAGTTAATCAAAGATTTAATTAATTAACTAATGAATATGCTGCCCATCTCGCTATCCAACCCTTGCCTTTCTCTGCCTCCCTGCTTTGGAGCTGTAGCTGTCCTAGCTGGTCTTCCAAGGGGAAAGGTGGCTTGATGGCTTGGCAACTTCTCCTCATCAGATCTGTTCAGATTCTTGTTTCTTATAATGACCACATGGATGCAATGCAGAGATGGGTTTCAGATGGTTCTGACCAGTTCTGGAGAACCGGTAGTGGAAATTTTGAGTAGTTCGGCGAACCGGTAGTAAAAATTCTGACTGGCCCCACCCCCATCTATTCTCTGCCTCCCAAGTCTCAGCTGATTGGGAGGAAATGGGCATTTTACAGTAACCTTCCTCTGGAGTGAGATGGGAATGGAGATTTTTTTAATATTTTTTTTTATTTAAATTTATATACCGCCCTTCTCCTGAAGGACTCAGGGAGGTGAACAGCCAAAGGTAAAAACACAAAATACAAAATTTAAAAGCAATTTAAAATAAATTAAATAATTTGGCCCAACAGTTTAAATACCCCATTAAAATTCAGATTAAAATTAAACAATTTAAAAATTAGGCCAACCTGGCTTGGTGAAATAAGAAAGTCTTTAAGGCCCGGCAAAAAGTTCGTAATTCTGGGATCGTCCGTATCTCCGGGGGGAGCTCGTTCCAGAGGGCAGGATCCTTCTCCTGGAGTGGGGTGGGAATGGAGATTTTACAGTATCCTTCCCCTGCCATGCCCACCAAACCATGCCACGCCCACCAAGCCACACCCACAGAACCGGTAGTAAAAAAAAATTGAAACCCACCACTGATGCAATGTGCAAAATACAAGGACCAAATGGATGCAGATTTCTCTTTTTGTCTTGCCTAAAAGTAACTTTTTGTTTTGTTGATAAAACTCAAATAGTTTGGCTAGGGGTTGCAAAAATCTGGCTGAACCAACTCCAAAAGTGCTCTCTCTTTAAACCAGTGTTGCTGAGGATGATTTAAGGATTAATTTAATTTAACAATGCTTTACTCCTGCTTGCAAATCTTCTGCCTAAAATGCTCAAAGAATCTATTCACCCCTCAATGGGTGAATAGATTCCCAAGGTTGGAATAGTCCCATTTATTTCTGTTTTAGCAATGTCCGTCCAAAGGAGACCGAACAATGAAGCAGCAGGCAGCGTCTTGGCAATTATGCAAAGGACACTGAGAAGATCCAGCCACTTAAGGACCTCTCATTAAAGCAAACTCTGATGATTTATGTTCTTATTTTAAGCTTCTAATCAGTTCTTCCCGACATCAGGCGTTTGTTTATTATTTTGGATCGTTCTAATTTGTTGGGTTTCACTTTGCGTGCTGCCCAGTCACTGCTAAACAATGGCAGGCCGTATAAATCACAGGAATAAATCAAGCATTGAAATAAATTACTGCCAACTGGTGGAGGATTGCTGCGAATAGAATAGAATAGGATAGGATAGGATATGAATAGGATATGGATAGGATAGGATAGGATCGGATAAGGATAGGATAGGATAGGATAGGATAGGATAGGATAGGATAGGATAGGATAGGATAGGACCTTGGAGGTCCTTCCTTCCTTCCTTCCTTCCTTCCTTCCTTCCTTCCTTCCTTCCTTCCTTCCTTCCCTCTCTCCATCCCTCCCTCTCTTTCTCACTTCCTTCGTTCCTTCCCCACCATCCAGTCAGAGCTGAAGAAGCTTCTTGGATGAGAAGCAAAATGTCTTCAAAGAAAAAACAGAAAGTCCAGTTGCCTCTTGAAAAAAGCATCTTTGGGAGGACACCCATGACCTGGGGGACTTGAGAATCTCCATAGACACTTGAAATAAACATTTTTATCCTGCTTCCAAAGTAATAAAGAATAACACGGGCCACAGGTTTCTTCCCGTAATATCCAGCCACAAGAAAAAAAGGGCGGAGTTCAGAGTATTGTTGTTTTCTTTTGTGATGCTGGGGAAAAACTCAACATTGTGCAGTTGTGGAAGCCGAGAATTCTTTCTCTGTCTACTCCAGGGATGTCCAATATGGCAGCTTTAAAATGTGTGGACTTCAATTCCCAGAATTCCCCAGCCAGCCATGCTGGCTGGGGAATTCTGGGAGTTGAAGTCCACAAGTCTTAAAAGTTGCCAAGGTTGGACAATCCAGCTCTCCTCCCTTGTTCCTGAGGTATTTTCTGCTCCGCAGGTCAGACCGTCTGCCTGAGAGGCACGCAACGCCCTTGCTACAAAATTGTTTACTTTCACGAAGTCGCCCGCAGGGTTGGCTTCCAGGAAGCCCTTCAAACCTGCCGAAGTGACGACGCAGACCTGGTCAGCATCGAATCCCAGTCCGAGCAAGTGTTGGTGGAGAAGATGATCCAGCGTTATTCGGCCTCTGATGGCGATTTCTGGATCGGCCTCCGGAGGGAAGAAGAACTCGAGAACGGCACCCAATGTCCATCTTTGTACACCTGGACCGATGGGAGTTCGTCCACCTTTCGGTAAGCCGGGATGAAGTCAGTGGTGGGTTTTAACCAGTTTTACCACCGGTTCGCATCACACATGCGCTTTGTGCGTGATCGCCGCATGCTTGCTCGCTTCACTCGTATGCGTGCCAAACTTGCGCTTCGCACGAGTGCATTGAGTAAAAAAACAGCTGAGGTATGGCAATCCACTCAACCGCGCCTTACAGCTGAGCTAAAAACAAAGGAATAAAGGTAGGTATAGCACGGGGCAGGCGGGAGGGCCCAGCTGATGTTCGGAGCGAACCGGTTCACTCTTATATCAAGATTTCCGCTACCGGCTCTCCCGAACCGGGGAGAACCGGTAGCAACCCACCACTGGATGAAGTTTCCCTCAAGAATTTAGCGAGGTGAGGTTCACTCTCACAATTTGCTTGTCCTTCTGACAGAAACTGGTACGCGGATGAGCCCTCCTGCGGAAGCGAGTGGTGCGTGGTGATGTATCACCAGCCCTCGGCACCTGCCGGCGACGGGGGACGTTACCTGTTCCAGTGGAACGATGACCGATGCAACATGAAAAACAACTTTATTTGTAAATATTCGGAAGGTAACCTGACGTCATTTATATTAGGGAATGCTCACAATGTTTTGGTTTTTTTTGCCTTGGTAGTCCTTGAGTTACAAGCATCTGTTTAGTGACTGTTGGAAGTTACAACAGCACTCAGAAAAGCGATTTACGGCCATTTTTCACACTTATGACTATTACGGCATCCCCACGATCAAAAATCAAAACGCTTGGCAACTGGCTCATATTTATGACGGTCGTGGTGTCCCAGGGTCACGACCTTCCGACGAGCAAAGTTAATGGGGAAGCCGGATTCACTTAACAACGGGGTTACTACCTTACCAACTGGAGCAGCTCACTTAACAACTGAGGCAAGAAAGGTCGTAAAATGGGGGCAAAGCTCACATGACAAATGTCTCACTTAGCAACAGAAAATTTGGGCTCAATTGTGGCCATAAGTCAAGGACTACCTGTTCCAGTTTTTCTTGTTTAGCCTTCACTGGAAGCACTCCATCTACTAGTGCAATCTAATACCAAGCATTCTTCTCCCAATAGTTATCAATGAACATCTCACCGTATCTATGAAACCAGCATTCTTCTCCTGTAGGCTTAGTTTTCCCACGTTTGGTCAATAAGCGATGCCCCAATTTAGAATGTGTAGATCAGGGGGTCAGCAACTTTAAACACTCAAAGAGCCATTTGGACCCGTTTCCCACAGAAAAGAAAACACCGGGAGCCACAAAACCTGGGTGGGCGTGGCCAACTCGACGTCATTCATTTCCACCAGTCACATGATACCCCCCCCCAGCCACACCTACCCAGCTGGTCATTAGGGCAGAGAACCAGTTGTTAAAAAACACCGGGAACCACAAAACCCTTTTGACATCTCTCCCTCCCTCCCACCCCTCTCTCTCTCCCCCTCTCTCTGTATCTCTCTGTCTCTGCCCCGGCCGCTTCTCCATCCCCCGCCATCGCCCTTACCTTCTCAGGCCAGGCACGGAGTGACTGGGAGGGGAGGGTGAGGGGCGGGGCGGGGCCAGCCAGTGGTGGGATCACCCAACAGGGAGCCACAGCAGAGGGCCCAAAGAGCCACATGCGGCTCCGGAGCCACAGGTTGCTGACACCTGATGTAGATGGTAAGCTAAGGTATACAAATAAGAATCAGTGATGTTTGTTTGTGTATAGAGCAGAGGTGGGTTTCAGCAGGTTCTGACCAGTTCTGGAGAACCGGTAGCGGAAATTTTGAGTAGTTCGGAGAACCGGCAAATACCACTTCTGGCTGGCTCCACCCCCATCTATTCTCTGCCTCCCGAATCCCAGCTGATTGGGAGGAAATGGGGATTTTACAGTATCCTTCCCCGGCACATAGAATTATGGGTGAGGGCACGCGTGCGTGCGATTCCCCCCTTCCCCGCCTCCTGGCACACAATGGCAAAAAGGTTAGCCATCACATATAGGATTTGGGGTTGGTTTTCAGCATGCGCGCTGTCTTATGATTGTTTTTCTTCCCTTTTTTTTTTTTTTTGCAGAAAAACCAACAGTTGTCTCTGAATTGGCTGCTTCTCAAACAGGTAACATTTGGAGGTTGAGACTTTTGCTGGGAAAAACGCCAAATCTAGCACAAATTACAAACAACGCAAAAAACCAAAAAAAAAGCAAAATAAATTGTTAGAGGAGTGAGAAAGACAATGAGGTATATTAGGGAGACCTAGATTTGAGTCCACATTTAAACATAGAGCCAAGGAGTCTACTGGTGACTTCAGAAGATCTCTGCATTTCAGCCAACTTTCCTCACAGGGTTGTTGTTATTGTTTATGGGAAAAGGAGGAGAGATTCATCCCCTCTCTGGAGTCTCCACTCCCAAAGGAAAGACACGGTTATCTATTAAATCAGTGTTTCCCAACCTTGTCAACTTTTAAGATGTGTAGACTTCAACTCCCAGAATTCCCCCAGCCAGCTGGCTGGAGGAATTCTGGGAGTTGAAGTCCACACATCTTAAAGTTTGCAAAGTTGAGAAATGTTGTGTCAAATAATAAGTAAAGCTTGCTCTAAGCAAGTTTGACCTAAGTCTTTCCCCTTTTTAAATGGAAATTTTAAATTTGGTTTTAAATTATTGGGGTTTTAAATTTGTTCAGCCAAATTATTTAATTCGTTTTAGTCTATTTTAAATTTTGTATTTATATGTTTTATTCTATGGCTGTTCACCGCCCTGAGTCCTTCGGGAGTAGGGCGGTATACAAATTCAATAAAATAAATAAATAAATAAATTTTGAACCCATGACTCTCAATTACTTTTTGGAATGTTCGATGCTAATAGATCCTTTTCGAGATGGTTGGCCCCCAAATACGGATTTTTCAGCCAAATGTGTGTCTTAATCCTAGTCCTAAATCCTCTTCCATCAGTTTTAGGGCCTTCTTAATCATGAATTATCCAAATTAACTATTTACATTATTAAGACAACATCCTTAAGTCGTAACACTCGGGTTTCTTTCCTAGGGTACATAACAGGGTCTTCGCCATTCACAACCCCAGAAACCCCCATGCAAGAGGCTGTCGCGAACAAAACCCTCCAGGAAGTCAAAGGTAATAGAACTCACTGCAATTTCTCGTAATTTTAACGAGGACGGAGAAAGGATAAGTTTGTTATAATTGCTGCAGAGAAAGTTGGAAGTCTTTTCTTTGTGTAGCTTTTCTCATTCATATTTCTTTCTTTTTTAAAAAATAATTTTTATTGAACAGTTTGTCTTTAAAAAACAACACAAAAAACCATCACACATATATAAAAACGAAACTTGTCAAGACATAACTTACTGAACATTACATAACATTAATGGTAATTTTATAGCATTTCGTATCGACTTACGTATTTTGCTTTTGTAGTACTCTATCTATTCTATCATTTCTATTTACCACTCAATAGTAGGATAATCGCATTACTCCAACATATATATACCGGTAGTAAAAATTTTGACTGGCCCCGCCCCCATCTATTCTCTGCCTCCCGAGTCCCAGCTGATCAGGAGGAAATTGGGATTTTGCAGTATCCTTCCCCTGGAGTGGAGTGGGAATTGAGATTTTATAGCATCCTTCACCAAGCCACGTCCACCAAGCCATGTCACGCCCGCCAAGCTACACCCACAGAACCGGTAGTAAAAAAAAATTTGAAACCCACCACTGATATATATACATTATAATATTCATTGTTCTTATCTACACATTTATATTCGTTTATATTTACATCTCTTTATTTAATCTTGTTCAGTTACTTTATAAGTTTCATCACTATTAAATTAAACATTTCTTGTTCTGTTTTCTATTTTCGAGCCAACTGTACATTTTATTCCATATTTCATAATATTCCGAATCCTCTCTGTCTTTCAACTCCATAGTCATTTTATCCATCGCTGCACATTCTAGAATTCATTCATATTTCGTAATCACGTTTCTTGATTTCTGAATTCACACGTTTCCTTTTGTTTAATCTTACTTTATATTGTGTCATATTTACTGTTATGAAACCTTCTAATACAAAAAAATACTTTAAAAATGCGGTTGCAATTTCCTTTCTCCAAAGCTGTTTTAACAATATTAAAATATTAAATAATATTTTAATAAACAATATTAAAATTTCTCAGAGAAGGAATGCCTTTGCCACCCCCAAAGAGAATGAATATACATTGTTCTTTTTGCTTTGATACCCTACAGAGTGTGTCTCCCCACAACTCATAAATAAATGGGGTGGGTGAAAGTCACAATTCTACTGTGATAAAAATTTTGTTCTCAGTAGCACATTAAAACTCTTGGTTTCTTTTCTCTGCAGAGCCTGCTTGGAGCCTTCTGTACATCTTAATTTCAAGCATTCCCGCTTTGCTTCTGTTGATCACCATTGCCGTTTTTATCTTTTGGGTTTACTCGAAGAGGCAAGTGGCATTATTATGCAAGCTGAGAGCAATTTTTGAGGGCATCCAGGGTGGATTGAGCAGGTTTCAAGCAAGGAAGGACAAGAAAGAGAGAGGAGAAGAAATAGAGATGATACTGTTGTCTGTGCACAGCTGAGATGTTTTCCTTGTTGGAATAGGTGTTGGCTAAGAAAAGCATCCTGTCCTGAGAGAAAAACAGATTTTTGAGATCTTTTAGGAAATAATAGGAGTCTTACAAACTAAGCATAGGGAATGCCACTCCATGGGCCAATGCATTTTGCTCAAGGAATTTTGTTCCTGTTGTGGTCCGCCAGCAGCCTGCCGAACTGGCAGCAGAGTTGGACAGTTAGGAGGCTGGGGAGAAACATGGACCAGTCCTGGAGTCTGGGCAAGGCCCGGATGAGGGCTCTGCATCAGAGGCAGAGATGGGGCCAGGGCCATCTGGGAGTTATGCGCAGACTCCAGAGTCTCCAGAGCCTCCAGATTCGGATATCAGAGAGGCAGAGGAACAGGAGGAGCCTGTTCCTAGTGCGCGCATGTGCAGAGCTGCCAGAAGGCAAAAACAATTAAAACAAAAGGGATGACTCAAGATTAAGACTTGGAGATGATTGGCCCTTCCCATAAGGCTTAAAAGACGAGCAAAGGCATGTGGGGCCTTTGCAGGAAAGCAACGTTGTTAATTCTGTTCCCAGTCGGCATCTCTGTTTGATTCTGGACTCCGTGTGGCTTTGCCAAGTAGGTCTTTGACAGCGTGTCAAGGGAGTTAAAGGTTGGTGATTATCCCGAAGGATTTCTCCCGAAGGACTTTTTGCAAGTAATTGGGACTCAGCTGTGAATGAACGTAATTCACAGCTGTTGCAATAAAAGAGCTTTTTGGGACTACTCACCTTTCCCGATCCATCCTTCGCCCCTGCCGATTTTTTCTGGTGGTCTCCCAGCCAAGTTTATTTTTTTATTTTTATTTTTATTTATTTATCAAGAATGTATTAGGTAATTTATATAAGTATAAGCATGAATTGAATACATAAAATAGATACGAATAGAGGAAACATAAGGACAGGGACGGAAGGCACACTGGTGCACCTATGCACATCCCTTAAAGACCTCTTAGGAATGGGGTGAGTTCAACAGTAGACAGTCTAAGGTTAAAGTTTTGGGGGTTTGGGGAAGAAACAACAGAGTCTGGTAGTGCATTCCAGGCACTGACCACTCTGTTGCTGAAGTCGTATTTTCTGCAATCGAGTTCGGAGCGGTTCACTTTAAGTTTGTATCTATTGTGTGTTCATGTATTGTTGTGGTTGAAGCTGAAGTAGCCATTGACAGGTAGGACATTGCAATAGATAATTTTGTGTACTACGCTTAGGTCAGACCGAAGGCGGTATAGTTCTAAGTTTTCTAGGCCCAGAATTTCAAGTCTGGTGGCATAAGGTATTTTGTTGCGAACAGAGGAGTGGAGGACTCTTCTTGTGAAATATCTCTGGACACGTTCAATTGTATTAATGTCCAATATGCAGTGCAGGTTCCAGACAGATGAGCTGTATTCGAGAATTGGTCTAGCAAATGTTTTGTATGCTCTGGTTAGTAGTGTAATATTACCGGAGAAGAAGCTACACAAGATTAGGATTACAACTCTTAATGCCTTTTTGGTGATGTTGTTAACAGTGGGCTTTGGCACTTAGATCTCCTTAAGGTTGCCTCTTCTTTAAAAAATATTTTAATAAAAAATTATCTGTCTGAATCACCCAAGCATCCAGCAAAACCATGAAGTTCATTCATAACTAACCCAGATTAGAAAGTAGAAGAAAACTCAGTAGGAAAATCAGAAGGAAGTTAATGTATTTTCTTTCTTTCTTTCTTTCTTTCTTTCTTTCTTTCTTTCTTTCTTTCTTTCTTTCTTTCTTTCTTTCTCCTGCCAAGGAGACGGGAGCAGAGAGAGGAGAGCACGAAGGAGAAAGACCCTTGGTCATCTACCAAAACGCAAAACAGCCCCAGTTTAGAGATCTATAATGTGATTAAAACCCAGGGAGAGGCCGATCTTGCTGGAACGAGACCACAAACCCAAAACTCCTCTTTCCGTGTCCGTCTCGGAGGAGAAGACCTCTGTGGAGACTATGACAATACGGTGGTCAACAACTCAGAGAGTGGCTTCGTGACCTTGGCAAGCACCGAAAGCGGATTTGTCACAAATGACATCTATGAACTGTGCCATGACCGAGTGGGGCAGAGCAAAGAGTCAGCTTGGGTAGAAAATGAAATTTACGGATATTAAGGAGATGGTGGTGAGCATCGGATTCAAGATGGGGAACGTTCCCATTGATACAAACTTTAGCACGCACAAAGACGTGGCTGTTGTATTGCAGAGGGGTTTCCTTTCCCTCCCTGAAAGGGGCACATGGATCTAAACAAATTGGTTGGTTGGTTGGTTGGTTGGTTGGCTGATTGGTTGGTTGATTGGTTGATTCGTTAGTTGGTTGGTTGATTGGTTAATTGGTTGGTTGGTTGGTTGATTGGTTGATTCGTTAGTTGGTTGGTTGATTGGTTAATTGGTTGGTTGGTTGGTTGGTTGATTGGTTAATTGATTGGTTGGTTGATTGGTTAATTGATTGGTTGGTTGATTGGTTAATTGGTTGGTTGGTTGGTTGGATGTCATCAACTTGTTTTTAATTCCTAGCAACCATGTTTTCTCCATGAAGATCTATCCCTAGTTTGGTCATTCAGATCTTCCACTGGTGAACCCATCATCTCTGTCATTGAGTCCGTCGAGTTTGGTGCTGGTCATCTTCTTTTTCCATCCATCTTTAAACATGAAAGGAGAGATCTTATTGACCAGGTTGAAATGGTCTTGGGAGAACTTGATTCCCTTCCTTGTTACAGCCTCCTGATCATGTAGAACCTGACAACATATTTTGCATTATAATAAGCACATCAACTAATCGCTGACATCCAGATGGAATTGGTGAGATATGGCTAAATATAACACAGGTTTTGTTTATCTCCACCTGGCTTTGATCAGCTGCCAAGTTTCCATCTTTACCTGTTTGGCGCTCCAAAATTTTTTCCAGAAAGGAGGGGGTTTTTTCCCCCTGCTCTTCTATTCTTCCACGTAGTATATTTTTTGCAGAATGATCTGAGGACAAAGGAAAGGACATGGTCTAACTACAGTATCTTCTGTATTGATATAGACATTTTTGTTTTGATTCAGAAATGGTGCAAGTGATAAGAACTCCTTTGCAGTTATGGGCAGACCAGAGATGGGTTTCAGCAGCTTCTAACCAGTTCTGCAGAACCGGTAGCGGAAATTTTGAGTAGTTCGGAGAACCGGTAGTAAACATTCTGACTGGCCCCGCCCCCATCTATTCGCTGCCTCCTGAGTCCCATCTGATCGGGAGGAAATGGGGATTTTGCAGTAACCTTCCCCTGGAGTGGGGTGGGAATGGAGATTTTATAGTATTCTTCCTCTGTCACGCCCACCATGGCATGCCCACCAAGCCACACCCACAGAACCGGTAGTAAAAAAAATTTGAATCCCACCACTGGGGCAGACTTGTTTCTTGGAAGCAGAATAGAAATGGGGTGAACTCGGTGTTAGTTTAAAAAAGAAAAAAAAGTTGCCAAAGATTATTTCCTTCATATATCTGTCCCGGGTGAGATTGGCAAACTTGGGGAAACAAGTAACGTCCCTGTGGTTCTAAGCAAGAAACAGTTTCTAATTCTGAAATCGTGTCAAAATTTGCCTTGTTGAAAGATAATCTACTGTTCTTAGAAAAAATTAAGAGCAAATAAGCAATGTATTATTTGAGATCATACGCAAGTTTTGATATCCTTATACCTGGGCTATTCAACTCAAAATATCAACTCCTTCTGTGGCTGACCCCGTGGAGAAGCAGCAAGATAACACAGAGAAATATTTTCTGGTGCCTTCCTTTGTTATTTGATGTGTGACAGATGAAAGGGGGGGGGACTTTTAAAAAAATAATTAGCAAGCCGGTGTAATGTTCTGTGCATGTGTTACTCTACGACACTTCAAAAGCTTTTGATATGTGCATGTGACGTCATCTTACATCGTCATGTACCGAGAGGTTTCATTCTGGTGTTGAACGCATGAAGCCTGTGGCCACGGCAGTTGAATTGCTGTGATGCTGTAGAATGTTTGTGAGAACCTCTGAAGGACCAAAAGTCTACCTTGATTAGAACTTTTCCTTGTGCTTTCCCTTCTAAGTGGAAACAGCAAAGCTAAACTTTTGGGAGAAGGTCCCCAAAGATTGAAGAGAAGAGGAGAAAACTCCCAAGAAATAACAATGGCCCGTGGAAACTTCTGATGGGACGTTGATGCCCAGTGAGATTTGGATCACTCAAGGGTTATGCAATGTTGTGGGATGAAAAAGACACACCAAGGAAAAACATGGGAAAGGTGGTTTTGAAGATTAGTTACTATTACTACACATGGTTGGACATGATCTCCTGATACCACATAACTGGCAAATGTGTAATTGTTCCTCTTGGCTTTCTCTGCTACACACAAGCCAAGCAGTGTCCCATGTTATGACTCTCAGTCATGAGAATCGCCAAAGAATGACTACATCAGGCCAAATGAGGTGAGGCACAGCTTGTGGTTGCTTAATGCCTGGGGCATGTCGGGTGGGATCGGAAGAACCTTACTCATAGTCTCATGTCAGAACCATCAGACACCCGAGCATCCGTGGCTAGAAAAAGCCACTGGCGATTGCACTGTTTTCATTTCAATCCGGGTGTTTTTCCTGCATTTCGGTATGGCCTTAACTGCCATGTTTCTCTTATGCATGTCTGAATGAAATGTTGGGATCTCTCGAGCAAAAAAAATAAAATAAACGTGTTTGGTTGCAGAGCAACAACAGATTAAGATTATAGGGTTCTTTTTTTTTTTTGCACTGGGTCCTTCTCAGTGGCCTCTCTCGATCTTGCCTTTTATCTCCAGCAGAATTTATCAGCTTCCTACACCGAGGAGCATAAGTGGTAATAACTCTTAAACCTAATATTGGAGTCAGCAATGTGCATGTTAATCCTAAATTAGCCAAAAGCAAAGGTATTCAGGATTCCCGTTAGCAGTAGTTGGAGTGGCAATGAACAACAGAAGGTTAATTGTAGTAGAGAAATAGTAACTAATCGAGAGTTGCTTCTTGGCGGTTATCAATCTTCCTAGTATCTTATTACGACACATCTTTCATTCAGCAGTTGAATGCACTTCAATTCTTGGTGTTTTTTTGTAAAGCAATTCATTTACACTTGCTCAAGGGGAAATAATTTCCTTATTTGTGAAATTTGGGCTTGAAAGAAGTTTCTTGTATTATTCTAAGAAGTTCCTTCATCAATCAGTGAGGGCTGGGCAGCTAGAGAGACTATGGAAAATCTACAATAGGGAATTGTGGCAATATACAGATTTATCATTTCATATTGGCAGGCTTCATAACCCCAGATCTTACTTTCATTTTCTGAGAAAGAGAGCTCAACGTAACAGGATTAAACTAAAAAAAATATATCCTGAGCACCCGGAAGCCAAGATGTACACCAAAATCTCTGGAAGAAAGTGAAGTATACATGGAGGGGTTTCCAAAACCGTCTTTAAATTTCAAAGCATCTGGTTCAACAATTTAATATTTGACGTTGATCGATACCGTTTGGAAGTCAGTTCAGTACAAAGGCTCAAATAAACCGTTCCTCTGTGCGGAATCTTTGCACAACCCAAGAAACAATCATGTGTTATGGGTGTGAACCGTAAAAATGCAGGCCGCTGATGATGTTGCTTTGCCAACAGAAATACTTAACCCCAGTCAGTTTTCTACCACTGATTAATGTCCCTTTACAGCTGTTGTGGTCTTTATCAACTGCCACTTTTTAAAGCATCTTTTCACATCATCAGTGACAGGTTCTCCTAGGACCATGATGGTGAACCTATATCACATGTGCCACAGGTGGCATGCAAAGCCATATCTATGGATATGTGAGCATTGCCCTAGTTCAGCTCCAGCGCGCCAGCCGATTTTCGGGCCTTCCGGGCCCACCGGAAGTTAGGAAATGGGCCATTTCCGGCCTCCAGAGGGCCTTGGGGGCAGGGGGGAGGCCGTTTTCGCCCTCCTCAGGTTCCTAGAAAGCTTCTGGAGCCTGGGGAGAGCGAAAAACAAGACTTCTAGTCCCATTGGAATTTGGGAAACAGGCTGTTTCTGGCCTCCGGGGGGGGGGGGGGGGTTTTTGCCCCCCCCCGGGCCCCAAAAAAGCCCCTGGAGCCTGGGGAGGGCAAAAAACAGGCCTACCAGGCCCACCGTGCCATCACGTGCCAAAAGCGGGGGGAAGCACGGAGGTGTGTCTGTCACGCATGGATGTGCAGGGGCAGGGCGCATTGAATTATGGGCGTGGACATGCGTGCGCACAAACCCTCACTTTTGGCACACGACGGCAAAAAGGTTAGCCATCACTGTCCTAGGAAGTAGCTACCTTGGGAAACGTGTATTGATCTCCTAAGTGCCAGGTTTTCTGGAAAGCGGTGACAATAGGTGAGGGAGACGAGATTAGGAGATGGAGAAATGATTACGAAGGAAGCTTGGCTCTGGGTGCCAGACTGCAGTGGGATAAGCCCTAGTAGCCAGCCTGAACGATTCTCCAGTTTTCCCATCTTTATTGGCTATATTTTCTGCAAAGCTGTTGGATGAGATCCTGGTGTTGTCATGTCTGCTCGTTCTCTGTTGCTTTCCTTTCCTAGCGGGACTCCAGAATCATCTGTTGTTGATTTAGGAGAAAGAGGAAATGAGCTGCGTTTGGAAAAACGCCTGGCTCCCAACCTTTTCACATCTTATCAATCAGTTGTTACGACGGGAACACATTTTTTGATGACCACATTTTTGGATGCTGCTGGTGACGTGGTGGACCATGCAAAGATCAAGTCAGCTGTTTCATAGAGACGGGGGTTTTTTTAAGTTGCGATCCGGTGCAAGAAGTCGCAAAGCAAGTACATAAAACTGATTTTAAAAAAAAGAAAAAAAAAAAGAAAAAAGAAAGCTGAAGTGGGGTGACGGTGTCAGCCGAAGATGAAGAGGGTTTCCAAGTTTGGAACAAGACAAAAGGATGGGCGCGCACGAGCCAGGATCAGCGCATACTTGCAAATTCGGCGTTAATTTTATCCGCGGTATATATTTGGGAAGCAGCTGTGGGGGTGACACCAAAGCACTTAGTTGGTCTGGTAAAAGAAGGGGCTGGCGTTCGTTTTTTGGAGCTGGGTAGGAGTACAATTTGGGTGAAATTTCTCAGAAAATAAAAATGTACATGCCGTCTCCAAGACTTTTCCTTTGTCGAGATCTCTCTGAACTGTGGAAGAATGAAGAAGTCAAGGAGGTTAAAAATAGGACATTTTTGAGACGTTGGTGGTTGTTGTTTTTTGCAACACCCGAAAATGTCCTGGGGAAAAAGAAACATGTATCGCTAGAGGGCGCCTTTTATTTTGTCCTTAAAATAACTGCAACCTGCATTCTCTAAATAGATGGCAGACTTTCAGTTGGAAAAAAGGTTTCATTAAAACCCGATTGGAAAAGCAGCTGTGGCCTTTTATATTTGGTTTCTTTTCAAAGGTTGAAAAGATATAATGGATATAATTGGATATAATTAAAGGCTGTTTATTTGGTGGACTGCCCTGTCTCTCCAAGGATTGCAGCAAATATGGTGTTTGAGCCACTTGATGATACGTGTGACGTTTCGATCCCAGATTTTGACCAACAGTTAAAATTTAAAAAGGCATCGACTTAAATGAGATGTTTCTTTCAAAAGGTATGCGCGCATGATAGTTCCAGAAAAAAAATACTTTTAAAGTTTGAGACTTTTCAGAAGAGTTTGGTAGCATGAAAGAATAATTACAGATTGTCCAATTTTGGTCACCACATTATAAAAAAGATGTTGAGACTCTAGAAAAAGTGCAGAGAAGAGCAACCAGGATGATGAGGGGACTGGAGGCTAAAACATACGAGGAACGGTTGCAGGAACTGGTTGCACGGCTAGTCTAGTGAAAAGAAGGACCAGGGGAGACAGGATAGCAGTCTTCCAATATTTGAGGGGCTGCCACAGAGAGGAGGGGGGTCAAGCTATTTTCCAAAGTACCCAAAGGCCAGACAAGGAATAATGGATGGAAACTGTTCAAGGAGAGATTCAACCTGGAAATAAGGAGAAATTTCCTGACAGGGAGAACAATCAACCCATGGGACAGAAGTTGCCTTCGGAAGTTGTGGGAGCTTCATCACTGGAAGCTTTCACGAAGAGACTGGACTGCCATCTGTCAGAAACGGTGTAGGGTCTCCTGCTTCGATGGGAAGGGGGTTGGACTAGATGACCTACAAGGTTCCCTTCCAACTCTGTTAATCTGTATCTGTACGTACATTCATGCTAATTATACAGCTCAGATCAGGGCCTTGAACGAGTGAAATATTCTGGCCTTTTTTTTTCTCCCCAGCAGAAGGAATAATGAATGGGTTTATGAATAGACTGGTAGGATATCATTGTCTGTTAGAACTATTCTTAGCTGCTTCTTGGTTGTCTCCAGCATCTCTGGGGGAGAATGCTGACTAATCTTACTCTGCAGTTGCTCATTCACCGGAACTTTCTAAAATAGCTAAATCAGGAAAGGCAATAAAACAACCGGTAAGCATAAGGGAATAAGTCATCATTGACAGAAATGCATCTTGCCGACTCCATTTGGTCTGGAGAACTGTGGGTGCAGCAGGATCCAAAACTTTTTGATTTCCATTGCAACGTGGGAAACCTGGGCATGGGAACCAGGTATAAAAATTAGTAAAGGGAAGGTCGGAAGTGAGCTCTTCTGCTTTTGTTCCATAGTAGGTACAAGTTGGCCTCGACTTACGACCCCAATTCAGTCCAAAATTTCTGTTGTTGAGTGAGGCATTTGAGTTTTGTCCCATTTTATGTCCTTTTTAGGTGAAGGTTTCGAGATGAAAAGTCCTAAACCCCAGAGTGATGGGATTAAGAAGGACAGGACATGACCTTTTAGATCATAATAGGATTAACCCACCACCATTTAGACACAATCCCCTTCATTGCACAATCCCCGGAACAGTTCAAATTTCAAAGTCACAGAAAACTATAAAGATCCATCCACACCTTCAACCATTTGGTCAGGTGTCCCAGAACCGCATGCTGTTGGTTCTGTTCATTGTTAAACCTTCTTTCCAATCAGCCTCCATGTTGTTTCCAGCGTCTTTTTCCCAGCTTGGAACTGAACCAGGTGGATTTTCCTTCCAACAGCATGGACCACACCTCTGTTCTTGTGCCTGGAGACAAGCAGCTAATCGGATCTTCGAAAGAGCCAGAGCTTCTGGCAAAGAGGATGGGAATAACACTCAAGCTGTAAGGAAGATTATGTTGAACTTGCACGTTGCAGATGAGTTTGCAAAAGCTTCTAAATTAGAGGTGTCTTAACCCTGGCAACTTTTAAGACCTGTGGACTTCAACTCCCAAAATTCCCCAGCCAGCTATGAATTCAGGGAGTTGAAGTCCACAAGTCCTAAAACTTGCCAAAGTTGGACATCCTAGCTCAGGGGTCAGCAACCTGCGGCTCTGGAGCCGCATGTGGCTCTTTCACCCTCTGCTGCGGCTCCGTCACTCAAAATATGCGTCACAACTGCCAATGTGCGACACCTGCTGGCACGCGATTTATTGAGCTTTTCAACCCCCGGTAGGCCAACCATGGATAAATCCAAGAAAAGAAAAGTTTTGGAAGAAAACAGAATGTTTAATTCAACTACATATGCTAGTTTTGTGGCCCCTCAAGAAATAGTCAGGCACGGGAAGAGTTTTGTGGCTCCCGGAGTTTTCTTTTCTGTGGGAAACGGGTCCAAATGGCTCTTT